TCAGACATTCCATGAAAAAAAAACCTAGCCCTACCATCCTTACCCCACCCCCACCTTTTAAATTGACCCTGCAACAACATCACACACCTCATCCATCATGCTGTTTAGGCCTACACTATCTGCATACACTCAAAATAAAGTGTTGCGTCATGGGAAAGTTTAAAATTAAATTAATTCGTCTTTACACCTGGCGCTTGAGATCATTTAAATTTACAATAGAACAACGCAGTAGCTATAATGGGCACATATTCGTGACGGGAGAGTCTACAAAGGTATTCACCAGATATAATTAGACTCGATAGGTATAGATAGAGACGGGTGTTCAACATAGAAACAGGTACTCAACAGTCATAGGAAGAGACACGTTTATTCACTAGTTATAAGTAGACACAGGGACATAGGTAGACACAGGTACCCAACTGTTATATGTAGACACAGGTACCCAACTGTTATAGGTAGATACAGGTACCCAACTGTTATAGACACAGGTACCCAACTGTTATAGGTAGACACAGGTACCCAACTGTTATAGGTAGACACAGGTACCCAACTGTTATAGGTAGACACAGGTACCCAACTGTTATAGGTAGACACAGGTACCCAACTGTTATAGGTAGACACAGGTACCCAACTGTTATAGACACAGGTACCCAAATGTAATAGGTAGACACAGGTACCCAACTGTTATAGGTAGACACAGGTACCCAACTGCTATAGGTAGACACAGGTATCCAACTGTTATAGGTTGACACAGGTACCCAACTGTTATAGACACAGGTACCCAACTGTTATAGGTAGACACAGGTACCCAACTGTTATAGACACAGGTACCCAACTGTTATAGACACAGGTACCCAACTGTTATAGACACAGGTACCCAACTGTTATAGGTAGACACAGGTACCCAACTGTTATAGACACAGGTATCCAACTGTTATAGGTAGGCACAGGTACCCAACTGTTATAGGCACAGGTACCCAACTGTTATAGACACAGGTACCTAACTGTTATAGGTAGACACAGGTACCTAACTGTTATAGGTAGACACAGGTACCCAACTGTTATAGACACAGGTACCCAACTGTTATAGGTAGACACAGGTACCCAACTGTTATAGGTAGACACAGGTACCCAACTGTTATAGGTAGACACAGGTACCCAACTGTTATAGGTAGACACAGGTATCCAACTGTTATAGGTAGACACAGGTACCCAACTGTTATAGGTATACACAGGTACCCAACTGTTATAGACACAGGTACCCAACTGTTATATGTAGACACAGGTACCCAACTGTTATAGGTAGACACAGGTACCCAACTGTTATAGGTAGACACAGATACCTAACTGTTATAGGTAGACACAGGTACCCAACTGTTATAGGTAGACACAGGTACCCAACTGTTATAGGTAGACACAGGTACCCAACTGTTATAGGTAGACACAGGTACCTAACTGTTATAGGTAGACACAGGTACCCAACTGTTATAGGTAGACACAGGTACCCAACTGTTATAGGTAGACACAGGTACCACTACTGTTATAGGTAGACACAGGTACCCAACTGTTATTGGTAGACACAGGTACCCAACTGTTATAGGTAGACACAGGTACCCAACTGTTATAGGTAGACACAGGTACCCAACTGTTATAGGTAGACACAGGTACCACTACTGTTATAGGTAGACACAGGTACCCAACTGTTATTGGTAGACACAGGTACCCAACTGTTATAGACACAGGTACCCAACTGTTATAGGTAGACACAGGTACCCAACTGTTATAGACACAGGTACCCAACTGTTATAGACACAGGTACCCAACTGTTATAGGTAGACACAGGTACCCAACTGTTATAGACACAGGTACCCAACTGTTATAGGTAGACACAGGTACCTAACTGTTATAGGTAGACACAGGTACCCAACTGTTATAGGTAGACACAGGTACCCAACTGTTATAGGTAGACACAGGTACCTAACTGTATTAGGTAGACACAGGTACCCAACTGTTATAGGTAGACACAGGTACCCAACTGTTATAGGTAGACACAGGTACCCAACTGTTATAGGTAGACACAGGTACCCAACTGTTATAGACACAGGTACCCAACTGTTATAGGTAGACACAGGTACCCAACTGTTATAGGTAGACACAGGTACCCAACTGTTATAGGTAGACACAGGTACCTAACTGTTATAGGTAGACACAGGTACCCAACTGTTATAGGTAGACACAGTACCCAACTGTTATAGACACAGGTACCCAACTGTTATAGGTATACACAGGTACCCAACTGTTATAGACACAGGTACCCAACTGTTATAGACACAGGTACCCAACTGTTATAGGTAGACACAGGTACCTAACTGTTATAGGTAGACACAGGTACCCAACTGTTATAGGTAGACACAGGTACCCAACTGTTATAGGTAGATACATGTACTTAACATGTATAGGTAGAAACAGGTACTGACATACAAGGCCGAACAAAACATTTCGTAAGCTACACCTGAAATAAAATAACATCTGCACAATATCACACTGATTATTGTTATAGGGTTATTGAGTCCAAATAAACTTACATAATATATTGTCCAGGTGTTGTTTATATATAGAAAACAATGGCCTTGAGTAATCTAAAAATATATTGTTACGTAACCTTCCAGCAAGGGAAAATTTGTAGGAACATTTAAAACAGAACAAACATACAAGCAGGTGTTTAAGTATATTCAGTGTGTTATTTTAATTAACGTAAACAAGCATTAAAAGACAAAAAACTACTGTACACTGACAATAGACCAACACTCCTCCACACAGACCTACATCCACAACAAACCTTCACTGACCACAGACATACACTCATCATGACCTACACTCACCATGACCTACACTCAACATAGACCTACACGGACCTTAGACTTACACTCCTACACTCAGAACTACATTCACAATAGACCTTCACTGACCTTAGACCTTCAACTCTTTATAGACCCAAATTCACTATAGACCTACACTCACCACAGACCTACATTCACCATAGACCTACACTCACCATAGACCTACATTCACCATAGACCTACACTGACCTTAGACCTACACTGACCTTAGACCTACACTGACCATAGACCTATATTCACCATAGACCTGCATTCAGCATAGACCTATATTCACCATGACCTACACTCACCATAGACCTACACTCACCATAGACCTACACTAACCATAGACCTACATTCACCTTAGACCTACATTCACCATAGACCTAAACTCACCATAGACCTACACTCACCATAGACCTACACTGACCTTAGACCTACACTGACCTTAGACCTACACTGACCTTAGACCTACATTCACCATAGACCTACACTTACCATAGACCTACACTCAATGTTAGAATACACCTTTATTCAGAAATATACTTCTAAAACGTTTTTATAATTGTAACGTTAATTTCTTGTTTAACATCCTGCCGATCCCACTTGCATGTTTTTTTCTTCTTTTAGACTTTTCAAAGGGATAATTTAGTTAACAATTCTGGACATCTCAAATCGTCAAGTACAGTAGCTTTCAGTAAACAAATAACTACAACTACGTTAGAATAGACTATCAACTAGTCGAAAAATCACAGATTAAAAAAAAATATTTCAAGATATGTGTATTAAATAACGTGTGCCCTGTTCTCATTCTTTGAGAAGCCTTGACTGTGATAGATGGTCATGCGACAAGAGACACACTGTCCTAATTTGTTGTCCTTGTGTTAACTCCCCCCCCCCCCGCCCCCTTCCTCTCTGATTCTTTATGTCTCCCCCCCCCCCTGACACAGCGTGATGAATGGCGCCCTCTATTCGGACACTGATATTTTTATTCTCGGACTGACGAGGTTAAGTCACGCTAAGCGATGGTGCGGTCCCACGTGAGGTTTCCTGGTATTTTATTCTTATCTCTCCCCCCCCCCGCCCCCTTACTCCGATGGTAGTTCCCTCCTCTCTACTTCAATGGGGGGTTTCATATAGGGGTGTGGCTTTGTGAATATCGACCGAGAAACTATGATTTATAATTAACTGTTTTATTAAAAGCTATAGGACTAGTAAAAATAATTTTCTAATTTTAAAAAATAATAGTAAATTATTATCAAGAGAAATTACACCTTTTTTGTTTATTTGATATTTTTCTTAATTAAAAATATAGCGGTTTTGTAATTCCAGGGAGATTACATCTCCCCCCCCACCATACATTTCAGGTAAGGTCAAATTCCAGGCGCCTGTGATTTATGTCCCCCCCCCCCCACCGCAAACAATCTTTGTAATGTAAGAACGTCAAAAATCTTCATAGTCTTAACATTTACGTTGGACATCCCTTAAGACGCACCACTATTTTGTTTTTTAATTAACTCAGTTAAGTAACATAATTAGGTAACTTTATAAAGGGAGACAAATGGGCAACATAATAACTATTTTAAAAAAAAAAAAAAAATCTCCACAAGATTAGTGTCACGGAAAAAAAACTACGCAATAAGCTTGGATTCTAGACACGTGAATGCAAAACCCAGCCCCTCGGAAACATACTTTAAAACACGTGACTCAAATGTTTTGAGAGGGGGGGGGGGATTGTAGGTGAACATTGCTAGACACAATCGGGTCGGCGCAGCGCTGCACTAAAATTATGACATGCAAAACGTTGAAAGACAACTGGACGTAATTTTGCGTGTAAATATCCACCACGTGTGGAGACACGTGCAGTATATTCGTAGGCGTTTCCCTGTTTTTTAAAAGTGTTGTTTTGTTGTATTAATAAATACGAACAATTTTTTTTCGTGTGTTGTTGTTGATGTAAGAACGTTTACCTTCACTTGAATGATGAAAGCAGCGTCATCACGACAGCAAAGTGACGCGGATGTTGAAAGATCAGAAGGAAAAAAAAACCTCCGTGAATGATGAAGGATTAAAAAAAAAGTTAATTTATGAGCTATACATTGACTTAAAATAGTAACTAGGTCCACGGGGTGTCTCCCCCACCATCGTCACGCCTCTGACCCTAGCTGGGGTATAAATGTCGAGCGAACAATACAAGGCTAGTTTCCACAGAGAATCGAATTTGTTCAGAGGCTTTCCACAGCTTCCTCGGTGAGTTAAATTATCAATATTTGATTTGTTGTGAACACAATTTGTTCTATTTTTATCACAAGAACTACTTAAACTATTTATTTTATGCGTAGTAATTTGATTCCTCTAAATAGAAAGTCTCTACTTTGTGTTCAATCTTCAACAGTGAGACTTATCCATATAATGAAAGGAAAAAGCATAATTAATTTTAAATAAGTAATTAATTGCTGAACACGTTTTTTTGTTTCATACACGTGTATCGTTTAAAATTTAGAATACAACACATCAACTAAATTTTTTAAAATTTACATCTTTTATTTGATGTAGAATTGAGAGTTACAACAAGGTGTGGGTGTTAGTTTACAATAAATTAAGCTGTGACGATATCACTAGTAAAGTATTCACCAAGGGGCCACACGTGTTGTTGACATTAGATTACATGAAATGTAATGTTTTTACAAGGTGTATCATGTAATTTACGTGACATTTAAGATAATTTATGAGACATACAATGATGTTTACGTGACATTTAAGGTAATTAATGAGACATGACGATTCATAATCCTGTTGGTGTAGAGTTGACCTGTTGTTTGCAATCTCAGCTCGTGAAGCGATGTCTAGGATGGTATTATACCCAGCTGCCTTTACTTTCACGGCTTATCCTGGTTTTCATTTAGAGCTGGGTGGACTCGTCCGATGATTTAACGGGAAAAGTCTTAGTGGTCCCTCCTGGATCGGTGCTGTAATAGTCCTATTAGTGTGTTGGGAGGTGTTTTTTTTTAAACTGTTGGTATTTTACAATTCCTTCATGCTAAGACGCAAAATTCAGGCTATGGCGGAGAGAAAAAATGCACGATGAAAATTTCAATCTGGGGTTGGAGAGGGGGGGGGGGGGGAGGGGGGTGTTAAAATTTCCTGGTCCTTTTGGACAAAGCCAGTCCATCCTTAGATATAGACTAAGGGTCGGGAAATCAGTCCATCCTTAGATATAGACTAACGGTCGGGAAATCAGTCCATCCTTAGATATAGACTAACGGTCGGGAAATCAGTCCATCCTTAGATATAGACTAACGGTCGGGAAATCAGTCCATCCTTAGATATAGACTAACGGTCGGGAAATCAGTCCATCCTTAGATATAGACTAAGGGTCGGGAAATCAGTCCATCCTTAGATATAGACTAACGGTCGGGAAATTAAGACACATCATCTACATTTGATGGCGGTGTAGACAAACATCAAAGCAATATGCTGGAAATATAGTCAAGGACAATTTAGACTGGGCTAGTTCTCATGGTAGTGACACCTGCATGCCAGGTATTAGTTTTGTGCTGAGTTATTTAGTACGCTCACGTGACAACTATTAAACGGATGTGTTGCTGGGATTGATGTCGTTAGTAGCCGGATGTGATTTTTTTTTTTTTTTTTTTTTTTTTTTTGACTCTCAATTTTTCAACTTCTATGTATTAAAATTACTAATTAGACAAAACGCATTGCCAATTTTTTTTTAAATACTTCATTATTTTGTTATAACTTGAGCTATTACTCTTATGTTTTTTTTACCTGGCTGTTACAAACGAAAACGTATACCCTTAAATATATAAATAACAACACATTGATAACTACAGTCAATCATGTTATATGGTGACACGCATCGACTAATTTTTTCATCTTTAACCATGTCTTCTGTACATATGTAAGCGACCAGTGTTTTTTCTATGGGAAAAATCCTATATTGTAAAACTAATACAATGTCCCGTTCCCTTCTAGGACAGCTGCCAAAAACTGACAATGTCCAGGTTGCTAGTCTTAGTTCTGCTGTTGTGTTCAGCCACCTTTATCGCAAGCCAGGGTAAGTAATCCGGGAATAGTTCTACACAAGGGGAAACAACTTTCTTTAGTTAATAACTTAGCAGTAAAACACTTTGCATTTAAAAAAAAAAAAAGACTATTGCACAGTATTTGAACATGCAAATTCATTTTAATAAAGCATTATGTTTTAAATATCAATAATCATATATAATAATCATAATATAGCAAGCATAATATTATAATAAAATTAATAAAATTAATTTTAGAAACAATAAAACTATGTACAATTTGTGATTTTAAAACTAAAAAAAACATTGTATTTAGAATGACAATTTTCTCTCCCCCCCCCCCCTTCCCACCGTTACAGGCCCAGGAGGCATGGACCCCATGATGATGATGTTTATGCTGATGCAGCACCACGACATGAGCAAAATCTGGCCACTCATGCTCATGATGCAGATGGGCGGGGGAGGCGGCAACGCGGGAGGAGCCGACCCATCAGCGGGCGGGGCAGGAGGGGGCGCCATGATCTAAATCCACATATTCACCATCCAATCCTGTCTTCAACAACCACTTAAACTCACATCAGCGTGTTCATACAATCCACTCAGCCTCGCACACATCCATCCAAAGATGAGACCACTCTTGTTGACTTGTTCAAACTATTTGTTCAGATACACTTTATACAAGCAATCCTTTTCTTCCTATGTAAATTTTTTTTAAACTGTTGCCCATCGCTATCAAAACTGTTCGATATGTTTTATGTGTTACATGCAATACGAGATATTTTATTCTAAATATTTATTTAATAAAATATTTTAACCACCTCTGGACTATGATCTGAAATTTTGGGTTAAAAATTTATTTTGTCATTCTGTGTCGTCTGTCCAAAGATCAATAAGAATCCCATCAGATAAGGAACCAATAATATAGCACGTAACACATTTCAAAACTTTAGCTTCTTTCCATTCTGTAACACACCTTTGAAAATAATTGCTGAGGTAATACATTAAATCAAGACAGCAAGTCAAACTAAATTAGAAATCCCACCACATAATGTAACAAGTAATATAGGACGTGACACATTAAAAAACTCAAGCCTCTCATTGCATTCTGTAACACACCTTGAAAATAATTGCTGAGGTAGTACATTAAATCAAGACAGCAAGTGAAACTAACATATCCATTTAAAACCAGACATTCTTTACCCATCTAAATAAAACCAAAAACTTACAGAACCTGCACCCCCCTCCCCTTTCCAAACCTTTCACACAAAGTGAAAAAAACCCATACTGAAAACTTCACGCAAATCACATGAAATCTACCTGTAAGAACAGCGTTCGAACTTCATCTAAAGCAGTCTTACACTCCCTTTCTAAAACGTTGAGCTAATTCAATTGATCAACAAGCATATTCAAGATATTTTAAATATGATTAGAATCCAATCCATCCAAACGACAGCCAATAGGAAACGTACAAATCTTCAAAATAATGAAGAAACATCGTGTTTTTCTGGAAGCTTTCCATCAAACAGTCCAGGACCGCATCGGCCTGCAATTGAAAAAATAAGCTTTAGTGTTTCTTTCAGATTTTTATTCTCCAGGGGTGCACTGGAATCTTTTGGGTGGGTGGGGGGTGGGAAGGTCAGACACGGATAAAAGTATACATTTTCTATATAAATTATATTTCGTTTGGGGGGGGGGGGGGGGCGTGTTTCAAAGAAAAAAAACCATCCGTCCCTCAATGCTGTCAACCTCTTTCCTGTAAATATCACCAGGTGGGGACATCTCGTGTTAAACTCGACCTCAGCTTTGTAAAATTTAAGCTCAGTAAAATGTTATGTACAATTAACATGAAAGAGAATTCGAGTTCAATAAAATGTAAAGTATATTACAATATGATAGTAGATTCGAGTTCAGTAAAATGTAAAGTATATTACAATATGATAGTAGATTCGAGTTCAGTAAAATGGTTGTGTACAATAACACGAAAGTTAATCCGAGTTCAATAAAATGTAATGTATATAACAATGTGATTAGAAAATTTGAGTTCAGTAAAATGTTATACACAAAAAACATGATAGTGAATTTGAGTTTAGTAAAAGTTATGTATAATAATATGATAATAATATGAGGCCAGTAAAATTGTATGTACAATATCATGAAAATACTTACGCAAGGAAAAGTGGATTAAACCATACACAAATACATCGGGCGAACTAACATTTTGACACTAATCCAGTGCCGGCGCCAGATTATTTAGCGCACTAGGGCAGAACTTATTAAAAGCGCCACCCCCCACCCCCCCCCCCGCAATTTTTTTCGTGTCCCCGTATTATCAGAGGCGTATCGACCCTTCCCGGCGCCCGGGGACAAACTTTCGATTTGCACCCCCCCCCCTTCAAACTTTCGATTTGCACCCCCACTCAAACTTTCAATTTGTTTTCCCAACCCATTTTGGCGCCCCCCCCCCCTACGGACAGCGCCCTAGGCGACCGCCTAGTTCGCCTTATAGGTAGCGCCGGCCTGCACTAGTCCCAAGTGACAACATTCAAAAGCATTGGCCACACATAACGATCTATAACACTTATTGAAAGTACTTGTAGAGCTAATATATTGGACCTAGACAGCTAACCCGAAAAGTCTCGAGTTCGAATCCGGGTTCAAGTCAGTAGAACGTCCTTGAGTCGTCCCCCCCCCCAACCAGATCTAATAGATACCTAACTCACGTTTTTGGGAAGTAAAGGCGGCTGGGCATAGTGTTGACCACATTATCTCTTCACATGCCGAGATCAAGAATATTGAACTCTACTTCATCTGCTCGGTGTATCCCTAAATCTAAAGAGGAATCTTTACTTTTGAACACATTGGATCGAGACAGCAAGTTACACCATCACATTGAAATTCAACCTGATTTTACCACTTCCATTTTCCACTTGAAAAGCAAATCGTACTTCAGCTGTCCAGATCATGTATGTGAAAGCAAAGCATATTAAAACTGAAGCCGCCCCTCTCTTTATCATCCACATCAAACCAAAGCACATTGAAAACTAACACCCTTTACCTATTTAACATCCACATCAAACCAAAGCACATTGAAACTAACACCCCCACCCCCTTCTTTAAAATCCACATCAAACCAAAAGCACATTAAAACTAACCCCCTCCCCCCCCCCCCCCTCCGTCCCGTCCCCGTATAACAAGCTATTGTTATTTGCGGCCCTCTAACCCAACAACATTGATAGTTACCATAGTTTAAAAAAAAACTAGACTCTCTCCTTTCTAACGATCTAGAAGTATCGCTCCAGTAACAGAAACCAATTTTTGAGCAGGCGCACGTCGAACATCGTAAACAAGACTTTAAATGCGAGATCACTGACTAAATAAGTCCAAATTCTCCTGATTTCTCTCTATACATAACAACCGCAAGGTCGCATCTACCTGCAGGAGAAGATATAGACTTGCATGTTATTCAACTCTTTCTAATAAAACATCACATGTGTGTTTATCAAACTTTATAATAAAATACTATAATAGTATATAATTATATCAAAAGGATACATCTGTTGTCAAAACTTTATAAGACAATATTATATGAGTATGTATGTTGATAAACAGCTCCTTGTAAAGCATTATGTGTTCTTATATGGTTTTGTCCACAACTTTTAAACACTAACTAAAAATCAAACTATGGCGTTACAAAAACTCTCCCTCTACCCAGCGGCGTAGCTAAGGAAGGAGGGTGGGGCGGTCGCACAGGGTGCCGACCCTAAGGGGGCGCCAAAAGGGGTGTAAAAATTAAATAGCTCACAGTAAAATCAACGGTTAAAAAGCTGTACACAGATTTAATTGTTTTCTACATCAAATATGTGGCCACAACATTAAAAAAATAAATCTGTGACTAGTAGAAAGCGCCACAACCTTTTCAACGGGGTGGAGTTTTGGGGGGGGGGGGGTTACTTTTTCACTAACATGAATAACAACTATAAATATAAATCGGAGAAGGAGGGGGGGGGGTGAAAATTCGATAGTTCACCCCGTTGTCGGAATGGGTCGTTACGCCTCTGCCTTTTCTCCCCCTCCCCCAGGCTTTAAGAGCCAAGTGCAGTTTGACTTAGCACGTCTTCAATATATGGGATAGAAATAAAATTGGGGGATCTGGATATTTTCCCGAAATGCACTTTAAAGAATGTCGTTTGCACGAATGCTGTTTACCAGATTTCTAATTCTATCCCAATTAGATCATTAGGTTTAGGGTCAATTTGTAATAGAATGGGGGTGGAGCTTAGTAGCTATACACAGGAGTATAATTGACAGGGTAATTCATAAGGAGATTACTGGCAGGGGTAAATACTTGGAGAGGGGATAAAATGTCCCAGGGAAATATCCCGCTCCCGATTTTAACAACACAGTTTTTAGAGTTTAGTGCAAGTTCGGGTCAAGGCTGCTGATAAAGGAAAATGAAGCAGAGTTCAAATATTTCGTTGGAAAATATACGATTCCAATCCATATTGTATTCAACGCAACACATGTCTCCACAGACAAGCATGTTCTACATCATATTTCTATCGAGGCCATATTCCACATCAAATTCCTACAGAGCACATGTTCCACATCTTATTAAACTAAACCTAAAGACCCCACCCTTGTATACACCCCCCCCCCCACAACAACCACCCCCCTGGGGCACTCCATATGTAACCAACCGAATTCCAAAACGACTTACCTGTCGATTGCTGAGCACGTTTATCAAATTCCCGAAGAGCACAAGGATGAAGAAGAAAGCCTGTTTCTCCAAAACCTCTCTCACCGAACTGATGTACTTCATTTTTTTTTTATTTTCCACCAAGTTAACGACTCGGTAGAGGTCGGCCTATAATGGGACTGAAAATTTGAACGGTGTCGTTAATTTAAGAAAATGCGCCAAGCAGTTTTCAATTTCAATTTATTTTTCATTTTTTATTAGCTGTAATAACGTATCCATAACAATGATATCATCATGGAGCATTGGAATTAGCGATGGCCTACAATAGATTATCCCCAACCAGGGGCGTAGCTAGGAGGGAGGGGGGGGGGGGGGCGGACCGCACGGGTGACACCATTTAGGGGGGTGACACCTAGGCAAAAAATAGCAAAATATATAGAGAAAAATAATAATTCCACCTAATTAAGTGATTAATTCGAGTGTTAAATAGTCTTTTAAGTGGTGCAAATCGAAAGTTTGAGGAGGGGGGGGGGGTGCAAATCGAAAATTGAAAGTTTGTTACGTCTCTGGGGGGGGGGGGGGTGACACCATTAAATGCGCACCGGGTGACACCCGACATCGCTACGCCACTGTCCTCGAGGCAGGGGTGTTAAGTTGTTAGTGTTATGGTCAGAAATTAGGATTTTAGCGTTAGGGCTATGACTTCTATTCAGGCTAGAGTTACGGTTAGCAATGGCATTATTAAGACCTATTTATAATTATTTAATCACGGTAACCCAACACCCCATTTTTGAGTAGATTCCATAATTGTGGCGTTATCGGTCACTACTATACAATATACAATTTAAAACTTAAATTTGAATGTTTAATAATATTCCCAGTAAATGTTTAATACGCCAAACCATAACACTAAAAGTAGTAGGTCTACTCGTCGGTTAGCAGTAACTAAGGACTGACTAAAACCTGTCCTCTAACCTTAATCCAAGAGCTGGATGCTCATCCTGACCCCAATTGGGGTCTTGTCCAGATAAGCCCCGTCACTAATGCAACAATTGCATGGGCGAAAAGTTAAGCCCCGCCACTAATGCGAAAAGTTAAGCCCCGCCACTAATGCGAAAAGTTAAGCCCCGCCACTAATGCGAAAAGTTAAGCCCCGCCACTAATGCAACAAGTGCATAGGCGAAAAGTTAAGCCCCGCCACTAATGCGAAAAGTTAAGACCCGCCACTAATGCGAAAAGTTAAGCCCCGCCACTAATGCGAAAAGTTAAGCCCCGCCACTAATGCGAAAAGTTAAGCCCCGACACTAATGCAACAAGTGCACAGGAAAAGATAAGCCCCGCCACTAACGCAACAAGTGCACAGGAAAAGATAAGCCCCGCCACTAATGCAACAAGTGCACAGGAAAAGATAAGCCCCGCCACTTGTGGTCTATTTCTGATGTCTAGACATGTGAATATTTAAACGCACGACATAAAAACAGCTCCTTATCCACCTCTAGGGTTGGGTTTAGGGTTATAGGTACCAAAATACAAAAGTTTTCATTACTTATTTACACCCTCTTCAATAAAGTCTACAAGTACAAGTTTCATATCCTCTTTTTACTTTTCTAATATTTTATTTTTCTTGGGTTTAGGGAGTTAACTTTTTTGGCGTGGCTTCTCTGGGACGGAGTGGCCTAGCGGTAGAGAGCTGGATTGCTAACCCGTAAGTCTCGAGTTCGAATGCGGGTTCAAGTTAGACCGTCCCAAACCTGATGGGTGCCTAATTCACGTTAGGGAAAGTAAAGTTGGCTGGGCATAGTGCTGACCACACTATCTCTTCATATGCCGAGGTCACAAAAACAAGTGAACTCTACTTCACTTACCCCGTAGACCGTCAGGTTTGAAAGGGGAACTTTTTTCTCTGGACAACCTCAATTTTTGCTTCAAACCTTATCCTTTATCTCAAACCTTAATATAATATTATTGATAACATTCTAGATCTAGCTTGATAAAGCCTTAGGCTTAAAGTTAAAGCGTAAGCCTCAATCATCTAAATTCCTAACCCTGACTCCAAGAGTGTCCATCTGTATACCTGCTACTGAAATCATAGGTAGAATATGACGAAGAAAATGGTATTATTGTTACCTTAGTTCGCCTCTAACTTGTGCTAATATGAGCTGGTCATACAATCAAGGACACGCATGTCTCATTGACTTTGTTTACATTGCTTTCATTTTCTAAAAAACTGAAGTCTTGCTGCACTTTTTATACATATTACGTCACTTCCGAAGACACAAAAAAATAAAAAAGTGTAATGTAACAACAACAAAAAACAAAGGAGAGAAATAAAAATATGTTTTACAAAGTATTGCAGATACACAGTTTAAATACAATATCTGAAGATAATAATAATTTAGATCACACAAGTTTTAATACAAATGTCGTTAGATTACAATAGTGTTAATACAAATGTCGTTATATCACACTCGTTTTAATACAAATGTCGTTACATCACACACGTTTTAATACAAATGTCGTTACATTACACACGTTTTAATACAAATGTCGTTAGATCACACACATTTTAATACAAATGTCGTTACATTACACACGTTTTAATACAAATGTCGTTAGATAACACACGTTTTAATACAAATGTCGTTAGATCACACACGTTTTAATACAAATGTCGTTGGATGCCACTCGTTTTAATACAAATGTCGTTAGATCACACACGTGTTAATACAAATGTCGTTACATCACACATGTTTTAATACAAATGTCGTTAGATCACACACGTTTTAATACAAATGTTGTTAGATCACACACGTGTTAATACAAATGTCGTTAGATCACACACGTGTTAATTCAAATGTCGTATGATCGGACACTTAAATAAAGAACCAATCCAGAACTGGGACGAAGTTGACCACATGGATTAACGGATCAAACGTGGATTTTGTTTAGAGTGGGGGGGGGGGGGAAGAAATGGGGGCTAAAATTTTGATAGACGTACATTTTAAGCATAAGAGCTAAGTTATAAAAACATTGTATGGTAATTAGACCTAAGACTGCCTGACTTTCAATTAGGGGTGATCCATTAAGGACATTTTTTTTGTACAACTTTTACCTCCTCTCAACCTCTCCATCGTCAAAACAGCACCTCCACCTTAAATGAAGTCACAATTCAACATACACCCTTTCCCCCCTCAAATGTGCATTTTCTTTTCGTTTTAAAAAAAAAATCATATTCTTTCGAAAATATTTTCTATTAGAATTTACAAAAGTCTTTCAAATTGGGAAATTCAGCTTTTAACATTACTTTTTGAAACTGCAAAATGACTTCATTTATAGACGACCCACTAACCATATCTTCTTTCTTCTTCTTTGTTCTTAATTTTAGTGTTGCAAGGGATCCCCTCCAGCACAATTAAGTATACGTGTCAACTGGTTATGCGCCATTGAGGCCATTGACTCCGATTTCAGCCTGCTTTTCATTTTTAATTTGCTTCCATAGCCTTTGTCCAACCAAGAACAAACTACAAGGCAGCAGTTGTTTGAACTTGGAATAGTCTCTACTAGAAGAGTGGCTGTCCCCAGCTAACGAGGGGTTCGAACTCGAGGGTTCGAACTGGAGACTTTTCGGGTTAGCAACCATGAGCTAAATAAAAAACCGGAATACTCTAACGGAAGCTTTACGCAAAAACCTTTCACAGTACAAATAAAACCTATTGAATCCGCTTCAGATTGTCTAGACTAGACTAAAACTGTGGCAATGGGTAGGATATGTGTCGGCAAGTCAAGTTAATAAAAAAAGCACCCCCAAAACTTATTTGCAAAGAGCGGTGGTGAATATTACACTCCTAGTATTACTGTCTTGCAGTTGAATTATGCTCAGTATGGGGGGGGGGGGGGGGGTAATAATTTCCCGCTGTTTTCCTTGCGCTTGAAAGCCTAACTACACTTGCCACAAAACAATGAAGCTTATCGTGTCAAATCGAACTCTGAATTCCTACATAACCTTACCAACAACCATTTGATTCAGTTGCTTACAATAATAAATTCGAAACGAAAATGGGAATTTTTTGTACGTCATGTAGAGGTAGAAATATTTTAAAATGATATAATGAAGCTATTGACCGCTTTACCCTAATAGTAGAAGGGGGGTTATATTCTTTTCTCTAACTAGACACTCTACACGTCGGGCATGGGGTGGGAGAGAGCGTGGTCACCAGAGGCGTAGCGATGGGGGGGGGGGGGGGGGGCAGGGGGTACATATGTCCCCGGGCGCCGACCTTAGGGGGCGCCAAAATGGGTTGTAAAAACAAATTAAAATGTCATTTTAGCTGCATTTTTGCATTATAAACAGTTGGGGGGTGAAAAAGAAAGTTTGGGGGTGGGGGTACAATTTGAAAATTTGCTCCCGAGGGGGGGGGGCGCCAAATTGAAAGTTTGTCCCCGGGCGCCGGGAAGGGTCGCTACGCCTCTGGTGGTCACAGTGTTTCTGTCAGACATCTTTTCGGTGGTGGGGAAGGTACTGTAAATAGAAAAAAAATAATATAAAAATATGCAGTGTAACCATTGTCCGCACCCCCTCCCCCCCTCCGGAAGCGACACTATTCCATCGTCGCATCTAGCTATGACTTTTAGGTTTTTTTCAAAGTACACACTTTTACCACAATGCTCTTCAACCTTAACAGCCCACTGCCTACATTTAATGGTGTCTATCAGCCGTGTTTCTTTCAGACATTCTTTGCCTGGAAGGTGGAACTTGAAACTATCAGGAGGGGGGGGGGGTGCGGAATTAAATTACTGGGGGGGGGGGGGTCGGACACTGGCTTAAGTAAGTATTATATATTTTGTATATAAACTATTTAATTCGGAGTGGGGGGGTCGACATGCTTCCAGTGTTTCTTCCAGACTTTTTTCTCCGGGGGGGGGGGGGGGGGGCACTTGAAATTTTCGGTGGGGGGGGGGGGGCGGTAGACTTTCTTCGGGGGGGGGGCGGACACTGTTAAAAGTATATATTTTCTATATAAATTATATAAATTTCATTTCGTTTGGGGGGGGGGGGGGGCGGTAAGTAAGAAACTCTGCATGCTTCAGTGTGGGGTGCGGTGCCCCCCAAAGCAATTCCCGAAAGAAACTGTCTATTCTTGACGCTTCAACAAGCAATCTGTTATTTTAAATGTTGAATCCAAGTTTTTTTCTAGACGTGCATCATCGGTATTTTTTTCTCATTTGAGAAGTCATTAGAAATAAAACACAATAACAGTTACTGTATACGTCATTAGAAATAAAATACGCCTACAGGTACTGTATATGTAATGAGAAATGAAATACATCTACAGTTACTGCCTATGTAATGAGATATAATATACGTCTACAGCTACTGTATAGGTCATGAGAAATAAAATACGTCTACAGGTATTGTATGAGTAATGAGAAATAAAATACTTCTACAGATACCGTATAGGTCATAGGTCTTACAATAGACACATGTTGTAAATTCCAAAAACCACAATGTAAGGCAAACTGCATTAGCTCGTATTGCCATTGATTGTTATCTATTTTATCGGTTACACCCCCCCCCCCCTTTTTCTCTACCCTTTACAGTGGCACTTACATTTTTACTACTAAAAAACCCCACTACAGTTGCTAAAGATAGAATTTGTGCAAACAGTCTCAATCCCTGCCATTGATATTTTGTTATACAACACTGGGTCTGTGATACCCTATTTGCGCATGTCAGAAGAGTCGACCGTCGCGACGAGTTCATTCAAACCCTAGGGTGAAAGGAGAGGGGGGTGTTTGAAGTTTGTTGAGGCTATGTAAGCTGTTTAAAGGTCTAAGCCGCTCTTTGACTGTTGGATACATAACTTCGGTGTCTCTTTTTGTAAAGTTTGCCAAGCTAACCTAACATAAAGGAGTTGTTATTATTTATTGTATTTTAATGAAGATTGCGATCAAAACGTTTTTTTTTTAAATTTTCAATGAAAGATTAAGAAATTACGTATGCCTTCTAATTCATAAGCAGGGCAATTATAATTTATTCGTACTTTTGTAATTATATTATTTATATCCACTGGTGGAAGATATTATGAGTGTTAATTAGATAAGACTTCAATAGAAGATACGAATTGTTCCGTTTTCAGGTAATTCTCAATAATTTCGATAACTGTTTTTCCCAAAGTTTGTACTTTACTCTGAACATTATTTAATTTCTGAATTACTGTTTGTTATGTAGTTGATTAGATGAGCTTAATTTTGTTTTCTTTTAATTTTAAATCAACCAAACCATTTGATAGTGGACTGGCCATACAGTGCAGGATAGGCGAAGAGTAGGGTTAGAGTGACGTGGTCTGTGCTTGTTTGCTCATAATTTAATTTAATTTGGACTCTAGTTCTGCTAAATCAAAGGTCTGTAAACAACGGTCTTTTTGTTCTTTTACTAACCGAGTGCTTAGTCATCCTCCCAGTCAGTCTTGAGTGCAAGTCAGTCATGAATACCAGTCAGGCATGAGTGCCCGAGTCAGATCATCCGACCCCCCGGAAACGGACTTAGATTACTACGCCAGGCCTGAGAACTACACAGGAAGCAGTCTGAAATCTTTGACACGGTGAGTTGTCAAATTTGACTTGCATGCAAATATTGCAATCTATTTAAACAAGCTTCGTGTTAATTAACAAAGTATAAAGTTTTAATAATTGTACATTTTTTAGAAAAAAAAAGATATCTCGCCAACTCTTTTAGATATTGTCCCCTTTTTGAACCTGATGGTCCCTGGGGGAAATGAAGTAGAGTTCACCTGTTTTTGTGCCCTCTGCATATGAAGGGATAGTGTGGTCATCACAATGCCCAGCCGCCTTTAGTTCCCCTGACGTCAGTTTGGTACCCATTCGAGCTGGGTGGACTCTACTGGCTCGAACTCGAGACTTTCGGGTTAGCGATCTAGCGCTCTACCCCTTGACCATGCCGTCTCATTTTACATTTTGCTACTAGCATACATTTTAAACAAATTCATACTTTGGTACTTAAATGGTAGGAATATGAGTTTGTAAGTTAGACTTCCAGATCGGAATGAAGAAAACCCAAAACAAAAATTGCACTTAAACTGATCAATTCCTATGTATGTATGTCTGTATGTCAGTGGCGTAGCGAGGTCGGGTGTCACCCGGTGCGGCACTTAATGGTGTCACCCCCCCCCCCCTTCCCGGGGACAAACTTTCAAATTTTCGATTTACACCCACCCTCGAACTTTCGATTTGCACCCCCCCCCCCCTCAAGTTTTTCTCTATATATTTTGCTATTTTTTGCCTTAGTATCAACCCCCTAAATGGTGTCACCCGGTGCGGTCCGCACCCCCCTCCCCCGCCTCGCTACGCCTCTGCTGTATGTCTACCCTCTACAGTGAAACCTAGTGCTGAACATAAAAAAACACATTTATTTAAAAATCCTAATAAATTTTGAACAAACAACAGATTTTTGGCTGCCAAAGAAAGGGAAATCACTCTAGGGACAACAGAGACAAAAACAGATCCGACACTGAAAGACCAACAACTGCTGTACAGAAGATATCATCACATCCTTCCGGCGGATTTCTGCCGCCCCTCACCAAGCTCGGCAGACGACAAAGAACCTCCTGATATACTCATAGTGAGTCCGTCTGCGGCAGTACGAGAAGACAACCCCAGCACACTGTTTAACAATGCGGAAGACAACAGCAGCAATGACTCAAAGAAACACCACAATGATGGCTCAGAGATACGTATGTTCAACCAGAATATGTAGAGAGTACTCATACTGAATGAATATACCAAAAAGTTAAAAGCTTAGGACGGGGATATATTCAGAGGGGATGAGTGGGATGGAATGTTTTAGGGCAACGATAATTGCTAATGGTACTTTAGTCTGTGCTGTTCCCCGCTTCTTAAGTAACGCAAATTAGCTGGGACAGTAAAAACTCTGGTGTATTTAAAAATGTATGTAATATATATATATATATATATATATATATATATATATATATATATATATATATATATATATATATATATATACATACATAAAAGTATTTGATCATTTATATTTACATCTATGTAGTATTATGGAATTTTATCTAGAGGTAGAGAGCTAGATTGCTAACTCGAAAGTCTCGAGTTCGAATTCGGGTTCAAGTCAGTAGACCGTCCCTGAGTCCACTCAGCTTTAATGGGTGCCTAACTCACATTAGTGAAAGTAAAGGCGGCTGAGCATAGTGCTCACCACTATCCCTTCATATGCCGAGGTCACCGAAACAGGTGAACTCTAATTCACTTGCCCCATAGCCCGTCAGGTTTGGAAGGGAAACTTAAGTATCATGGCATTTTGTCTAATCTTCTAGCGGAAATTCCCCCCGCGCTGGCACCAAACGAGGGCACCAACTCGGCATTCATCACTCACTTAACTTTGGCCAACAGCGCCACCAGACTCTCTTCCAGGAGAAGTAGCCTCGCGTCCGTCAGGTTCGGCTCGTCCAGGAGCAGGCCATCAAGTGGTCTGTGTGCAACACGCCGATTGGCTGTAAGTCGGTGGTCTCCACCAATAGTATAGTTTGTTTCAAGGGGTGAGCCAGGGAAGGGATTTTACTGATGGTTGAACTCATGGGAGGCATAACCAGTGTTTCTTCCAGACTTTTTTCCCCTGGGGGTGGGGGTGTGGATGGCACTTGACATTTTCGGGTGGGGGGGGGGGGGGCAGATTAAAATTTCTGGGGGGGGGGGGGGGGCGGACACCGTTAAAAGTATATATTTTCGAAATAAATTCCATTTCGTTCTAGGGGGGGGGGGCGAAGAGATACCTGGAAGAAACACTGGGCATAACTCGAGAGCTCGTGGTTCGAACCCAGGTCATGTATCATGTTAAGCCTGGATTAATGTCGTGTCTGTATTAACAGCAGATTAGAGCTGTATCGATTTTTTAATCCTAACACTGTTTGCTCAGGAAATTGCAAAGTTTGCCTCAAAGTATTTTATGAGGATTCACGTTGTTTTTGTCTAAGTCAACTTGTGCTGTACAAACATAGTTTCATGATATAACTCCTGTTTGCTATGTCATTATCTTGTCAAGTGTGGTATTTATCTATCTATATAATTCTCTTCATGGAGACCATAGAAAACACCACGCAGCTAAGCCACCGCCCTCATCCCCACCTGTCAGGTGAGCTGTGGTTCACCCCGAAGGTTTACAATAGTAGAGCCGGTTAGAATAAGTGACGGCTATTAGGGGCAGAAAATTTCGTTTTTAAACGATTTGAAACTAAGGGGAGATAATAAGTTCTGCTTGACATTTTCACTGTCGTCTGTAAACGGCTGCTTTCACTGGGCGGGGTGGAGTGGGGTGGGGGGGGGGGGGGAGGCAGGGGAGGTAGTGGTCGAATTCACAAATATGAATTGTTGATAAGTAGAAAATAAACAACTAGATAGCGGCGTATGCTACGTCTCCGATCAGCTCGTACATTATATTTGCTTTATTTCTAAATTTAAACCTAATTCTAAGCAACACAGCGAATTTTAAGTAGTTTTAATTATAAGCACACACTGTCTTAAAAAAAAATTCTTATCATAGACTAAAAAAAGTTTTTAAAAAATGTCCCAGTAGCGTATAAACAAACTTTAATCTCGCGTAAGCCAAACTAAAACTAAACACAACAACACTTAGCGGGGAAAAAAACAACATAAACTTTGCTTTCAGTGTGGCTTATACAGCATGAAATGTCATTGGACAGTGCTTATCCGTCATCAATCATACTTGCACGACACACGATCGGCAGTATGACGCGTGCTCTATCGTATCGCGCGGGTCATAAATCAGTCCACTACAACAGGGGTCTCCAAACTTTTCAGCCCGAGGGCCGTATTAACTATCACATATCAGTTCGGGGGCCTGAGTTTCTTTAAGGCATCTCTTTAGGGTCGTGGCGCCCCCCTCCCCCCACCCGAAAAACGTATACCGCCCTTCTATAACTTGTCTCTAAGGAGGTCAGTTGCTTGCAAATCAATGACCTCCAGCTGCAGTTCATCTTTGCAACTGGCCACATTTGCTTCAAATGGGCTTTGAAACAGTCTCACTTCTTCTGCCTTTGAATCCAAGTCAGAAAACCTCTACTAAAACTGCAGCTGGAGGTCTGTGATGATCTCGTATGCAAATTACGTGGGGAACTCAGCCATGAAGACCTTGCACTGCCGAAAGTGTGTCAAGTTGTTAGCCTGTACTTGTTCCAAAAACATGACAAGTTTGTATCTAATGGCCTTTAGGTGTGTATAGATCAGACACAAGTGTTCACTCTCTTGTCGTTTTAGGTTCAGAAAATTTAAATGACTAGTTGTGTCTGCAGCAGAGGCCAATTTCTATACCCACTCTTCATCAGACAATAATGGCTGTGACTTGCCTTTACTATAAGGAAGTCACCTATTTCTTTTCTTAGATACTCGGCTCAGAATTTTCTCGCAAAATTAGCAATCTTATTGATGTGATTTTGTGTTTGTCTCTGAACTATCTATGGTTAGATATCCTCTTCGGTTAGAGTGTCATACATTATATGTAGGGAAGCCAGCTCTTGTGTTATGTTCTTGTCTTCATCCACACCTCTAATGAACACACGCAGTTGAGAGGTGGAACAGCTGTCCAGCGATTCATCCATTGCAATTGAAAATGGCGAAACTTGCTTGAATTTTTCGCTATTTGAGTCACGATGTTTTCACCAATATCTGCAACACGGCGAGTAATTGTATTTGCACCCAAAGATACATTTTCAAATAGTTTTGAACTTTCTGTGCAAAGCTCCTCAGCCACCTCCAACAAACATTTATTCAGTGGACAAAACGATCGTCGCGGGCCGGATAAAATGACCTCGCGGGCCGCATCCGGCCCGCGGGCCGTAGTTTGGAGACCCCTGCACTACAAGATCGACAAGCATGTTTTGAAAGTATATCTACTTGCTTATGCTTCGTTCAATATAATCGATCAACAGTGGCGGTTTCGGGATATACGGTTCGAGTTGATATCGAAGGGAATTTGAAAGCCTCCGTCAATAGTCTAAGTAGCAACCTGTGTTAGCAAACAAAAGCCACTTCTGCTAATTGGCCAAGAGAAATAAACAGAGTAAATGGGGGAAAAACCCTGCACTTTCAACTATTTTTTTTTAGAACGAAACAAATAATGTGATAACTTTTTATACACTGAAGTCTACCTTTGGCTGTCTAGATAGACAAAGTTCTTTTAGGTGTGGAACCGATTTTTTTTTTTCTTCTTCCTTCAATCACTAGCCCAATTTAGCTATACGAATCAGAAATACGAGGTTAGGTGGCTTAGACGTACCCCTCTTGTAGATTTTCACAATAACGTTTGTTCGTGGCTTCTTCATCATGTATCCGTTGGGAAAATTTAGCAATAACCTGTAAGCGTGAAGTTGGCTCACTGTGGTAAATATGATGGAATAGAATGTTATTTGATAACAAATCGATTGCCTTGAATATAGAAATAAAATACTTTAAAAAAACTTTTTAAAAAACCACGTTTTTCTTGTGGACTAAAAAGTAGAAAATAAATTTTCATACATTTGATGACAAAAAACGTGGGTACGTTCACCATCAAATTTCCCGACCCATCTGCCCGACCCACGTTTTTTGTCATCAAATGTATGAAAATTTATTTTCTACTTTTTAGTCCACAAGAAAAACGTGGTCTTTTAAAAAGTTTTTTTAAGTATTTTATTTTCTCCTTTTTAGTCCCTTGCTACACATGAAAAACGTGGTTTTTAAAAAAGTTTTTTATATAGTTTATTTTCTACTTTATCTAATGACTTGATTAACTATGACTTGACTACGTGTTTATAAATACACGGACTAAAAATCTTGAGCGACCAGGATTCGAACCTGGGTTGTCGCGGCCACAACGCGAAGTACTAACCGCTATACGATCACGGCCAGCGCGCTCACATCGATTGGGGCCGAAGTAACTGTGTCAATAGGCCTCCAGTCTTGTCGGTATCTTTAGAAATCATGTCCTCAATTTTATGGTCCTTGGGGCGTAATTAAATTAAGCTAATTACGGTCTCTAATTGCTAGTTTTTATGATTGCATCTGAAATTGTTAGGCGAAAGTAGCCTGCATGCCAAATTTCAGATCTCTAGAGCAATCAGAAGTGGGCTAATTTTCGATGTCAATTTTAACAACAAACATCCAAACAAACAAACAAACGCGAAGCTGAGTTAAGAATAAAATACTTAAAAAAAAACTTTTTAAAAAACCACGTTTTTCTTGTGGACTAAAAAGTAGAAAATAAATTTTTCTTTTGTGCTTCCTCGAGCTGTGCAGATTCTTGTGATGACTGACAAAAAACGTGGGTACGTTCACCATCAAATTTCCCGACCCATCTGCCCGACCCACGTTTTTTGTCAGTCATCACAAGAATCTGCACAGCTCGAGGAAGCACAAAAGAAAAATTTATTTTCTACTTTTTAGTCCACAAGAAAAACGTGGTTTTTAAAAAAGTTTTTTTTAAGTATTTTATTTTCTCCTTTTTAGTCCGTTGCTACACATGAAAAACGTGGTTTTTAAAAAAGTTTTTTATATAGTTTATTTTCTACTTTATCTAATGACTTGATTAAGTATGACTTGACTAAGTGTTTATAAATACACGGACTAAAAATCTTGAGCGACCAGGATTCGAACCTGGGTTGTCGCGGCCACAACGCGAAGTACTAACCACTATACGATCACGACCAGCGCGCTCACATCGATTGGGGCCGAAGTAACTGTGTCAATAGGCCTCCAGTCTTGTCGGTGTCTTTAGAAATTATGTCCTCAATTTTATGGTCCTTGGGGCGTAATTAAATTAAGCTAATTACGGTCTCTAATTGCTAGTTTTTATGATTGCATCTGAAATTGTTAGGCGAAAGTAGCCTGCATGCCAAATTTCAGATCTGTAGAGCAATCAGAAGTGGGCTAATTTTCGATGTCAATTTTAACAACAAACAAACAAACAAACGCGAAGCTGAGTTAAGAAAAACGTGTTAATAAAAACGTGTTAAAAAAATAATAAAAAGCAATATTTATAGATACTAGCGGTCGTTCATGAATGGTGACAAATATTTCAAGCTAATACTAACACCCCGTCGTCATACAATGTCACTAAAGATATTCCCACAGCACATCCACCATATAAATATAAATCTAGAAAAAAAGTAAACAACTTATTCGATTTTTTTTTCAAGTGCCAATTCTAAATAAACACGTAAGGCATGTTTCATTACACCTGCCTCTGTTCCACTTTGATCAAACAATGTGGGAAATCAGCACACATTCTTTCGGGCGAGTGATGTCCCTTATAGCGTGACACACCCCATCTTAAATATATAACCTAATTACCCCTGACAAAAAACCCATCCACTTAAGTTCTTGCTGACGATGACCCGTATGCATAAAGCAGAAGTCAAAGCGCGTGTTAAATTAAATCTTCTGTCAACTATCCCGACATCACGACGTGTTTAAAACACGCTCTGATAGCTGACCGCGGAGTTCGATTTATTGGAACCCCTCTCTCCGTCAACCTGCCCAATCACTTCATTTGCCGAGATCGGTGACAATCGATACTGATAGCATCAGATCAGTCGCTCACGCTGATGGGGACTGGGTTCAGTCGAGCGTGAAGCGGGGTATGGCATTAGCCACGCTTAAAGGGTGGCGCGTTAGTCTTGGATAGTGCTCGGGGAGTTTGAAGTCAGTCTTCTGTGCTATTAGCTAGGGAAGTTTGAAGTCAGTCTATGTGCTATTAGCAGAAGGGAAGTTTGAAGTCAGTCTTTTGTGCTATTAGCTCGGGAAGTTTGAAGTCAGTCTTGTGTATGCGTTTAGAAAAAGGGAAAAATGAAGTCTCAAGTGCTTTCAGCTAGGGAGATTTGAAGTTAGTCTTTTGTGCTTTTAGCAAAAAGGAAATTAAAAGGCTCTAGCGCTTTTAGCAAGGAAATTTGAAGTCAGTCTTGTGTGCTTTTAGCTAAAGGAGATTTAAAATCTGCGTTTAGCTAGGGAAATTTGAAGTCGGTCTTGTGTACTTTCAGGCAAGAAAAATTTGGAATCAATTGGAGAAGTTCGGATTTATTGTCGTGCGTGCTTTTGGATTGGTAAAAAACATTCTGAGCTTTATCCCAGATGTGCTTTTGATTCGGGAAAACTTTACAGCTATGTTTTTTTTTAAAGTTTAGCTAAATAAAAAATTCAGAGACACCACCTTCAGTACTATCAGTTGAAAAAATTTCAGGCTATAGTTTTAGTTTTTTTTTTAGCCAGGGAACAATTTGGAGCCAGAAAACAAGACTATTATTATACACAATAGCGAAAGTAATAAAAAATTATAAAATTTAAAAAAAGCAACCAAATTAAAGGTTTACTTTTTGAGACTTACTGAAACATCAAAAACGGATTTATTATTTTTTCATTGTAAAAAGAAAAATAAATATAAATAATTGAAAGTTAGTGTAGTGCAATGAACATTGAATGCTCTGCTTGTCTTGGATAACTTCTAGAGTTTAGATATTGGATACAATAAGTTTTCTACCTGCCTTCATGTGGACACTAAATGATTTCTTATTGTACAGATTCTCTCATTGATGAAGTCGTCAGATCACTGCAGTGTATCTTTGATATTCAGCCAGAATTGTATGTGAGACAATCGCATACAGAAATAAAACAGCAAAATAGTGAAGGTTTTTAAAATAAATTATATATGGCTAGTAATTAATTTAATTCATGACTTATAGAAATCAAACTACAAGATACAGTGTTGTTAGGGTCTATCCTTATATAACAACTACAGTTTCATCAACCATTGTTTCTATATTATCCGAATTCAGATTTGCGCTTTTATACATTATGTTATTCAAGTTATTTACACATTTAACCCGATTATTCACTATTTTATTGAGAACAAAGTTTTAAAAAGGAAAAAAAAAGAATGATTTATGTTTCATGTTTACCAATCGAGAATGGATTTCGTTCTGTTCCCGAAAATTGGCGACTACGCCATTGACCCTGACCTTGTCAACGAGCAGTTAGACTTCTGCCCGGCCGGCACGCAGCATAAGTCAAGAATCCAACAAATCCGCGCGCTTCTGCCCAGCATTCTGCTAAACAAACACCGGAACTCCACCAACGCTGGTACCCGTGACTTTGGAGACAGGAAACCTAAAGACAAACTACCTGAGATCGACGGTCAAACGGGTTTACAGACCCGCGTAGAAGCTGTAGTTTTTAAGGAAGATTCTAGAAAAGATACGTTGAGTCCTAAAACAATGTTCTTTAAAAAATGGGAAGATGTTCCTCTGCCTATGTTAAGCCCGGAACCGAGTAAATATCCAACAGGAAGTGCAGATATCAAAAGTAGAAATATTGATAAATTGTCAGAAAAAACTTGTAAAAATAGTTTGGAAATTGTTCGCTCCAATACGGAAATATGGGATGCCCAAGAGCAAAAGAAACTTCAACAAACGGACAGTATTGTGTCAGATAAAAGTGATGCCTTGTTTCAAGATTTTAAAGTCGCTCCAGTTCAACAGATCAGTTCAAGGGAAGCCTCTCTCGATGTTGCAGATGTATTAGGTGGTGCAGACTCTAACATCACCCGCCCCAACCTGAGCCTGTATCACGTGGTCGCCAAGCTCCACCCACAGGCCGTGACCAGGCCTGGACCAGAAGTTCACCCTCGGCTGGCCACACCATCTGACCAGGTGGTTTAATTAAGACACGTCATGGTTGGGGTGTTTGGGGCGTAGTTCATGTTATAGACACACGGGTAATGCTATAGTGGCAGGATAGTAGTATTGTTCTTGTGTCCGTGATGTGTTTAGACTAGGGTAGCCAAATACTGATTAGTCCAGTTAGTTTGGTAGCCTAATTAGACTGGTAGCCAAATACTAGCTTACTTTGTCCTATAGTCCGCAATGTGTTTTACACGCACCAGACAAGAATATGCTTGTAAGTCATTTTATCCCTATGTTATTAAGACATGCCCTTTATTAACCTATCCCTTTTTTACTTTTCAGCTGGCCGAGAAGTTCAAGAAACTTTCAATTGCTGTCAAAAATGTATTAAAATTAGCTAAGGCTATTATCAAAACGTAAGTTCTGTGTACCTCTAGTCTTAGATCTTAGTGGAAGATGTATTAAAATTCTGTATGATTGGCTCACTGGTTCACCTCCCCCTGACCACATGTACAAACTTTACTGACCACATGTGTACAAACTCTAAGACTCTAAGACTCCCCAACACCCCCACAGCTCAGACAGCACCAGTGCTCTCCTCAAGACGTTCACCAGCTTGTCCAAAGAACAGGATGCAGACAACGACGAGTCATCCAAAGAGCACATGAAAAGTTATGGCCTACACTTTGACCCCTCCTATTTCAAGGCCAATCGAGAGGTAAGAAACCACGTTTAACTCAGTAGAATAGAACTTGGTGTTGTAGGGGCGGTGCGCTTATTTAGAACACATAATGTTTGTAGGGGTTGTGCATATATTATACACACACAATGTTTGTAGGGGTTGTGCATATATTATATACACACAATGTTTGTAGGGGTTGTGCATATATTATATACACACAATGTTTGTAGGGGTTGTGCATATATTATATACACACAATGTTTACGTTGGTTTAACCTTTCCACCCTGCCCTTTATCATAGTGTTTATTATTTCCAGAGATCTCACCACACCACATGTAGTGTCGTTACCACACACTTCGGCATCATAAACCACACACATTTTCACATGATCTTTCTACCATCACAAGATCTGTCTTCATATGATCTTTTTGTGTTCTTAAGATATTTCTGTCTTCACAAGATCTTTCTATTTTAACATGATCTTTCTACCTTCACAAGAACCGTCTTCATAGGATCTTTCTGTTTTCAAAAAAATCTTTCTTGATAAGATATTTCTGTCTTCATAAGATATTTCTATCTTTACAAGATCTTTCTGTTTTCACAAGATCATTCTATCTTCACAAGATCTTTCTATTTTAACATGATCTTTCTACCTTCAAAAAGCTGCCTTCATAGGATCTTTCTGTTTTCAAAAAAATCTTTCTTGATGATATCTTTTTCTTTTCATAAGATCTTTCTATCTCTACAAGATCTTTCTGTCTTAAAAAAAATCTTTCTTGATGAGATCTTTCTATCTCCACAAGATCTGTCTGTTTTTAAAAAAAATCTTTCTTTTTGAGATCTTTCTGTCTTCATAAGATCTTTCTATCTCCACAAGATCTTTCTGTCTTCACTCGATCTTTCAAGCCTTAGATGTCTTAACTATCCTGTCCCCATTCTCTAACTGCTGGCATTTGACCTACTCACCCCCAGATCTCCCTGAGTAGTGAAGTTAGAGGCATCCTAGGGCTACATCCAACAGACAGGACCCCGGAACGAATACAGACGGTGAGTACTTAGAATAATAAATTTAGTGAGGTTAGGGTTGGGGCTACATCCGACAGACAGGACCCCGGAACAAATACAGACGGTGAGTACTTAGAATAATAAATTTAGTGAGGTTAGAGGCATCCTAGGGCTACATCCAACAGACAGGACCCCGGAACGAATACAGACGGTGAGTACTTAGAATAATAAATTTAGTGAGGTTAGGGTTGGGGCTACATCCGACAGACAGGACCCCGGAACAAATCCAGACGGTGAGTACTTAGAATAATAAATTTAGTGAGGTTAGGGTTGGGGCTACATCCGAAAGACAGGACCCCGGAACAAATACAGACGGTGAGTACTTAGAATAATAATTTTTTTAAAAAATCACTGACAGGAAACTAAGATGTCCAAAATGCAGAAGGGGTGTCTGTTGGTATGTTCGTGGCGTTAACTGCCGGGTCACTGTGTTTAATAAGTTGGACGAGTTATCCATTGCGTAACATTGATTGGTCAACAGGCTATTCAATGTACGTACACTTCAACATATTAATGAAAAGCGTGGTTAGCGATCTTCCCAGTCGCTTTTGTTTTCCTAACGTGAGTTAGGTACCCGTCAGGGATGGGTGGATTCGAACTAGACTATCGCAGTCTAGCACTTTACCGCTAGGCCACGCCGTCCCCTTATTATTTTGTGTTAAATGTCAGGTAGTCTTGCAAGCTACACTTGGTATCCGCTCCTTTAACTAGCTGTACAGCAAGTTGAGTGACCGACGTAGACGTAGAAACATTTGAAAATTCTCCAGGTCAAAATCTGGCTCTGAGTAGGATTCGAACCCAGTAGACCTACTAAAAGGCTAGTTGTTACATATGTTATCACACAACTATATATCAAATGTTGTATCTGATTTTACGCATGTTTTAGATCCAATACCATTAAACATGTTCTGTTTTTAATTCTGTTTTATAATATCTCATCCAATTTGTTATTTGCACATTTGTAATTTCGACATCGAAAACGCAAATGCACTTAATCTTTATGATTAATGACTACAATATTTTAAGAAATGATGATCCCCCCCACCCTCACACACATATAAACAGTTGCTTTTTTTTAAAAATAAAATAATTTTAAAAAGTTCCTATTCCTCATTAGACCTAGCGATCCATTGGGGAAATGAAGTTGAGTTCATTCGTTGATGACCTAAACATCAGAGTTTCTTCTAGGCATCTCTTCGAAGAAAGTCTACCGCCCCCCCCCCCCCCCTGAACGAAATGGGATTTATATAGAAAATATATACATTTAACAGTGTTCTTATAAATAGTTTCTGACGATAAAATAATTGTGTAGCTGTGCCACTGATTTTTGTATCCACTGATTAACAGGCAATGTTCGGGCTACAGAGCATTCCATCGTTCGCAGAATACCCACTACACATGCAGGAAAAACTGGCCAAAGTTGCCTGGTTGGACATGTATGTATGATCTGACTTTATCTACAACCATTTTATATGACTATGGCCATAAGCAATTTATATAACTTTAGCTAATACCATTTTATATGACTATGGCCATTAGGGATATTTATATGACTTTAGCCATAAGTAGTGTATATGAGTTTAGCCAGTACCTGTTTATATGACTTTAGCAAGCACCAATTTATATGACTTTAGCCAGTGGCGTAGCGACCCTTCCCGGCGCCCGAGGACAAACTTTCAATTTTCGATTTGCACCCCCCCCCCAAACTTTCGATTTGCACCCCCCCCCCCTCTACCCTCGTCGGGATTTGTCAAATTTGCTCTTAAAAGACTTTTTAACAATCGAATTAATCACTTCATTAAATGTAATTATCATTTTTCTCTACATATTTAGCTTTTTTTTTTGCCTTGGTGTCACCCCCTTAAATGGTGTCACCCGATGCGGTCCGCACCCCCCCCCTCTCGCTACGCCACTGAATTTAGCATCTCAGTTTATATGACTTTAACCAGTTCAACTGGTTCTCTTTTCAAGAATTATATACTATTATTATACTTTTTTTCAGCATTTAACATGTATTATATAAAATTATGGGAGGGTGGGGTAGAACGGTAGAGTGCCCATCTTCTAACCTGAAAGTCTTGAGTTCAATCCCCGGCTTGATACCTTAAGTTGCAGAGTAAAGGCGGCTGAAAATAAAACTGGGCGCAGTTTCTCTTCACAAGCCGAGGTCACAGTAACAGGTGAACTCTACTTCGCTTGCCCCACGGACCGTCTTGTCGAAAAGATAACTTAACACATTAATTTAAAACTTCAGACTGTTCTAAATAAACTGACCTTTGACCTCACAGAGTCACGCCAAACCGTACCATCATACGACAGGGTCATTTCGCTGAGAACTTTTACTTCATCGTCACTGGTCAAGGTAGGACATCATGTGACCACTTTTTATGTTACTTCCTTGTGTGTCCTGTCATAGCTACGTTTCATTGAGTGTATATATTTTTTCACCCTCGGGGATTGTCTCGGAGAGGCTATAGAAAGCTATTTTATCTGCCAATATCTTCATTAAAGTTATGGTTAACCGACTTCTACTTTAGCACAGCCAAATAGTGGCGTGTTTTCAACATGTATAAGAGGCGTGTTATAAATATTTTGGGGCGTGCTATAAATATGTGTGGGTGTTTCAACGTGTAGGGGCGTGTTTTAAATATGTAGAGGCGTGTTTTACACTAGTAGGGCATGTTTTAAACATCTAGGGACGTATTTTAAACATAAATTGGGGCGTGTTTAAAAAAAAAGTAGGGGCAGTTTTTTAAAATGTAGGGGCGTTTTTTAAACATATAGGTCGTGTTGCAAACAAGAAGAGGCAGTTTTTAAACACGTATGGGCGTATTTTAAATTTGTATATTCGTTTGTAAAACGCGTGTTTTACTCATTTAGGGGCGAGTTTTAAACATTTAGAGGCGTGTATAGAGGCGTGTTTTAAATGATATCTCACTCCCCTTCCTCCCCTCCACAAAACAGAACCGTTAATGGACCCTTGTAATGTAGTCGGAAACTGGTGTTTTAATTAGGCGACTTAGAAACATGATAATTGATCCCTTATTGAAATTCGATACCGTTTATAATAAAATACTTAAAAAAAAACTTTTTAAAAAACCACGTTTTTCTTGTGGACTAAAAAGTAGAAAATAACTATTTACATACATTTGATGACAAAAAACGTGGGTACGTTCACCATCAAATTTCCCGACCCATCTGCCCGACCCACGTTTTTTGTCATCAAATGTATGTAAATAGTTATTTTCTACTTTTTAGTCCACAAGAAAAACGTGGTTTTTTAAAAAGTTTTTTTTTAAGTATTTTATTTTCTCCTTTTTAGTCCGTTGCTACACATGAAAAACGTGGTTTTTAAAAAGTTTTTTATATAGTTTATTTTCTACTTTATCTAATCACTTGATTAAGTATGACTTGACTAAGTGTTTTTAAATACACGGACTAAAAAAATCTTGAGCGACCGATACGCTTTAAACAGAGAAAGGGTGTAATTTACGTTGCTGGCGTGGAGATCTACTCACGAATCACGTGATCAAATCTCCCATAAACAAACAAATAAACGCGAAGCTGAGTTAAGGAAAAACGTGTTTATGTGTATTTTAGCATGCCCAGCGTACCAACCGTGTCACCGTTAACAATGTGTTACCGTGTCCGTTCTCCTTTTTAGTCCGTTGCTACACATAAAAAACGTGTTTTTTTTTTAAAGTTTTTTTTAAGTATTTTATTTTCTCCTTTTTAGTCCGTTGCTACACATGAAAAACGTGGTTTTTAAAAAAGTGTTTATAAATACACGGACTAAAAATCTTGAGCGACCAAGATTCGAACCTGGGTTGTCGCGGCCACAACGCGAAGTACTAACCACTATACGATCACGGCCAGCGCGCTCACATCGATTCGGGCCGAAGTAACTGTGTCAATAGGACTGCAGTCTTGTCGGTATCTTTAGAAATCATGTCCTCAATTTTATGGTCCTTGGGGCGTAATTAAATTAAGCTAATTACGGTCACTAATTGCTAGTTTTATGATTGCATCTGAAATTGTTAGGCGAAAGTAGCATGTATGCCAAATTTCAGGTCTCTAGAGCAATCAGAAGTGGGCTAATTTTCGATGTCAATTTTAACAACAAACATCCAAACAAACAAACGCGAAGCTGAGTTAAGAAAAACGTTTTAAAAACAAAATAAATCGGGAGACTCAAAAATCAATAGCCCTTGTCGGCAGTCGTGATAGCATTACCATTTATCCGCCGTCGCATACAAGGTTTTGTAATCAACGTACGCGCTATTGTTTAATAAAAAATTAAATTAAAACATGGAAGTAAATTAATATGTAGTCCTAGTTAATTGAAAACTCAAATTTGAACTAATACCGGGTTATTTTTTTTTAGGAATTCTAAAAATATTGGTTTAGGGTTAGAAATCTTGGTCATAGATTGCGAAATATATTTTCCGAACAAACAGAAGTGTAACAGCAACTAGCAGTAAAAAGAAATAAGCACATGAAAACAAATCATCAACAACAAATGCATGTAACGGAAATTAATCGAATCGATCGAAGTCACAATCAATCGCCCACGCCCATTTCTTTAAACCGTAATCGAAGGCCGGATAACTCTCGAAAACAAAGTCAGCGGCAATTTAAAATACACGCGTTTTCAAATTTGGTTTAGTTGGAAGTGAATCTTTCTCACTGGTTTTGCAGCGGGTAATGGAGTTTTCACGTCTAGATCGATTTATCCCGCGATTTCTATTTATAGATGACTAAAGGATATATTTTTGTTTGCAAGGTCGTCAGGTAATGACGTCACGTGATTTTTGCAAGTTTTTGCAAGTTCGGCCTTCACCTTCCGCCACATCAAAATCAAAAGTTGTCATGGAAAGTCGGCCCTGTGTCTTTAAATACGACGCCACAATCCCACTCCCCCTCCCCTTCCCCGCAAACACACACACACACACACGAGCGCATAAAATTTTGTAAAAACAACGAGTTGTATGTTTGTTTGTTTATACAGCCTAAAGTTTCGTTGTTTCTTTAAATCAAAAAGAAAACCATATGCTACTATTATGTTTCAAATATTTGTTTACGTTTCGATGGTAGTAGATTTTAAGCGATTTATATGATTAAAATAAAAACGTTTTGTAGAATAGGAAAAATCATGAGTATTTGATTTGTGACCATGAACTCTCCTGAAAATAGACACTGTGATATCAGGTATAGTTTTAGGGTCAGAAAATAGTGGTACGGTTATGGTTGGGCTTGGGAGTGTGCGACACCGGGTAATATGTCCGGTAGCCTGACAGTGTGCGACACCGGGTAATATGTCCGGTAGCCTGTCACTGAGAGACACCGGGTAATATGTTCGGCAGCCTGTCCTTGTGCTACACCGAGCAATACGTCCGGTAGCCTGTCTTCATGCGACACCGGGCAATATGTCCGGTAGTCTGTCATTGAGAGACACCGGCAGGGGCGTAGCGAGGGGGGGGGGGGCGGGGGGTGCGGACCGCACCGGGTGACACCATTTAGGGGGGTGACACCAAGGCAAAAAATGGGGGGGGGGGTGGTGCAAATCGAAAGTTTGAGGGTGGGGTGCAAATCGAAAATTTGAAAGTTTGTCCCTGGGAAGGGTCTCTATGCCTCTGGGGGGGGGGGGGGGGGGTGACACCATTAAGTGCCGCACCGGGTGACACCCGACCTCGCTACGCCACTGGACACCGGGCAATATGTCCGGTAGTCTGACAGTGGGAGACACCGGGCAATATGTCCGTAGCCTGTCTTCATGCGACACCGGACAATATCTCCGGTAGACTGCCATAGTCTGACACCGGCCACATGTTAATCCATCTTCGTCAGGGAGAAAGGAAAGTCGTGTCGCAGACGTCTATCAAGGGACGTCATGAATAGCAAATACTTGACAGACACCGGTCCGGGGAGGTTGTTTTAATATAATTTCCACTGATTACAATATTTCTGGCTAATGAACAATTGATGAAAAGTTAGTTCTCAGTATTAGTCCTAAACATGTACACGTACTTCCTTAGTCTTCTTTGTTTCTTATGGAACATAGGGCCTTCACGTACACGTATATATACATGCGTATATGTATTGTATAGATAGTTTTTTTGGGGTGGGGGGGGGGGGGGGGGGTCGGTCATTGAATCCGATTATAGACGCACCATTCTCATACTTTTGCTAAACTTTGTCCATTGAGTATTAGTCTTTTTGTTCGTGTCCAATGCCTTGTCGTACCAGTGTTTTTTTTCCATCATTTGTCTTAATCATGTTGACATTTTCCCCCTTCTAAAACTCCGCATTGGTCGACCAGCTCAATCAAAACAAATAGAATCAAAATTTTTAAAAAAATCAACAGGTTTATGAAAACAATTAGGCAATATAGAGATTTTAATAAAAGCATGTCTTTCGTGAGTTCTCTAAACAATGGCCAACCACAATTGCTGATGGAAACAAAAAATATATAAAGCTCAGAAAACACTTAAAATATAAAAGAATATCGAAATAAAATCCAATCAATAACAAATAAAGAATCGATTATCTTAAAATAAAAACAAGTAATTAAAAAAAGTCTAGTGACAATTTTAGCGCAATTTCCTTGTGTTATCTAAAAATAGCTCTGTCGTAGCGTAAATCAAGAGCAGGGTTAGTAAAACCATTGGTTAGTTATTAAAACGTTTTTTATTAAAAAAAAATTCAGTATTCTACATGTTTTATTTACAATAGAGTAACATGACTAAAAACCATTGCGCGCCCAGCTACCGAACGTGACGTCGCAGCCATTGAACGTGATGGCGCAGCTATTGAACGTGATGACGCGTATGGTGTGGTTGCATAAAATGCCTACTAATTCGGTCCAAATTTTAATTAATTCAAAAAACTTTTGTGACCAAACGAAAGGATATTTTTGAAAACTTTTTTCGGCAATATTGTTCTAAATTATGGCAGGAATCGATTGGTATATGTTTCAAGTCGCTAGGTGGTCTGGTTGCCGAGATATGGGCCAAAAACTGCATTTTTTCGAGGTTTTTTGGCTTTTCCGGAAAATCCATGAAAGAAACCCGGAATTTTTATGGCCTATGTTCATCCTCGTAACTTGCTTAACATAATTGCTTTGAAACTAGTCCTCGATATTGCTTCGTTGAGGAGGAGATACGACTTAAAGCTGCGGACACACATCCATCCATCCATTCATCCATCCATCCATTCCCAGAAAAGACGAGTTAATAAACGCAATGGAGGCGAGCGAGTTGACGAGATTCCTTCCATAATGTTGTTGTCATGGAATAAAAACGTGCTTTTTAGATTTAGACCGTAAAAAAAAAATAAAAAATAAAAACTTAAGCCTAGAATTAATTTAGAAATTTTATATTCTTACAATAAATGCTATAAAAGTTGCAAATCCAGAGAACTTGAAAATAATTTGTTGAGTTTAAGGCTACATTTCTATTTATTTTCATCAAGCCTATGTTATAACCGGATGTTTCACTTTCGTAAGACAAATATTGATTGGCTGTACAGTAACTTAGTAATCGATAACTATTTGTTTACAAAACTTTGCAGATCAAGTTTTTAAATTACAATGCAAATTTAAAACCCCATGACCTAGTTTTCTATTTTTAGCTTACAATGTGTACAATAAAATCTATGGCAGCCTATCCAATAGCAGGATGCCATGTTTATGTCGCCAAAATAGACACTGTGATATCAGGTATAGTTTTAGGGTCAGAAAATAGTGGTACGGTTATGGTTGGGCTTGGGAGTGTGCGACACCGGGTAATATGTCCGGTAGCCTGACAGTGTGCGACACCGGGTAATATGTCCGGTAGCCTGTCACTGAGAGACACCGGGTAATATTGTTTTTGCTTTTTTTTAAATTTTTATTTAGTTACCGAAAATATTATAAACATCAAATACATCCAATCTTTAGTAAAGTCCGAAAAAAACCAGACAGGCAGGATTTTATAACCATATTAATTGTAAATACGCTGTGCATGATTTTTTAATGAATTTATACACCTCTCAAATACCTTTGAGACTTTTCTCGCTGGTGTCTATTCTCCAGAATAGAAATTGCGCTAAAAAAAATTCCAATAAAAGTCTGTGTTTGTCATGTAAAACTAGAAGGCTCGATATTTTTCATCAATATTTGATGTTGTCAAACCACGGCAGGTTTGGGGTTTCTATTGTAATACGTCATCGTTCATTGTTGTAGCATGTGACATGTTCATCCTGGTGATTGCTTGTTTTAATAGAAATGGCACACAGTCATTAATTTGTTTAAAATAAAATCCTATTGAACACACGATATACTGGACCGGCGAGGGAGGTTGGTGAGAAGAAAATATAAATATCGCATGAATTGTGTGTGTGTGGAGTGGGGTGGGGGGGGGGAGATGTGGTAGAGGGCTGGTATAGTTGAATATAATGGTGGTTGGAGGTTAGTCCGGATACCGTTTTTATTTTAAAAAGTAAATAGTGGTTAGAATAGGGCTTGTAAGTCTACGGTCTCGAAATCTACTCGCTGGCAAGTACGAGAACGAGAAGTTGTGACCTACTTACAAGCCCTATTACGGTTAAAGGAATTATATCATTGGAAGGAATTGTTGTAGATAGGGATGTTAACTTTGAAAGGAAAGATGCATGGGAAAAATCATCATCATAATTTCCCGTTCGTACCCAAGATACATGGGGTAGATGAAGTAGAGTTCATCTGCTTCAGAGACCTTGGCATGTGAAGGAATAGCGTGGTCATCACTATGCCCAGTCGCCTTTATTTCCCAAACGTGAGTTAGGTACCCCATTTGAGCTGGGTGGACTCAGGGGCGTTCCACTGATTTGAGCCCGCATTCGAACTCGAGACTCTTGTGTTAGCAGTCTAGCTCTATACCATAGGTTGAGAAAGATAGTATTGTTTATTAGAAGGTTTGATAAAAGGCATGATGGAGATAATGAACATTTTGATAACCGTGAACGGTCTTTTTTAGGAGTCGGGATAGAGCAAGTCTGTGACATATTCTTATGTTGAAAATGGTGGGAAGGTTGAAAGGCGAGAGTTTATGCAGTGGCGTCGCTAGGTAATTTTGTTGTTCTAGACCTTTCTGTTGTTCTACAGCGCTGGTGACCATCCATAGACCAGGGGACACCTCGGCTCAGACGGCGGCCATGATGAGAAAAGGCACGAGCTTTGGTGTAAGTAATGTGTGGGTTCTATGTGTGGGGGGACATTGTCATCCATGACTACTAACTCTCCAGTGATCCCCCACCTACTTGACCACTTGTACCCCACTACCACCCTTGTTTACAGTGATTCCCACCGAATTGACTACCTGTACCCCACTACCAACCTTGTCAACTAACTCTCCAGTGATCTCCACACAAACTACCTGTACCCCACTACCACCCTTGTCTACTAACTCTACAGTGATCCCCACACAACTACCTCTACCCCACTACCACCCTAGTCAACTAACCCTCCAGTGATCCCACACACCCTCCAGTGATCCCCCCACTTCAACCACCTGTACCCCACTACCACCCTAGTCAACTAACCCTCCAGTGATCCCACACACCCTCCAGTGATCCCCCCACTTCAACCACCTGTACCCCACTACCACCCTTATCTACTAACCCTCCAGTGATCCCACACACCCTCCAGTGATCCCACACACCCTCCAGTGATCCCACACACCCTCCAGTGATCCCCACCTACTTGCCCACTTGTACCCCACTATGACCCTTATCTCACCAGGAGCTGGCCCTACTGCACCACTCCCGGAGAACCGCCACCGTCACGAGTCACGATACCGTCACACTGTTGTCCGTGGGTCGGGAAGATTTCTTCGATATTTTCATGTCCAGGCAGGGGATCGGTGAGACCCCAGAACACATCAGGTTCATCAGGTACATCGTGATGTTTCTCGTGTGGGTGGTTTCATGTGTAGTTAGTGACATTGTATAATGTGATAAAGTTGACATTGTGTACTGTGATAAATAGTGACATTGTGTAATGTGATAAAATTGACAAAGTGTAATGTGGTAATTGTCTAATGCTGGTGATTTGATGTGTGAATAGTGACATTGTGTTATGTGTTAAAATTGACATTGTGTAATGTGGTAAACGTCTAATGCTGGTGGTTTGATATGTAAATATTGGCACTGTGTAATGTGAATCTAACTACTGATGTTGGTGAATGTTCGTAATGTGGTTATTTGTCAATAATTTGTCATTAAGTATGATTTTTAAATGTTGGTGATTTTTTTCATGTAAGTCTTTATGTTTATTATGTTCATAATTTGGGATGGCGTGGCCTAGCGGTAGAGTGCTAGACTGCTAACCCGAACCCGGGTTCAAGTCAGTAGAGCGTCACTAAATACACCCAACTCTGATGGGTACCTAACCCACGTTAGGGAGAGTAAAGGCGGCTAGGCATTGTGCGGATCTCATTATCCCTTCATATGCCGAGGTCACAGAAACAAGTGAACTCTACTTCACTTGCCCAATGGACCGTCAGGTTCGAAAAGGGAACTTTGCTTTGTTTATAAAAATATGGATTTTAGTGATTTTGATAATTTATCATGTCAAACTTCGTGATTGTTAAATTAATGATTTTATACGAGTCACAATGATGCGCGCAACTATGTAATTATTTCAGAAACAAAAATTAACTGGGTAAACGTCTATAAATGACATGCTAGGTACACTTAAAAGCTGATTGACTCAATGACTACTTTCAATCACAATTCAAATAGCCAGAAATCAACATCAGCGTTCAAGTTAGAAATCGCATAATCTACGGCTTGACTTTGAACTTTGAGAGTTTAAATCGTTTAGAGTCAGCCTCTGTTCAACTATAAAGTTTCTAAAAATAGTCCATACAATTTATAAAAATGGCGCAACACCAACAACACACAAAAATACCGGATGTGACGTCAGCTATGATTGCCTGTCATTACCGCTAACAGCAGGCAGACACAACGAAATGTGATCGGCTTCGGTGATAAAAGGGAAACCACTTTTGCCTGAAAGCATTGGGGGCTATTATTACAGCAGAGAAAGTAGTCCAACTGGCATTGAAAGGCAAGCCAGAGGCGTAGCGAGGGGGGGGGGGGGCGGGGGGGGGGCATATGTCCCCGGGCGCCGACCTGAAGGGGGGGGGGGGCAAATTGAAAGTTTGAGGGGGGGGGGGTGCAAATGAAAAGTTCGAGGGGGTGGGGGTGCAAATCGAAAGTTTGAGGGGGTGGGGTGCAAATGAAAAGTTCGAGGGGGTGCAAATCGAAAGTTTGAGAGGGGGTGCAAATGAAAAGCACGAAGGGGGGTGCAAATCGAAAGTTTGTCCCCGGGTGCCGGGAAGGGTCGCTACGCCTCTGAGTCAAGCTACGAAATGCCATACGTTGGCTACTAGATTTAAAGATTTAAAAATACTGCCAAGCAATTAGATATAGAAGCCATTTTTTAAAAAAGTATAAAAGTAGTAGCCCAAAAAAAAGGCAAATATTCCCAGAAAATGTACATGGGTATTCAGAAATAACGACAATACTTTCGATTAGAGGTGGCTTTTCCTACCAGCATCGATGTTATAGTTCTGACAGCGTATTCTAGTTTTATTATTCGAAGATATAGAAGCCCTAAGAGGACAATATGTAAACGAAACATAATCTCTGACAGTGGCGTAGCGAGGTCGGGTGTTACCCGGTGCGGCACTTAATGGTGTCACCCCCCCAGAGGCGTAGCGACCCTTCCCGGGGAGAAACTTTCAATTTTCGATTTGCACCCCTCCCCCTCAAACTTTCGATTTGCACCCTCCCCCCTCAAATTTTTCTCTATATTTTGCCTTGGTGTCACCCCCCCTAAATGGTGTCACCTGGTGCGGTCCGCACCCCCAACACCCCCCCCCCCCCCGCCCCCCCCCCCCTCGCTACGCCTCTGATCTCTGATGTTGATGTTGTACGCTAAAACAATAGGTAGAGGTGCTGCACTACACATACACCAATCGCTCTTTATGCATTATTTTAGTCTGTACTTTACTTGACCCCGGCGTCAACATCAACAACAACACACACAAAATAAACCCAACAATTTACGTAATAAACGCGTGTAAAGTAATCATGTAATTATAACCGCGTTATGAAATAAGATCAAATTTAATTCAAGCACAATTTGTTTTGGAAAATAATTCCTAGCTGCCAAAAAGCAAGATGGATTGCTCTATAAATGAAAAGCCTTTTTTTTCTCATTAGGTTTAATGAGTGGTCGTTTGAAAGGAGCCGTTTAGTTCAATTTTACCCGAACAAAATGTAATCGATAAGCTTGAACCGCGATAGACCATAGCGGCTAAGTGCGTGACCAGATTTTTATCGCGAGGCTGGTCAAATTCTCTGTTTGGCTGGGTTGGTGGGATATTGCTAAATTTGGCTTGTTGTACGACGCTGTAATGAATTGGGGTAATTGCTATATAGTTAGTAGCAGCGAAAGTACTAAGGTTTATTTAAGCATATATATTTGTTGGTTTAAATATCAAGAAAAAACAAAGGGAGAAAAGAGTCATGGTTGATAAAAAAAGAAGGATGAGCTAGGATGTTCAATTTTGTTTTAAACCTTGTTATATCGTCGACGCCCCCCCCCCCCCCCGCTTTATACTACTAAATGGTACAAACGCAACTGTTTAAAAATGAATAGATAAAAAGAGTTAAAGCTATATTTTCTTCACATAGCCAACTGGAGTTTATGAAAGATTGGCCTTTGGAGCGGTTGTTAGAAAGACCTGACCAATGTCTCTTGCATTTTTTCAAGTAAGTTGCTATTTATTTGTATTTATAGTAAAGAATTTCAACATTATAAAGTGGAGTATTCGTTCAGAGGTGTAGGTACCTATCTAGGCCCTGTGAAAACGGTCTAATCAGAGGTGTGTGACATCTGTACCCCTGTGAAAACGGTCTAATCAGAGGTGTGTGACATTTGTACCACTGTTAAACGGTCTAATCAGAGGTGTGGTTACATATCTAGGCCCCGTGGAAACGGTCCAATTTTACTTTTTCCCAATACAAATGATCTTCATAACAAGTATAAACCACCTCTCCCTACCCAAGTAAAGAGACAAAAGCCCAATGTTTTTTGTAAACAAAAACAAACGATGGTGAATCGCGATATTTAAAGCAATCAATCGATACCCACAGTTTGGTTTTTGTCATCGATAGCGTGTCTACCTGATCATGTGACTAGGCAATATCCGGGGCGGAGCGCAGCATGTCAGCCCCTTTTCCTTCCTCATACTCATACCCTTTCGGTGTCTGCTGAAGCATTCTAATACAAGTTTTTTACAAGTTGATTTCTGGAAAAAAAAAATCCTGGCTCTACATGGAACATTCAACAAACAGTAGACACTCTACTGGAACCAAGTGCTTGCTCGTGTAGTTACATAAGGCATGTCTTGAAAACAATGGAAAAAAACTTTTCACTGTGTTCAATGTACAATATTCCATAAGGTTACATCGCTATAGTTCCTCCCCTTGTGATTGTAGAATTCGGTGCGGCCCGCCTTCGACACACCCCCTAGCGACACTCAATTAAATTGTATAAACTGATTATTTTGTTATAGAACGTAGGCCTAAAGGAACATGGTGATCCTAAAAGATAGCACCCCCTAGTGACGCCCTAACTAAAACAGACAATATTGTTATACAAGCGGAACATGGTGATCCTAAAAGATTGAACCACCCTAGCGACGCCCTAACTAATATTTAAAACAGACTATATTGTTATACAGGTGCAACATGGTGATCCTAAAAAGACAACACCCCCTAGCGACGCCCAAACTAAAACAGACTATGTTGTTACACAGGCGGAAAATGGTGATCCTAAAAGACAACACCCCCTAGCGACGCCCAAACTAAAACAGACTATATTGTTATCCAGGCGGAACATGGTGATCCTAAAAGACAGCACCCCCTAGCGACGCCCAAACTAAAACAGACTATATTGTTATCCAGGCGGAACATGGTGATCCTAAAAGACAGCACGGCCTCAGACTGGCTCTATGTGGTCAAGTCCGGCTCGTGTCAAGTTCTGAAACAACTGAAAGGCGTCACGGCCCGTGTTGGCAGGCCCAGAGAGCCTACATTTAGATCCATTTCGAGGCTCGACAGAACGGAAACGACTTCACACCAAGGTAAACATCCCATTTCACTTCCAAAGTTGGCATTCGATCGTTTATCGATCTGTAGATTGGTAGATTGATTAGGAAGAAGAAAATAAAAATAAAAGCCCGATCTATTTGTTTGAGTGCCAACCAACATATAAACATGCAAATGAAGCGATAATTTATTTATAATTAATGATTTATGTATAATGTTGGATTTCGTCGGAATGATTTGGGTTACAATGCCCTTAAAATATTTGGACAGGAGCTGGAGTTCGTGTTTAATTAACGATGCACGTGATATTGGATTGTGAGCTCAGTTAGCGGCAAATAAAGAGAACAAACCCTTGCTCTGGTTTGCATTACCAAAAAAAAAAAAAAAAAAAAAAAAACCAGTTCCGCTTCCTAATCGTAGTCCCACATGAAAATCATTGTCAACAACGTGTTTTCTTTTTTACTTTCTCGTATATACGAAGTATAGAGAAAGTATTGTAGTCGTGCAAAAAAAAAATCGAGATTTTTACAAATCTCGACGTTTTACACCTCACTGATACGGAAAAACATAATTTTGCAATCTTGTCCGTATGTCTGTGTGTGTGTGTGTCTGTGTGTCTGTGTGTCTGTGTGTCCGTGTGTAAACACGATAACTTGAGTACCGTTACAGCTAGGTTGATGAAATTTCATATATAAGTATTTTATTAAAATCGTAGATCCGTATCAACTTTTGAGCGATTTCCGATAACCGGAAGTGGTACTTTTCCTACTTTGAATTTTTCAAAAGCCTATAACTTGAGTACTATTTCAGATAGATAAATGAAATTTCACATGTAAGTAAAAGATCTAATTCTCTACCTTCTGTTAAATTTTGAGTAATTTCCGTTGACTGGAAGTAGTACTTACGCTACTTCCGATTTCTCAAAAAACTAATGTAAATTTTAAAAGTACTAATAATATTGCGCACTATTATGCGCTTTTTTATAAGGCGTTCACTTGGTGTGCAATTAATTGTCTACGTGATTTTATTCTATTTTTAAAACTTTAAGTATTTAAAATGGATTAAAAATCATGTCTATAGCCCGAGTTCCCATCCCCTGTTATTTTATATAAGAATATTCGAGAAAGTTTAGGGGAGATCACTCCCGGTTTATTTATAGCTTTCTTTTACAATCCAATGTTGTCGAATTCCGTGTATAACAATATAGAGCTCCAGAACTGGAACTGGCAAAAAGAAGTACAAGAAGTAATGATAATTACGCTCACCTAATGCTGTTTTAAAAGTTAATCAGTTAAAAGGATGACTTATGAGTATGGTTACCCAAAAGCTGGAATAATAAAAATGTATGAAAATTATTAAAACAACTCTGGAACTAAATCTTTCGGAAGACGTGTAGATTATTTTTTTTTAAATATCAAATTTAAACAATTTTAAAAATAAAAATACTTTTGCATCAGCTTTAAAAATCCACCAAAACACGAGAAAAAAAAATCACCAGACGACAGTTACAATATTTGACCAACAATGCAATTTTTTTTTTTTTTACAAATCTACGAAGCATCAAGAAATGACAACTCGTCTTCGAAAAAGCTAAGAACATCGAACAGCATTAAAGTAAGTAAAACATTTGTTACCTTTTCGTTGTAATTAGTTTTAAAATAATTAACTATTCACGTTTTAATGTTTGCTTTTGTATGCATTGAGCATGACAAATATCTGTAGCATACAGTGTTTCTTCCAGACTTTTTTAAACGCCGCTTTAGTGTCGGCGCCCGGGACGGCAGCCCCACCCGCCCTCCTCTAGCTATGCCACTGCCGACATAGAGAGAATTTATAGAGTTTTTTTGTGTTCGAGGTTAATCTAGGGGGTAGCTGTTATGACTAATGTTCATTCAAAGCTAGGGCTAACAGTAACATTAAGGGAAATGTTCCAAAAAGATTGCTTAGAGTCGTGTAACAAGAAAAAGCTATACAATGTCTCTTCTTACGGTGTTTTTGTCGTGCGCAGAAGCACAATCAGAGCTCCGCGCCGGGTGAAAATAGTCATTCAGACAGCAGGGTTCGTACTTGTGCGAGATCATTAAAATGTCAGCAGGGTTCAAGGTCATCGAACACACCTCGTGTCCCACAAGATGAAAACAAGACGGTGAGTTATCTGATGGCTAGTTAGACTAATTAAAAGCTTACGTCATCTTCAGCCAGATGTTCTTGATTACGTGCAGCGTTCAGAGTTTCTTCCAGGCATCTTTTCGGGGCGGGGGGGGGGGGGGTTCTTCTTCTTCCCCCCCCCCCCCCCCGAAGAAAGTCTACCGCCCCCCCCCCCCCCCTGAACGAAATGGTATTTATATAGAAAACATATACTTTTACCCGTGTCCGGACCCCCTCCCCCAAAAATATCAATTCCCTCTCCCCCCCCCCCCCCCGGAGAAAAAAGTCTGGAAGAAACACTGGCAGCGTTTCTTTCAGACATCTCTCTCGAGCACGCCTGTAATGCCCCCCCCCCCCCCCACTCCGCCGAAAAGATGCCTAGAAGAAAATCTGAAGGAAACGATAAGCATGCCTTTTAAGTTATATAGGTTACGGTTTCCAGGAAAATGCACAAATAAAAAATCATTATACTTATACCGTTTCGTTTCATTAGTTCATGTCTTGAAAAAAAAAAGTTGTATTATGCTATTTGTTTTAATATGGTAATTCTTTCTTTTAACATCTTTGAATTATCGATTTTCGAAAAACTCACGCAAACTATTTTGTGTGGAATTATCCGTCACAATTTTTTTCTCTGGATACCGTACATTAAATGTAGATTTATCATATGTTATTATTTTAAAATATTGAAACCAGAAGTAAACACCAAGAATTTTTTTTTTTACAGTTTAAAATATGAGTTTTTATTAACTTTGAAATTAACCTATTAAGATCTACTGTCTTGTTACTGTCATGTAGGGTAGGAGAACCACACAACCAGACCCGAGTAAAACCCACCAACCCACCACCAGCATTAGTCAGACTCGTCACTACAACCAACCGGTGTTTGTACAGATTGAACTCCTCAAACCCATGGACGTTTTTGTAAGACCAACATTTTTTAAATTTAAATTTAACAAAAATATGCTCAGTCAGAGTTTCTTCCAGGCATCTCACCCCCCCCGAACTACATGGAATTTATACAAGTGCCCCCCCCCCCCCCCCCCCATGTATTTGTGCTGAACTTTCAGCAATATTTTAAAAAAGAAAATGATGTACGACAATGGGCTTGAGACTGTTAGACGTCCTGGAGCCGACCCATCTATGTTGTGTACCTAACTTACGTTAGGGAAACAAAGGCGGCTGGGCATACTATTCCTCTGTATAAAGAGGTCGTTGAAACAGATGGACTCTATTTCTTTTGCCCCATGAGTCTTGGACATGAAAGGGAAAAGATGGTGAATGTACGCCAATAATTTAATAAACGTGTCACATTAGGTATTCTAATTTCAATTTCCACTAATAGTAATACCTGGGTAGATAAAAAATAAATAAAAAGGACTTTTTAAAGGGAGAAAACTATGGTTTCAATTATGTCACTTTAATGCAATCGGTATTAAATATGACAATGCTTAAATCGGATATTTATAAAATTGTTGTTTGTACAACAGAAGGATGAAATTTCCTAGCTTTACTTATAATAAAACCGTTACATAGTTTTCTCCATCTATACAGGGTCTTGACAGAGTAAACTTTAACAGCAACTTGGACACAGATTCCACCAGTGTTAGTTTATTAAGTGAATCATATCACTATCAAGACACAATAACAGACAAAATCTTTAAAAAAACAGCCAAAGTCCAGACTATTATGAATAAATTTTATTTAAGAACAATCACAGAAACATTTGACAAATTATTATTGAGGACAATTAGGTCTACTAGCCACAAATATCAGATCTTCATTATACGTAGGCCAGTTGTTTTATATCAGAGACAGGTGTTTTTTCTAGATTGAGACAGGTGATGTTTTTTGGTGTACCTCCAGGTTAGTTTGGGGGCTGAGTGCATTATGCTTTCCAAGGGGTTTTTCATGAAGCATGCCAATGACAAGGTCAAGAAAAGATTTTCTGAAATTGTACAGCCCTACCCCAATGAGGCCACCCTTCAGGAGAGTTTACAGGTAATTCTAATTACCAGGAACTCACAAAGTATTCAGTTACTGGACACACTGTTGGAGAAACTCCTTATTTACAACTTTATCAATGAAAAAAATATTTTTAAATTTCTGTTATGTAAATTAAATATTTACTATAGTTTAATTTTTGGCGAGTATTTAAATATGTTACAAGTTTTAAAAGGATCATCTTATGATGAAATATTTCTACATGTTAAATTCTTTAGTAAAAAAATAGAGACAGATAACAAGAAACCTTCAAATAGATTGGCTACAGTTAACTAAGATATGGAGCATGTGTGTGTCAAATTAACTTGTACATATTGAACCTTACTCCACAGCACAAAGTGAATTGGGAGCTTTATAAAAGATCCATTCTAGTGAACGCATCGCCAAAATTACGCCGCCTTCAAGGGAAATCACTTCCATCTTTTTAGCAACAATTTACAGTTTAGTTAACTGACAATAAGATTTATTGAGAGATTTTATTAGGCCTCATAAAATGTCTACAAGACACTACTGTATCATATCCAGGTTCATTATTCTATTAGATTCACCAGGGAAATGATTTTGATAGTGCCATGCCCAGGGTAATGATACTAACCAAGCACATTTGTGATACAACTGACCTGTTTTATTTCATATGTACACTTTTTCTCACATGAAATAGCACTCTAATGCAGTAGAGGTGGTAGGTGTATGTGTTAAAAATTATTTTAAATTGCAAAACATTATTAACTTGTGAATAAACCATACAAAAATTATTGTCCTGCTTTATGTAACTTGTTTTTGGATGTTCAAATAAAAAAAAAACCCAAATAAATAAAAGCATTTAGAACATAAATATACATAGTGTTGCTTTCAACTAGGAAAAGAGAAAGCAATTTATTTCGTGCGTAAAATTTGTTCCTTTCAACTGTTTTAAAATTAACTTGGCAGCAAAATTTTGTTAAAATGGTTCACTTAAAACAACTGTAAATGAACAACTAGAAAATGTGAATGCACATTGTTATATTATTAACACAACCTTCTGGAAATGATGCAATCAAAATAAAGAGAAAGAAAACAAAACAGAAATGGAAGATCTAATCATATAAATACAAACACAATTTTGTGCATCATTTCAAAAATAAAATTGCAGACATATTACATAAAGATGAGTTTTTAAATATTAAAATAATTTTATTATAACTTTGGAGGACTTTCAACAAAGATAAATGTTCAAAATAACAGTGGGACAGTGGTACAATAATTGTATTACTTCTGTCAGGTACTGTTTAAGTCAGATAAAAATAACTTTAAAACCCCCCTCAGAAACAAACTTTGTTTTGTGGTTTTCTGAAAGACACAGTACAGTTAAAATATTTAACCAAAATTCAATACCACTGCTCTGTTGTATAGCTTTACCACTTTTCTACACAAGTGTGGTGTTAAAAAATTGGCTTCCATCTGACAGCTATTAAATACTTCACATAGGAAGACAGTAATTTAAGAACAATTTTGATGAGGAATTAAACAAGATGATCATCCTGAGTGAAGAAATGCTTTAAAAATTCATGTACATGGAGAAAAGTAGTTACGTTACTATTTACTAATTATTATTAGGAACAGTATTTGATCATAACAAATTTATGAATCCACTTTATAAAAATTTCATCTCAAACTACAAATGAAAAATCTGATCCATAACAACAAACATGTAGAAGGTAGATGTCTGAGTCATGTCATGCTATTTCACCGTGGAATTTATATAAAATTTTTCTCCTTTCAAACTGTTAAACATTAAGGAACATCAGTAACAAATATTGTGTCAATCTACTAAACTGTAATTTTGTTAAATGCATTAAAAAATTGTCAATCTAGTTCTGTCCTAAATAACTGATAGTCTAGTTAATGGTGTAAGAATGACTGTCAGTCTATTTCGTTGTATCTAAGTATTTAAAACTCTTAGTTTGTAGCTAGGAAGAATCAATCTTTAGAAGAAAAAAAACAACATTTGTTCAATACATCTGATCAAGATTTTAAACTACAAGTAGCTCTAGTTCAAGCATTAAAGCAACATGGACTATAGTACCACTTAACCTCCCTGGCCTTGTCTTAGGCTAATTTGGCAAGCTCTAGCAACATCAATAGTTTGTTTAAAGATAAAACTATACAGTGCAGAATTATTATGTACATGTGGAAATATATAAATGCTCCATATACAAAACTATAAATACAGTAGAGATATAAAGCTACCCACTGTCAATTAGTAGTTTAATCACATTACACAATGCAAAAAAAAAATATTTAACCTATATTTTAAGATCGATGCAATTATTTCAACAATTATCGACTAAAATTAATTCTTAAGAATTTGCTTTATTTATTAAAAAAAAATAAGGCAGTTTTACACTGATCTGTGTTGAGTTATCTCAGGAAATGAAGGGAGAAGTTTTCATATTTGATTATAATTGGTTGATTTTTTTGTAAAACACATTTCTTCAAACTGTTAGTCAAGGGGAATGAAATAAATAAATTTTTAAAATTTAAAATAAAATCAGCTGTCAAATGTCCAAATAGAATTTAAGATACTTCCTCTGGCTCCTCCAACAAAACATTCTGTGAGACATATCGTGGGCTGTGACTTACTGTTGTGGGAATGGGCATCTCTTTCCTCCCTACTGGACCAGAGTCCTTGTCAGTGATCTGGACTTGGATCAAGCCAGTGGCCACAGCATAACCAAACATGGAAATGAGAGCAAATATACCAGCTAGGATCATGTTCCTGCGCCTATTGGGGAACTCTGACAGATCTGATCTACTGCCCCGAGCCTTGCGTTTCTCTTCTTCTTGTTTCTTTTTTTCTTCCAATTCTAAAAAATCGACAAAAAAAAACATTTTTTTTTTGCCTGTTACAATATGTTAAAAAGAAATAACCTATTTTAAATTATTTTTTTGTTTGTATAAGTTGTAGAAAAAAAAGAATATGTCTTGATTACAATTTCACACCTGCGTTTTTAAAAAACATTTTACTAGCTTCAATCTAAATAGATTAAGTTTCTCCAACTGAAATATTTTTTCATGTTTTTACTACTTTAATCTACAAAAACTTTTTTTTTACATTATTATTGTGTATTTTTTTTCATGGTTTAATCTATATACAGTATCTTCTTTTAGGATACCTATCATGCAGAGACTGGTGACCACCAGGCTTACCCTGAATATCAGAGGGAAAGTAGAGTGTGAGAATGTTGTTGCACAACTGTGAGATATTTGTGCACTGCTGGAGATGATTCTGTAAAGGGTTGCTAGGCAGAGGGGCTTTCAACAGCGGTATGAGGTAGCCAAAGACTAGTGCATCTAACGAGGATGGCCTGTTGAAGCCAGAAACCATTTTCAAAACAAATTTTAAACAATAACACAAATGTTATTTTTAAAAACAAAACAATGACATTAAAAAAATATTAAGACAATGGTCTTTTTAAAATAAAAATAAGAAACTTACTGGTTTCCAAACATATAATTTTTATCACCAAGTTTGTAAGACAACAGATTCAAACATTCTTTTGCCTCTTTGTAAACCTGTAGTGAGAAATGGAAATATACTTATTGCTCATTTACTTGTAAACTTTGCTAACAATATTTCAGAAGAAAATCATACAAATGAGCCCATTAAAATATTGAAGATGGTAAGATTGAGAGGTAGAGTGCACAATTACATAATCAAAATGTTTTGAGTTCAGTCTATCAGCTAGAATCTGTGACATCCCCTAGCCCACTCAGCAATTAAGGGTAAAGGGTACTTGAGTAGAGACAAGGCAAAGTAAAGGTTGAACAAAGAGCTGACCGCTAACCTTTAATTTGCCCATGTTAGAGAAACTGTGTTAACTCTATCTCATGTCCCACTATCTGGTCAGAAAGTGTGTTTTACTTTTTTTCCCCCATAAAATATGCAAGTAGAATTCAGATTTTTTATTTCATTCCTTATACCTTCAAAATATTCAAACTTAGAAATCATGATAAGAACTCTAAAAGTTTACTATCAGCAATCCTAACTTAATTATAACAATGAACATGAAAAGTAAGTAAATAAACGGGGAGTGATCTCCCCTAAACTTTCTCGAATATTTTTATATAAAATAACAGGGGATGGGAACTCTGGCTATAGACATGATTTTTAATACATTTTAAGTACTTAAAGTTTTAAAAATAGAATAAAATCTTGTAGACAAAAGAATTGCACACCAAGTGAACTCTAAATAAAAAAGTGCATAATAGTGCGCAATATTATTAGTACTTTAAAAATTTACATTAGTTTTTTTGAAATCGGAAGTAGCGTAAATTACTACTTCCGGTCAACGGAAATTACTCAAAATTTAACAGAAGGTAGAGAATTAGATCTTTTACCTACATGTGAAATTTCGTTTATCTATCTGAAATAGTACTCAAGTTATAGGCTTTTGAAAATTTCAAAGTAGGAAAAGTACCACTTCCGGTTATCGGAAATCGCTCAAAAGTTGATACGGATCTACGATTTTGATAAAATACTTATATATGAAATTTCATCAACCTAGCTGTAATGGTACTCAAGTTATCGTGTTTACACACACACACACAGACATATGGACAAGATTGCAAAATTATGTTTTTCCGTATCAGTGAGATGTAAAACGTCGAGATTTGTAAAAATCTCGATTTTTTTTTCCGCACGATTACAAGACTTTCTCTATACTTCGTATATACGAGAAGATAAAAAGAGTCCTGTTTTTAGTAAACCTTCCAGACTTACCTTCGATTCAGTTTCTGCATCAGTAATGTGGTCACCTCCCTTTGTCAGCTGTACTCTAACCTCAGCTTTCTTCTGCCTTCTTGCAGGCAGAAATAAACTCAAAGGAAATGGTATAGCCTTTGTATACCAGGGTCTAGTGATATCAATGTAAGTCTTGTCATCCATCCACCACAAATGCAACTGACAGAATTTAAAAATGTGAACTAAGTGTTTACAAATAAATATATTCACCAGAAATAATTTTCTTACTCAAAGTAAAAGGTAAAAAAGATAATTATATAATATAAATAATCTAAGAATAAGTAAATGTGTGAAATTTTTAAAAATGAATGCAATGTTGTGAATAAATTCAGTGACAGGTAATTAAAAACTAAACAAAATAGTATAAAATAAAATATGAGCATAAATAAGCTAAAACAGATCAAAATAAAGATAAATAATGATAACATTATACACTGTTGGACATAACTAAGCTATACATTACAGTCTCATATTACCAATGCAGGAAGTAACTTCTCCTCAAGCATAGCTGAAAATGCCACAACATCAGCACTGTCTTTTGTTGTCAGTTGAAAATCACTTCCCCAGTTCTGTAGATAATAAATGGATCACATTCTTTCTCTGACATGTTAAAATGATATTTACAGCTTTTTAAAATATGGGCACAATGACTTAGGATACAATAAAGACTTACTTGTTTTCGTAAATAAGCAAATATGTCTGAGACTCTACTGTATGTAGCATTTTTGTGACGTAAGATAGGAAAATTTCCTGTTAAAAAAAAATTTGTTTAAATATTTTATGTTCATCTTCATGTAAAATGTTTTTTCAATTGCCAAGTTGAACTGTTTTTTTGTGAGATTTTTTTGCTTGAGCAAATTAGAGATTTATATTTTATACATTACTTCTAATTTTATTGTCGGAATAAGGTAATCAATTTGCTGAGTTTAGAATTAGAACAATTTATTTTAATCTATAAGTCTAAATAATTAAAGTTTACAGTAATTGTACATTAATTTGTTTGGTTCAACTTAATATGGAGGAGCCATACCCTTAGCTAAAACAACTAGATCTAGCTAACTCAAAGCAAAATTATGTAATACAATTCTAAATACACAAATCTTCAAAGAATGAATATAATTATACTAATAGTCTTGTACCTTGTTTTAAAATTAAACAGAATCCACTATTATAAGCACAAAGAGATTTTTGATTATGTATAAAGTACAAAATATAAAAGTACCATAAAAGTAAAGAAGTTACATCTAACTTAAAATACCTGTTGGTGAACGCCAAGGATTTCCTGTCTTTACAATTTCAATGGGGACACCAGAGAATTTGCAGTAAGCCTGAAAGATAAAAGAAATTGTAGGTCAATTATGATTACTTCTTTGTTGATTATATTTTTTTTTAAACTTTGTTGTTGGTGCAAGAAGAGTTTGGGTAAATGCAAAGATGTGAAACAGCGAGGCGGTGAAATGTGAGATGGGAGAGTGAACAGCAAATCACGTGACAATTTTTTAGCGCATTTACCCCCACTCAATTGATATCTGCAAAAATTTTACAGCACTTGAATTCCAACATGTTGATCATTTACATGAACTTAGATGCAGGTTTACATTTTTGAACACTTTAGTTAAGTTTGTTTTGTTATAATGTAGTCACACAGCTGCAAAAGTATTTAAAGTCTAATGAATTTGATGTTCCAATTTTACTGCATCAGAAAGTTGTCTATGATTGAACAACTTATTTTTTATTGTGTTGATGATTGAACAACTTCTTTCTATTGTGACCACTTTGAAAACCACCTAGTTTGAAACAACCTGAAATTAATACTGCATTTAAAATGTGTTCGTTTTTCATTTTGTAAAAATGTAGTCTATTTTAATTTTCTATACAAATGTTACTTTAATGTAATTTAATAACAGTCTGAAATTTTCTGCTATAATTCAGGAAAGCCTATATGATAACATATTTAATGATATTTTTACAAAAAAGTAGGCCTGTTGTTAAGTATTGTCATTCTATAAAATAAATGTAGACTACATACAAGAGCCAGTATTAGTAGTTGATAATAAAGTTAATTATATTTTATGATCGAATTTGTTGAATCATTAGTGTCGTTGGAAAATAAGAGTGTTCCCGTCCTGATCACGTTTATAGTTGTAGTGTTAGTAATAGAAGTAGTCATCATATATCACGCATACATTCCCCCCATCACAATTGTAATGTCAACTGGTTTTATTGTTAGAAATTAGAGTTAGGCATATGGTAGAACTAGGGTTGGTTTAGGCCATGTCTATATCTAAAAAAAAGGATGAAAATAATGAAACAAAAATTAGTAATTCAGCAGGTATCATATCCACTGGATATGATACCTGCAGAATTACTAATTAGTCTGGATATTATCCAGGTATGTCTCGCATTTTATGAAATTTTATCAACTGGCTAAGCCTAAGGTAAGTTATTTAAGTTATTAAGTTATGGCTTAGTTAGTACTTGTGTAACATAACAACTATGAACTAGATCTATATGACCAGGCCTAACCCAGCCTAGACAACGGAATCTGAAAAGCAAAAAGATGTAAAAAGTTTAAAACAAAAAGTTTAAGTGAAAAGATAAAAGTTATTAAATGTAAAGAAAGTTAAGTAAGTATTAAAGTAAAGAAAGTCAAATGTGACAAAGTGCGAGACGTCTGACTCCCTGAGTCTGTCTTTCTTTGAGGTCGACATGCGACTTTTATATTAGTGAAGATAGTATCAAGGTGTAGATCTAAGTGGAAGCCGTTAGATCTAATTAGATTTTTTCATAGGCTAAACATTTAAAATTAAAATCTTGCGCATACCAGAACTGCAAGACAATTTGGATCAATAGAAGGCAATCCCCAGTCTCCTCTCCAAACTTCTAGTTTCATTTTTTCCATCGCCATTTTAACCTTGACCTTTGGGTTATCGCTAAGGTCCAGTTTAACCACAAAAATACCGAAATAATAAATTTGTAAATACTGTACTGAACTAATACTAGATTTTAAGTTTACACAAAAAAATCCGCTAAAATATTAAATTGATTTTATTTAGGTATAAGTAATTAACGTTTTATTATCACGCTTGCCCGTCTACACTAGATTAGTATAGCCACTAGTTAAGTTCTAGATCTATTATTAGGCCTAATTAAAATTATGGTCTCTAAATTTAAAAATAGATAGCAACGCTTATAGATCTTGATCTATTACATTCTTTTATCTATGGCATTTGCCTATAACATTGCTTTTATTTATAATATTAACATTCATAATGTTAAATAAGGGGTCGTCTATAAATATCGTCCCTCTTTTTTGACAACCCCCTCCATGTCACACATGATGGCACACTTTACTTTAGCAAGACCCCTCCACCAATTACAATTTTTTTTAAAACAATTTTTAAATTATGAACTTAATTGGGTTAACATGACGTATGATTTTCAAAATACATTTTACCTCTAGAAGATCTAGATCTATACATATACATTTGCCGGCGGCACAGGATTGGGGATTTTAAAAAAATATTTTAAAATGCGTAAGAGTAGCGACATTTTTCTAACGATCGAGTTTGATTTCTAGATATATATATATATATATATATATATATATATATATATATATATATATATATATATATATATATATATATATCAGAGGCGTATCCAGGTTTTCGTTGTAGGGGGAGCGAAAAGAGCCAAAAAAGGCGCCGAATTTTTAACACGTACTCTGTACGTGTATTACATATATATATATGTATGTATATATATATATATATATATATATATATATATATATATATATATATATATATATATATATATATATATATATATATATATATATATATATATATAATTACTCGCTGTATGTCATTACTGCGCTATGATGTAAAATAAATTGAAAGTAGCACTCAGAAGAAATAAGAAAAAACACACAATGTAGGCCGACAAAACAAAAGTGGTATCAATCTAAACAAAACGAAAAACCAAATATACACACACTACAACCAAAAACAATGAACCTAACACAATCTGTTTTGTAATTCTTGTACAAAAAATTTCTTACATAATAATTCCTGGGAAAATATTTGAGACAAGTGAAATAGGGGAAATAATCACTCTCTTAATATAAATAAGTATATATCTACACATCTAATTATAAATGTCAAAACAAATAAATAATTATTTTAGAATATAATGAAATTGTTTAACATTATTCGAGTTTACAAAACGTTTTTGTCTATAATCATAATCTAATATATCTTCATCATAAATGCTAAAGGATTACACCATAATGAAAGTCCTTAAAATCAGAGTTGGTATAAAACCACGCTTTTTGATATAATAGACAACATTCGGAATAACAGCCTACAGTTAACTAAATATCGGTCTCTTAGTTCAAATATTATATTTTTAATTAACTACTGCTTCATTGTGTTCTTTAAAGATCAGTTTTTAACATAGTGATAGGTATGGGTTAGATCACTGTATTGATCACACACCTCTTTACTGGAAATTGCAAAAAAAAATATTCACAGAGTTTTACGTTTAAAAAGCTAATTTCCTGGCGACATGGTACTTTGGTACATCATTGAGCGTTTTTCTACATGTACTTAACAGATCAGTTCGGGGTGCGTTGGGGGGGGGGGGGAAGGGTGTTCAACTTCATTCACCACTGTCCGTTCACTTTAGGTCAATTATCCAATCCAGCGTATCCAATCCAGGTGTGACATTAATGTTGCTCTACACAATTGTGGTGGTGAGGTGTGTGTGTGTTGGGGGGTGGGGGGGGGGGGGGAAGATAACCAACTCAGAGTGAAAATAGCGTCAGTTTTTAGATGACTGTTCTAAACATACATATATATTACACAAATATATATTACACAAATATATATTACAGAAATAGATTTAAATAAGTAGCAGTGGTATTATGACAATATTTTTTTTTACAGAGGGGTCCATGGGGGAGTGGGGATGTAACTGTTTCATATAATTTGTAATCGTAATCATTATCGCCCAAACTGTAAGAATACTACTACTTCATCGTGATGACGTGTTGAACTTGTCAAAATTTTTCCCCACCGCTACGCAGTTCGCCCATAAGTAAATTTAAATAGATGTGCCACATCAGTTGTATTTGTTTCTGTATTGTAATCTTTTAAAAAATTAATCACACGATTCAAACTGTATATATAAAGTAATTATGTGTGAAGTTTTATGTATAACATTTTCTAATTCAATTATTCGTAAGCAAATACATTATACAGTTGCCTTAAACTTAACACCCCTCTTGCCAAGTGGTACTACTCGTAGAGGTTTTTTAAAAATTGGAATGCATCGTAATGGTTATTTTTAGAATGGCAAACTGATGCAGCTGTTAATACGTGTTGTAAACGTAGACACTACTAGACTATTGCAATAATGCTTAATTGCTGCATGAAAAGAAATCTTGTGATTTACATAGATGTGCCGACCAAAAATATTTTTTTTAACAAATATTGTTTAAAAAGTTTCCAAAAAGGCGCCACTTTGCTGAAAATGGCCAGAGGGGGAGCGGCCGCTCCCCCTGCTCCCCCCCTGCGTACGCTACTGATATATATTAATAAATTATAATAGGCCTATACAATATAACCATAAGGCTACATAGTAATTTTAGTTTTTTATAGGGTTGAAATATTGTAAACGTCAATACTTGGTAACTAGATCTATGTTCCTCTTCAGTCGTGAAAACAGTTTTACATACATTTCCTAAAAGTTTGGGAATTACCGTTTATAAACAGAGCCTGAAAGTAGGGAAACATTAATAATTTAATTAATTTTGTCGTGTTAAGACATTAAGTGCAGTTATTTTGTACTGTATGTGTTGTTAATGTTGTTGGTAAAACTCCATTTTAGCGTATTATACTCGCCGCTTCACGTTCGCCTCCGGTTTAGCGTATTTTATTATAATATAATAATAATATAAAAACACAACGGTTGTGACAACCGAAACGCACAAAAACTCAAAAACATTAAGAAAACTCAAACACACCTGACCTAACAACAACACTAAGGACTAAGATGACTAAGACTAAGCTTAACTCTGCTTAACACTAGGCTAGGTCCTAGCCCCTAGGATTAGTCACCACGGTAATCTATCGTTTTGGGTACGTAAAATTACGTAAATTAGGATGATTAGTAATAGTGTATGATTAGGTCTTAGGATGACTCCTAATTTAAAAAATTAGCCTACCAGTTTTTTTTACTAGTAGTACTAGTTACCAGTTAGTAATAGTAATTAGTTAGATCTAGATCTCCTAGATCTACTTTTTTTTTATGAATGTGTTTTAATTACAAAATGTATAAACATTAGGTTATATCACGATATAGCTTCATATATTATTCCGGAATTGTACAGCAGTCAAAAACAGTAAAACCATGGTGTTGTCTGTCTAGCAGTTCCAGAAACCACCGGAAATACTGTAAACCATCATTTATTTGGCGCCATGTTATTTTTAATACATAATGTTTACAAATTTGCATAGATTTATTTTAGTTGCATTTTAAATACTGTTTTGCTAATTATTTTGTATTTCTGATTATTTTAAGTGTAGGTGCTAATTATTGCTCCTACTAAACATTGTTCTAGTTCTTCTTACTACTTTTAACTTTAGGAAATCTAATTGTCTTATTTTACTAGATCTAGATCTAGTTGTCGCAAATCTTCTGCAATTTTTTTCTTCTGTGTTTTCTAATTGTTGCTAATTTTCTGTCTATTAAACTTTAAATTAAGTTAAGCCATTAATTTAAAATGCACTTGACTTAATTTTTATTTCAACAATCAAATAAACTATGGTTTACAATAATTGTTAACAAAGCTCAACAAACATTACCTGATAATTTCCGACGCTATATCGTGAGATTACCAAACATTATATAGATCTATAAGCATTACATTTCCAATTAAATAGTGTGCGATCGTCAGCGGTAGAAAAATCCCTATATCATATCATCAAGGGTTCACCATGAGTTCACATTCATTGACTTTCATACATCATAGCTTGGGCAATTGCTATTTGAAATTGTGGTGGCCTAAGTTATGGGGTCATTGTGAGTTCATATAAGTTTATTTATAGTACCATGCGTAACAATACAAACTTAAAAGCCTTGCAATTATGAGTTGCGTACTCATGAAAATCTTAACTGACACAAACATATTTTCAAGAGTAAAAAAAAGCTAAATCTAGATCTAAATAGTGCACATTCAATATTCCAAATTTGGAATTTTCTCACATTTTGACAAAAGTAAATTGTTATTATAAAAAACTAAAACAAAAATTCCTAAAGAAATAGGCCTATTGTTTTCCTAATGGTTTTGTGTGTTTTGGTTGTGTTTGTAATAAAATACGCTTAACTGGAGGTGAACATGAATCATGGAATAAAATACGCTAATCTGGAGTTTTACCAATGTTATACTATATAAGTGTCCGATAATGACAAACCAATCGAATCTTTTTAAATGAGTATTAGATTAGGCCTACTGGTATTTAACTAAATTGAATTGTTAATTGATTGATTGAATTGAGGTCAAGAAACATAAACTAATCACTAATTACTATTAATTAGTAATTAGAAACAAGTGAACTCTACTTCACTTGCCCCATAGACCGTCAGGTTTGAAAGGGAAACTTTACTTTTTTTTTAGTAATTAGGACTATACTTAACTATACTAGACTTTACTAAAGTTATAAAGTAAAAGTATCGGGCAGGTCTAACTATTATTATAATTGGTAATCTATTGTTTTAGGTTCATAAAATCAGCCGAGGCTAGTAATGTGATAATAACTGATGTGGGGCTGTCAAAATAATGAGAATATCGATCATCAAATTCCTGTAGAGCCAATCAATACTTGTCTTACGAAAGTGAAACTTATAAATTAGGCTTGCTAAATAGAAACATAGCCTTAAACTCAAACAACTATTTTAAAGTTCTCTGGATTTGCAACTACTATTAAATGGATTCTAAAAATATTAAATTTTTAAATTATTTTCAGGCTTAGGCTTTTATTTTTATTATTTTTACAGTCACTTTGATTGAAAAATTTAAAAAGCAAATTTTTTATCCATGTCAACAATTTTTATGGAAGGATTCTCTTCAGCTCGGTAATGTCCAATAAGGGGATTTTTAAATTAATTTTTTCACGTATCCTAAACATTAAATAACCCTAAGTTGAATCTAGATCTACCTAGTAATAAAGTATAGTCCTAGTTAAAATTCTATAGTCATTAGTAAATTAGTAGAGGGATCTATGTCCTAGCCCTCCTAACCTCACCCTAACTTCTGACCATAACACTCAACCTAAAATAACAATTCCTTATTTAACAACCCAACATGCAGATATTGAGCTATTTTCTGAAGAGTCCATTACTGTTGGTAATACCAATACTCTCTTGTTTCTTTTGCCGAGCCTTTTACTTTACAATTTAGGTGCTGATAAGTTTTGGAAAAACTTTTGTTAATTTTTGCATTGATAAAATGACCAAGATTAGGTTGTCCATGAATGTTGTCACATGCAAAAGAGGGGCGAGGGAAACTTTGGGGGGGGGGGGGGGGGGAGGAATGAGAGTAGGAGAATTTCAGTAACACATATTTTTAAAGAAGAATATGATGTACATATTAGTTTGGTTTGCTAAAAATGATAAGAGTGGTGAGGATGTAAGTGAATATTTGCAATGTCTTTTTGCCGGCAAAATTAGCTACATTTAAATACTACATAGTTTTCTGTAACTGCTACCTGCTTCTGTTTGACTTTCCTTTTTCTCAGCTGTTGATTTTTATCCCTCCCATCACTAATCATCACAAAAATCCAAACTTCGTATGGTGAGGCTTTAAAGTTTCATTCTGGGACAATATTTAACCTTATTTCATAGGAGGAGATTTGACTGTTGTTAATTATCATTTTTAAGAAGTGAAATGCAAAAAAAAAAACAGCATATTTCTTATTCTTAACCCAACAATTTCACTCCTCACTTAGGCTAATTCTAGTTCTAGGCTGATGTTATAGAAAAATACCTGAGAATTTAAATAAAGAAAAATCAAAACAAGCACCACAATTTATTAAGGTTTTTCATGACAAGTAGAATGAAATTATATTTAATTTGTTAACTTAAATTTGTATTTGATTAAACACTGGGATTTGTACATAAGGTCTATTCCCCCACCCCTAGTTAAAAATTTCTGTATCTGATCTATTGGCCTTACTGCTATTATAAGAAGCCTATTTACTTTCAGCACATCAACAGATATATATGTAGTTCTATATTGAGAAAATGTTAACGGAAAAGGAAAAAATGCATTGCATGTCAATCCTGGAATTGGTTAGTGATGAAGACATCATGTCCTTGGCTCAGACTTCAACTAATCGTAGCGTTGATGTAACTGACCGCAGTGGTAAGTTTACCCAACTTTATATTGTACTTGTAAAAATGCTGCACGACATATCAAAGCAATGTTTTTGATAGCGTTGCTACTAACCATTGCCAGATATTGATACATGCAAGATAAATAAGTTGGTAGTCTTACTAGCATTTTTATAAGAATCATTTATAATTAAATGTAAATTGTCTATATTACCTTATTGAGAAGTTATTGTAATTAAATTTCTTTGTGTAGCTAGAACTATATCACAAAACAAGAACAAGGGTCATCTTTTAGGTTTAAAGCTAAGGATAAATTGGACACTATATATCACAATTGGAGGCACGTTACATATTGTCAAATTGTATTACTAGTATCACTGTTTTGAACTTAACAGGTGGGCACATTTATAGACTTGATGCTTATGCAGTTCTATAAGTATTATATGGCAAGTCTATATCCTTATCTTCACTTTTAAGGCAGATTGAAGCTGTTGTGTTACAGTAGTTTGTGTCTGCTTGAAAATAAAAAGTACTGTGTAAATTAACTGAACCAAAAATTTGTTTCAGAGGCTGAGAAAGCTATTTTAGCATATACTGAAACACTGCAGGAGTTTTTCAAACGCAGAAAAATAAGCAAGGAAATTCTATTAAAATATCTGTATCAGAATGGATACCCTATCACTCGAAATGCTGAAAAGGACAAAATAGCTTCTGACATTATAGGATATTGGCAAACAGATATAAAGCCACATCAACCGCCGAAGGTAATATTTTCTATGAATACTATTTCACTTTGTGCATGTCATGCATAAAAAAAAAATAATTGTTATTTATTTTAAACACCCAAACATTTAAAATAAATATAATTATGATGTACGAGCCGGCCCGCGGCATAACATACGCCGCTATTTAGTTGTTGTTTTTTCTACTTTTCAGTAATTCAACATTTGTGAATTCGACAGTACCAACGCTGCCACTGAAAATATTTCTTTAAAACACTATAAGTAGCTCGTTAAGGACCATAACCCCCCCCCCCCACTCTTCCTCCCCCCCCCCCCCCCACTTTTAAAATCGTTGGCTCTGCTTGTAAACATTTAGAGTGAACACAGCTCACTAAAACCATATAGGGGTGGGGAGGTAGGGAGCGCGTTTACAGCTTGTTTTCTAGGCGCATTTGCAGCTTGTTTTCTAGCGGCTCCCAGAAGAGAATTATATATATAGATTAATTTCATTTAAATAGTCACACAGTAGAGTACACAACTGATCACCAGAAAAGTCCAAGGTTCATTGATAGACTCATTTCTGTTGATACATTTGAATTAATATAGTTCTGAAGGGAGTCAAAGACAGTAAAACAGCTGGTTGACCATGTATTCCCTACAAATACCCTTCTCCAAGAAACTGATTACTACTTCATATGCCCTACAGAGCAATAGGTTTTAAAGGTTGCTTTACTACAATTTCCAATTTATTGTTTTATTTGGATAACACTTTGTTGCTATGTTTTCTTTCTAGATTCAACAAGAGCAAAAACCTGTTTACAATTATAGTCCAACAAGCATAACAATCAATCTGAACATGAATTATTCAACCAGCCCCGAGTCTAGCTCCGCCAGCCTAAGATCTGATGAGCAGTCAAGTGCGCAAGCGTTTGTTTCATGGTTTTACGACATGCTCAACTCGTGCAACCCTTTTCTTAATAAACCACCACAAGATTTTGGGCCACACCACTTTTGGAGTAACGCCCAGCTGTTTCTCATCATGAACACAGCTTCCTCCAAAGTTGAAGACCAGATAGAGGGTAATGTTCAAGTTAGCCAGCGCTTGCTTCAGTTTCCACAACAGCAGTCTCTAATATTTTCCCCTAACCTGAGTGCCGAAGGAGTGCAAGTTAAGACAGATCCCCACGGCTTGAAGCTTATTCTAGTCTGTGGGACTTTACACCTAACCAACAACTGCATTGGTGTCTTTCAGCAAAGTTTTGGATTAGTTCGAGACCCTGTGGTACCAGACCATTGGAAAATTAAAATAATGTGCCTGAAAATGGAGGAACAGCAAGCTCTAACAATACCAACGTTGAATGAGTGTGAAGGTGTTGCTGCGATAGAAGGACACACAGTCAGAGTTTTACAGCAGTCATTGGCTGATACGTAAATTCTATTGCTTTATCAGAGGTTTCTAAACTTTGTTATCATGCCTCCATTTAGCTAAACTTTTGGCACCTTTCCCATACTTTATTTTATACTATAGTACAAAAAATGTTCATGGACAGAATTTATACATACAGTTAAAATGATATTGTTTTAATATGACGGATTTGCTTTTTTTTTTCTATTAATATAAAGATATTCAAATTAACTGTTTTTGTCCTTCCTAAATGGGTAAACATTTAATTTTCATTATCTCATCCAGAAACTTGACTCTTGGATATTATGTTACAGGTACTGAGATACTCAAAACATGTGTTTAGCTTAACTAAAGATTTGATTTACAATGACATATTTTAAGTTCCATTGATCAAAAATTGAACATTAAAACAATGAAATTTTTATTTCAGTAAATTTGACCTATCAACATTCTTTTTTTTTTTCAAACAATGTAAAATTAAGTAAAATTAAATTAGCTAACTACTGAAATGTTCAGTTAACATTTTGTGTTTGACTTTATATGACTGACAGTTAAAGTTAAAACTCATCTAGCTCTAACTTATTTTATTTTAATAATGCCATTTCTCAAATATTTCAATTATTGATTTATCACCCATATACAAGTTTGATGTTTCATAATGAAGAAGACACACTGTCACAAACCTATTATGTAGTTGGTTAGGGTTGTTCTTTTTAGTTTTGTAGACCATGTGATACGTACTTAACTACTTATTGAAACTATTGCACCAAATCTTGCATAATACATGCAGTATTTCTACTTCAATAAGTTATAATTTTTCCTGCAGAATTCCAAATGTGTATTGTAGCTAACAATACTAACATGTATATATCACTGAAATGTTTAAATTTCTTTTGTTTATTTATTTTTTAAGAAAAGTTGCCACCTTCTTCTTTGTTTAATGCTCCACACAGCACTAGTCAGCACCTCCCTGTTTGGACTGCATTCAATTATTATGCATTTTTAAAAAAAATATTAGCCTCACCCTATATTGATTTTTTAAAATAATTTTCTTACATAAATATATTAGTGTTTTTTTTTTTAGTTTCAGTAGATTGTGGTTAAACACAATTATAAGCCTCCAGCATTTCTGTGTAAATAATTTATCCTTAAACTATTAAATAGTTTTTACAAACAGTATGTAATCTGCTTATGTAGGTGCATAGTGACTCACTTGACTTTGACTTAGCCCTCTTTGCTCTTTGTGGTATATAGAGCTTCCACCATACCCTTATTTGCATATTGAGTGCAGTACATTTTCACTACTGATGTGTGAATAATATGTATAATGTTTTAAGTTATTTGTTCTTTAAATTTGAACTAAAAAAACCAAGAAGCAAGCTATGATGTTTTAATGCTTCTTTTACACATTTTAAGAGGGAAATTGGTTTTCATGCAGTAAGATAGTTTACATCATTTGAAATTTATCTGACAAAGCTTCTATTGAATAAACATGTGTTTTTTTTTCAAGGTATCTGACTACAGTATGTAAATTGTGTTGTTTTATTAATATAAAAAAATTCATCTTATGGTAAGAAAAATTGTATTCATTGTTCTGTTTAATAATTTTCTGTTTAAGAAAAAAGAATTGTTAAACTCCTTTCATCTACAAATACAGAACCATGTTTTCTTAAGAAATAATATCAAAAGAATTAAAAAAATATATTTATTGTATATATATCTTTTGAAGTAACATTTAACAATGTATATATATTTATGGTTTGTTCATCATACAATAAATGCAGTAACATAATGCCTCTATCTGAACCTTTTTTTTTTTTCATCAAGCTCTTTTTTTGCTTGCTCTTTTGTTTGTATTTTTCTTGTTTTGTAATTCAGATTTTTTCCTTCTCAACACAGTTTTCTTGAGCTCAATAACATCTTCACTATTCACCTCCAACTCTACTGACCTTCTTGTCCTCCTGCTGTTTTTGGAGATCTGAACATCACTTCTACCATTGTTAAAATACTTGGATTTTTTAGTGGTAATTTCAGAGTTTCCTCCCTTTTTTGAATTTTCTGATTTTCTTTTTCTCGTAGATTTCCTAGTGCTGTGATCAGCTTCATCAGTTGTTTCAGTTTTTGTAGACAGAGCATCATCTTTGTTATCATCAAGATCACTGTTTTCAGGATCATGTTTCTCTACAGTTTCGCTTGGTTTGACACCTTTCTTTTTTGATGATTTTTTCTTATTATTTGCCTGAAATAAATAGACTGGTTTTTAATATAGGATTCATTTCTACATATAGTATTGTAAAAACAGACTAATGACACCATCATAATGGAGTTGTAAATTTCTTCTATACTGCTTGAGTTTGAGACAGATTAATAAAGTAGTGAATCAATTTTTGTTTACTGATACTGTTACATAATTTCACCCATATCTTCATAAACTGAGGCATGTTATAGTATAGAAGAAATGTAATGTAACATAAAAAAAATAAGTCCAAACCTTGTCTGATTCTTTATTGTCTGCAGCCTTTACTGGTTTCAGTGATTTTAACAAAGCTCTAGACTTGCTCTCTATTTAGAGATTATTATGAAATGATAAAAATTTAAATAATGATGTCAGAAGCCTATACAACAAATGTAAAATATACAATAGACATGTAGATTTTTAACTCATTATAGGACTAAATGAAAATAATTTACTTATTATTGAAAAGATATTAAAACCCTACACAACAATTTAAAAAAATGAAATGATAAAAATTTAAATAATGAAGTCAGAAGCCTATACAACAAATGCAAAATAGACATGTAGGTTTTTAACTCAGTCTAGGACTAAATGAAAATAATTGACTTATTTATTGAAAAGATATTAAAATCCTATACACACAACAATTTTTAAAAATTAAAATAAAGTTACACTTTAGAATGAGGTATTAATTCATAACACAATTTAAAACTACCTGGGGGAGCCAAGGGTCCTGCTGGTCCACTAAACCACATAGTTCTTTTATTGTGGTCCACCATGTTCTTCATGCCTGGCTGGTAGTAGCACTGGAGCCAATCATCAAAGCCTTGTTCTCCATTTTCTTCTCCCTTGACATACATTTCAGACAAGGTATACTTTGTTGACCCTAGTAAACAAGATACGATTTCAGTCATATAATGTATACTGTGCTGATTCTACCAAACAAGATGCCATTTTAGACTAGGTATACTTTGTTGTGGGACAGGTGGTTGAATATTAGAGCATACGACTGCTTTCCCAGAAGTTTTGAGTTTTGGATCCTTGGCTCAAGTCTATAGTACGTCGATGAGTCAGCCCAGCTCTGATTGGTATCTGACTCACACCAGGGAAACAAAGGTGGCTGGGCATAGTGCTGACTACACTATCCCCTTTTGAGCAAGGTAAAGGAAACAAAAGAACTCTACTTCATCTGCCCCATGTGTCTTCAACATAATGGAATAATATGATGATACTATGTTGATAGTAGCAAACAAAATGAGTGAGACAATGTGTACTGTGTTGATTATAGTAAACATTTTAGACAATATATACTGTGTTGATCCTATGAACCTAGCAAACAAGATAAATTTTTGTTTTTCATCAAATAATATCTAACCAGATTTTTAAATTAAAAGTGTTACTACAAGCAATTTCTCTGAATCTGGGTTCAAGTCAGTAGAATATCCCTGAGTTATCCCTGAGTTCACCCAGCTCTGATGGGTACCTAATTCACATTAGGGAAAGTAAACCCGGCTAGGCAGGGTGCTGACCACACTTCCCTTCATCTGCCCAATACATTGCCTGGTCTAAAGAGGATTATTTACTTTACAAGCAATTTCTAGTACAAAATTTCTTTAAAACCTTGGACTTAAAGAAAATATTTATACAATTTGCATAAATCTATACCTAACTGAACAACTTCTAATGGGATTGTATGACACAGTCTAAGCAGTTCTTGTGCTTGAGCTGTCAGCTTGCCAGACGCAGATACTTTATTTTCATTCAAAGCTTGTTCAGCTTCCTCCTGTTTAATCTCTTTCTTTGAATTATCAACATCTGTCATTTCACTTGTAATGCCATTAGTGTTATTTGCTGAAATCTCTGTTTTGGGTTGTCTCTTAGCCTTTGGCTTTTTGCCACCTTTTGTCTTTAGAGATAAGTAAGGGAAATTTTATTCATACATTTCAGACACTCATTATAGTATATTCTTCTGGCTGCTTCAATTATTAACTCATGCATCATAGATTTAAACTCATACATGTAACAATCATGATCTTAAAGGGGTAGATGTTGAAAAAGAAAAGCAAAGAACATATTGAAATTGTGTGTAACAAAAAATATAATTATAATTTTTATTACATGACTTAAAAGTTGAAACACAATGAAATAGCTAATGATAGTGTAATGAAATTGTATAAGATATTAAATGACAAATACATAACACACTTAATAACAGAGAAAGAAATAATAAACTGCCACAGTTTCTAATTTTTGCATATAAAGCATTACATAACTTACCTCCTCTGGTTTAATTTCATCATCTGTTTGAAGTTTTAACACTGAACTGGCTCTTTCAAAAGGAGGAATTTTGCATCTGACAGTTAAAAAATTGATACATTTTAATACCATTTTTGTTAAAATAATATTTTTATCTAGATTTAGAAATCTATGAAGTAAGAAATAGGGAAGCTGGTCTACTAATAAAACATTATATACAACCCCTAACAAATTCTATGATGTGATGTAAGTTTTAGAAATGAAGTTTTAACAGAACTAACCTGTACAATATTTCTGCTCTCAGATAATTCCCAATGCCATTAAAATATTTCTGGTTAAGCATTGCTTCACATATTGGTTTGTTAAAAGCTGCATCATTTAGGTTGTTTACAATATTGGTCCTGGAAAAAAAATTAAAGTAATGGTACTGAAAAAAACACCACTGATAATGAAAAAGTCATAAAAAAACGTAAGAAGATATATACTTGTATATCATTTATATGTCAGCATTGTTCACACCCTATCAACATATTACTAAATGTTGTGATTTTCTACTTACACAAAATCCTCATATTCTTGAATCACGCACGGTCCTCTAGCAGACGTCCAAGAAGCTTCTGGTCTCCATTTACCAAATCTACGATAATCCACAAAACTCAAAGCCATTTTGGGCTCAGTCTTTGTAAAAAAACTTAAATGGGAATGCTTAAGCAATTGATCTGCTGGGGTAAATTCAAATTTTCCACTCATACCAAATGAAAACTGGATACTCAATGATTTCCCATTAATTTTTGAAGAGTTTGCAGGCTGCTTTTTATTTTTCATTGAGTTTTTTTCAGCTGGATTCAAAGCTTTTAGATGCAGCATTAGTTCTTTCCCTTTAGATTCTGCACTAATTGAGTATTGAGGCTCATCCCATTCTATATCTTGACATTTATGTATAGGGTTTTTCACCACTTTTCCACCAAAAATGATATCTTTGCAAATTCTGTTTACAAACAAACTTGACAAGAATAACTCTGGTCCTTCTGGCATTTTGCAAACTATTACAATAAAATGTTTTTTCTATATTAGAGATTCTGCAATTTAAAAAAAAAGTTATCGTATTAGGTTTATAAATGTTTTCTTAAATATAAAAATTATTTTCTGTTTAGTTAATAAGTAATCAACATAATGAAGTATATCTACAAATATGCACACATCATATCCGCATAGACCCACATGGACCCAAAATGTTAGAATAAACTCAATGTTTTAAAATAGTAATTTTATAACTGCAATTTGGAGGAAGGCTAGGTAGATCTGGATATAGTCTATTATTAATCGTTATTAATGATTAGGCCTAATATTTAAATTTAACTTAAGGCCTATGGCTATTTCTTTGCCTATTGTAATGCTATACTAGATCTATGTGGGACGGTGTGGTTAAATGGCAGAGTATGCAACTGGTAAGCTAGAAGTCTCGAGTTTAAATCCGGGTTTTCAAATCCATAGAATGACCCTGAGTCCACACACCTACGCTACGTTGGGTGCCTGGCTCACATCATTAGGGAAAGTAAAGGCTGCTGGGCATAGTGATGAGCACACTATCCCTTCATATGCCAAGGTAATAGAAACAGATGAACTCTACTTCATTTACCCCATGGACCGACAGATTCAAAAGAGATCTTTGCTTTATATAGATCTAATCTATAATTATGTAGTGTAGATCTATATGCCGTAATTATATATATATATATATATATATATATATATATATATATATATATATATATATATATATATAATATAATATAATATATAATATATAGGCCTATATATATCTATATATATAATTCTCTTCATCATGGGGACCATACAAGACACCACGCAGCTTATCCACCACCCTCAACCCCACCTGTCAGGTGAGCTATGGTTCACTCCGAATGTTTACAGTAGTAGAGCCAGTTCGAATAAGAAGAGACGGCTATTGGGGGCAGATAATTTAGTTTTTAAACTATTTGAAACTAAGGGGAGATAATAAGTTCTGCTTGTTATTTTCATTGTCGTCTGTAAAGGGCTGCTTTCACTGGGCGGGGTGGGGTGGGGTAGGCAGGGGGTGGGGTAGTGTCGAATTCACAATTTATGAATTGTTTATAAGTAGAAAATAAAACAACTAGATAGTAGCGTATGCTACGTCGCGGGTCCGCTTGTATATATATATATATATATATATATATATATATATATATATATATATAGGCTATATATATATATATATATATATATATATATATATATATATATAGGCCTAGGCCCCCAAAATATATATTAGGCATATAGGCCTATTATATAATAATATATAGAATATAGCCTATAGGGGCCTACAATTTTAATACTATATATATAACTTGTAGTGTGTTACTGTTATCTTATATAATACATATTAGATCTAGACCTATAGGCCGCCTATTATTATTTATTTAATATTTATTAGATCTACATTACTGCCACTGGTACTCTCTATTCTATACAATATACATCTATAGACTATAGATTCTATATTAGATATATAGTATAGATAGATCTATTTAGAAAATCTAGATCAAGGGACGTCACTAGTACTATATCTAGATCTAGATAGAATCTATAATCGATCTAGACTATTCTAGACTAGTCTAGATTCTAGAAAGATTCTAACCTTTATAATTCATTATAACTGATCTTAAATCTAATCTACCGATAGATCTAGTTATACTGTTATGGTTATAGCTTTAGTATTCTAGATCTAGATCTAGTAGTTATTATTTTAAATTTTAAGTTATACCACTAACTAACTTAGATCTAGACTAGTAACTAACAGTTAGTTACACTAACGACTAACACAGTGACTAACAGACTACAGACTAACACTTTAAAAATTAATGTGCAAAATACTATAAGATCTAGAGATTGTCTAGATCTATCTTTCTCTAGATCTAGATCTAGATTGATTATAGTTATTAGTTAGTTATTACTTATTATAGATCTAGATCTAGCTTGATCTAGCTATATCTATATCTAGATCTATTATTACTTAAATCTAGATTCTGGATGTATAGACCTCTAGATCTAAAATGCATAGATCTAGATCTAGATCTTATATTTATTAATTTTTATAGCCTACTTATATTTTTATTATATAATCTCTATATATTTAAATATATTATATAAGATCTAGATCTAAAAATAGGTTGAAATTTCGTCCCGCGCAAAGTTTGTTCCTTTAGTTTCGGCTTTCTTTTTTAATTTTTAGTTCTAGATTTCTAGATAGACTTCTGGAATCCTACAAGGTCTAGATCTAGAAGATCTAGATCTAGATCTACTAGCCTTACATTTAGAAATAAGTAACACTGTATCAAATTTTTTAAAATTGGAAAAAAAATTATAGGCTTTAATTTAATTTTTAAAATGTGGGTGTCATCCATAAATTATAACGTTACGAAGGGGAGGGGGGGGGGGGGGGGGTCGGAGTCGGACTTGTGGGACGAGGGAGAGTCGTCACCATGTGCAGAGTTTCTTCCAGGCATCTCTTCGGGGACGCCCTGAAGAAAGTATACTTTTAACAGTGTGCGCCACCCCCTTCCCCCCCCCCCCGGAGAAAAAAGTCTAGAAGAAAGACTGGTTGTTACACTTGGTTAGGAGATAAGTTAAATGACTGCTTTGTGAACTATATTAATTGAGATTTTAATTGTAATAAAAACTGATCAATTCTAACTGAGCTCAATTAATAATTTATTTAAAAAATCGCATCACAAACCACCACCGGGCCAAGACTAAATGAAAATATGACCAGAGTTTCTTTCAGGCATCTCCATTGAAGCACCCCCCCCCCTTCCCCGATGAAATAGAACAATATGTAATTTAGCCAATATGGAAAAAAAAATACTTCGATCCCCCTAGAAATTGTAAGTGTGCACAGCATTGTTATTTGCATGTTTTTTTGCTGTAAGCTTTTCCTTGCCAACCTTGTTTGTCCATATTTTGTATTGTTGACTAAATTTACAACATAATTAATCCGTTCTGGAGCTTACAATCAGAGTTTCTTGCCCCCCCCCCCCACACCAGAGGCGTAGCGACCCTTCCCGGCGCGCGGGGACAAACTTTTCGATTTGCACCCCCCCCCCTCAAACTTTCGATTTGCACCCCCCTCAACCTTTCAATTTATTTTTCCAACCCATTTTGGCGCCCCCTAAGGTCGGCGCCCGGGGACATATGTCCCCCCCCCCCCCGCCCAGAGTTTCTTCCAGGCATCTCTTCGGGGGGGCGAAGCCCCCCCCGAAAATTTTTTACCGCCCCCCCCCCCCCCCCGAAGGAAATGAAATTTATATAATTTATATAGAAAATATATACTTTTAACAGTGTCCGACCCCCCCCCCCCCGAAGAAAGTTTACCGCCCCCCCCCGAAGATTTCAAGTGCCCCCCCGGAGAAAAAAGTCTGGAAGAAACCCTGCCCCCGCCCCCCCCCCCCCCCCCCTCGCTACGCTACTGCCCCACACACACACCGAAGAAAGTCTACCCCCCTAACGAAATGGAATTTATATAGAATATATATGATTTTAACGGTGTCCGCCCCCTCCCCCCGAAGAGATGCCTGGAAGAAACTCAGAACCACACCCACGTTTTGGTTACACTCGCTTAAGGGGACATAATTATGGTAAGAAGATTTTAGTGAAAATATTGATTGTGTTGTTTCCCTTTGCTTATATATGCAGTTTGATAGCAAATCTATATATATTCTCTTCTGGGAGCCGTTAGAAAACAAGCTGCAAGCGCGCGTCTTGCAGTCCCCTCTTTTCCTCTCTATCGCTACCCCCCCCCCCTCACATGGTCAGGTGAGTTGTAGTTGTAGTTCACGCCAAATGTTTAGTTGGTGACGGCTATTAGGGGCAGATAATTCAGTTTGAAACTATTTTAAACTTAGAGGAGGTAACTAAGAGGAGGCTGCTTTCACGGGGGGGGGGGGGGGGATGGGGGTTTAGTGTTTTAAAGCAAATATTTTCAGTGGCAGCATTGGTACAGTCGAATTCACAAATTATGAATTACTGAAAAGTAGGGAAAAAAAACACTAAATAGTGGCGTATCATACACCGCGGGTCGGCTCGTAGTAAATACTATTTCAGTTTTCTTTTTTGCAAATTCTGGTCAGTATTAAATAAAGTCTAGATTCAATGCTCCTGTGACAGATTGTTAGAAACGAACGACAACCCATCCCCCCCCCCCCCCCCCCCCCCCCACACACAAATCTTAATAGTAGTCCGATATTCAATAGCTTACCAAATCGAAACACTAACTAAAATGGGAATTCCCGATATTTTACCAATGTTTCTAACTAAACGGTCTCTGGCCCAAGATCTAAATTAGAAATAAACCTACCTGGAAGAGAGTTGATTCCTTTTAGTCTAGCAACAACAAAAAAATTCATTGCATCTACTTTCTTAGTCAAGTCGCTATTTTTTAAGTGCGGTAACTATACAAACTTTAAATAATTCAAGTATTTATTAAATAGATTAAACCGATTATCCCAAAGGCCAACTGTAGATCTAGAATATATTATATATATATATATATATATATATATATATATATATATATATATATATATATATATATATATATATATATATATATATATATATATATATATATATATATATATTATAGATCTATATATATATATATATATATATATATATATAGGCCTATATATATATATATAGGGCCCTATATATATATTATACGTATTATATATATATATATATATATATATATATATATATATATATATATATATATATATATATATATATATATATATATATATATATATATATATATGAACATATCTAGAATATATTATATATATATATATATATATATATATATATATATATATATATTATAGATCTATATATATATATATATATATATATATATATATATATATATATATATATAGGCCTACATATATATATATATAGGGCCCTATATATATATTATATGTATTATATATATATATATATATATATATATATATATATATATATATATATATATATATATATATATATATATATATATATATATATATATATATATATATATATATATATATGAACATATTGTTTTACAGATTAACCTAAAATAGACTTGTGAAGTGTTAAAGCTGAGCCCTATTGACATGGATGATATATGTTCAGGTAAATCCAATTTATTTGATGATTTTATAGCTGTAATTATTTTTTTATTCACTGACTTAACTGAGTTAACTGGATAAAGATCTACAATAAATTGAATAAATAACATCCCAGAGTAAATTGTTCATGTTAAGACGACATTGGGCCAATATTTTTAATAGTAAAATATTTATTTAAAACATCTGAATCTTACAATCTTACCTTTTTACAATTTAAAAAAAAAATAGCTGTATGTTTTTAAATAATTGTCTACAGGAATTTTAGTTGCTATAAGTATAATAGTATCCACTCACAAAGTATACAGTTAGATTCAATTTAAAAAAAAAAAAAAATCTGAATAGGATTTCCTTATAATACTGGAAATAATACTATTTCTTTAATCCATATTAAAGTTATTAGAGGTTAAGTTATCCAATTTTTAACTTAACTTTTAGAAAAGATATTTTCTTAATAAGCAAAGCATGCTTTCTCCTTTTGATAATTTCAGGTGTTTCTAATATTAAGCTCACAGCAGAGGAATCAGAAGCACAAAAATGGAAAACAGTTATTAAGAATAGCGGATGCAATGTTATAATTGATCAAGAAATAAATGAGTTGCAAAAAGAACCTAATTCTAATGAAGGTACCACTAATTTAATAAAAGGAGCAAAAATGTATATTTGACTTTTCAAAAAAAGTTAAATAAGCTATTATATAGAAACTGTAAATAAAAGATGGTTTGAATTTATCTTAATAATTTTATTCATATATTAAGCTATTCTAATACCTTTTGCTTTAAAACACTTTTTTTAGAAGCATCAACAAGCAGTAAAGGAGGTATATCTGAGTTAAGAAACTATCAAAAAGAACTAGCTGAAAAAGCCCTCACTGGAGAGAACGTCATTATTTGTGCTCCCACAGGCTCAGGGAAGACTAAAGTGGCTACTCATATAATATTAGAGCATCTTAGAGGATCAAATGGTAATAACAGCCAACATGCATTTATTTTAAGAAAAACAACATTAAAAAAAACATAAATGCAAAATAAGTTTAAGCTATGTTAAGATGTAAACTTAAAGATTAGACATTAATCTTAATCAAAAGAAATTTAACAGTTTCATTTGTATCCTCCCAACAATAGTTATAATCAAGATATGTTTACATTTTTACTTCGTATATGCCTACGTGAATTTAAAATCTACTACCTGTGTCATCATCAGGCCAAGAGAAAAGGAAAGTTGCATTTTTGGCAAGGACAGTCCCTCTTGCTCTACAACAATATAAAGTATTGGCTAGAGATCTACCTTCAGAGTATCTGGTAAAAACACCTGTGATTTTAAATAAGTTTCATTCATCAACTTTTCCTTTTTGTGCCCAAGACACATGGGGCCGCCACTCAAAGCTCCCTTTACTTTAGTCAGTCACCTGCAATTTTCTTGGCAGTCCCCCATGACAATCCTGCCTCTGCCAGCTGCTTCCCTCCTGTGCACCTCAACGTCTCCCTTGGCCTTCCTTGCTTTCTTATTCCTTGAGCCGTCCAGTTTAGAGCCATTCCTGCGATTCATTCTTAGGACCTGCCCCATCCATCATCTTTTTTTTTTCAATTAATTTGGAAACTTATTCCATTTTAATCTCTCCTAGTAATTTATTATTTGAGATGGTGTTGTGCCAGTGTATGCCTTTTAAACACTTAGCTTGGAAATAGTCCAGTGATCTGCTGGTGAATTTCAGTGGAGCAGTCACCTTCATAGTTGACACTGCTGCCTAAATATGTGAAATCTTTTACTTCCTCTACTTGTGTGTTGTTTGTTTTAATAGGCACTTGACTAGATGTATTTTGCTTGTTTTGTTAGTGTTTAGTTTGAGCCCAACTCCATTTGCAAAATAAATAAGTCTATTTAGTTTTTGAATGCTGGTTAGTAGAGTTATGTGATCCACAAAATCCATGTCTTCTAGGCCAGTTGTAAGTGTCCATCCGAAGCTTCTCGCTTGTCTATAGTTTGTGTCATCAGCCAATCAACTACTAGGTTAAAAAGCAGCGGGGACAGAACACACCCTTGTTTGACTCGAGTTTGAATCATACATGGGTCCGTGATATGGCTACCACATATAAATTTGCATTGGAACCCTTCATATATGATTTTGATGGCATTTTTCAAAAGCAAAGCCTTTTCAAAATCAATGAATAATGCATAGATTTATAAGTTGAGAAAATAAAATTCTACATAAGATTTCATATTTGTTGTGTAATATTATTTTAAACCGTGAGAAAAATATACTGATTCAGTATATTTATTATACTCTTTAAAATATATTATAAATATATAATATATTTATTATAGACATTAAATAAGCACATTCAAATATTTTATAAAGTTTTGATTATACTTTAAATACTGAATACTACAAACAATTATTAGAGAATAATTGCTGCATTTAAGTGAATAATTTATTTCAATAGTTATTGTTATGGATAATTAAATAACAGTTATGATATATTATTATTTCAGGTGACAAGAATTAGTGGTAGGAGTAATAATGGAATGAAGCTGCATTTTCTTGTGGATGGTTATGATGTCCTTGTCATGACACCTATGATCTTGTACAACTGTTTGAAACTGAAAGTACAACAACTGGAGCATCTGGGCGTCTTCTCGTTGATTGTGTTTGATGAGTGCCACCACACACATAAGGGAGAGCCTTACAACCTGCTCATGTACACCTATCTAAAAACCAAAAACACATCTCCTGGCATTAAGCTACCACAGGTATTCATAACAAAAATATTTCATTTAATTTTTTTTAAAAGATTAAAAAAAATATAACATTCAATAAAAACAATACAATGTTTTATTTTGTAAATGTATCCAAAGGCCTTATTAGATATCTAGTAGATGAAAGGTAAGACAATATTAACCACTAAACGCTTTGCTGTTTTAGATTGTTGGCCTTACAGCATCAATCGGTGTTGAAAAGGCAAATAAAGCTGAAGACGCTAAGAAACGTATTTTGGAGATTTGTGGAAATCTTGATGTCAAACACATTTGCACTGTTGTCAGACATAAATCAGAACTTGAGGAGTGTATGCCAAATTTAAATGAAAGTATGCAAAATGTTTCTTTGAATTGTTTTAGTATTGAGTTTAAAAAGACCTTTGCAGATTAGAGTTTTAGATAAATAATAACAGTTTTTAAAACTTGAAAATCATGTGTGTTGCTTTAAAAAAATTGCTCTTTTTTAAAATACTCATTTATAGAAATATTTTTTTCTCAAATCTACTATTTTACAGAAACAAAGCAACTTAAGCCTTGTGATGATGACATTTTTGTTAAAAAACTGCATGAAATTATGAAAAAACTGGAAGATCAAGTGAAAGATAATGTTACTGGTAAGTAGAAAAATTAATTTATACTGGATAATTAGCTTTATTTTAAATGTATTGTAATTGTATAATTTGTATTTAATATAGAGTGTATTTTGAAAGTGTTTTTGGTTAATGCAGACATAATACATTTTGTACTGCAAAGCTGGTTAAAAATTTAAAAAAACTTAACTACATGTCAAGACGTTAGCCGGACATTGCTCCTTGTCATGGTTAAAAGTTAATCCAATAGCAATCAGACACAAGCTCTCTTGTTTAGAAGTTTAATATGTTGCCTTTGTTGGTACATATTGCTTCAAAGTAATGATCTATGTTCTTGTTTTAAATACAACAGAGCAATTTTTAACTTATTAAATTCTTTCAAACAGATCTAAATAATAGTGCATTAAAGACACTTGCAAGCAAGATACCCAGCAATAAGAGAAAACTTCTAGAGTACAGGCAGTGGGCAGATAAAGTAAGAAGAGAAGCTAGAGCTGAAATGCTGGACCAAAACACAGATCTCTCTGTGAGGAACTTGATTGTAATTGCAAACCATTTGACAGTGAGTGACATTTTAAATGTGTAGATTTTAACAAGTAATATTATAATTTATGTAGCATCAATACTTTAAAAATAATAAGACTAGGCCAATGTTTAAAACTGTTAGAAACCTGTCATTCCTATGAAGTGCAAAGCCTTAAAGATGGGTTGATAAATCCTTGCTTTAGAACTGTTTCACAGTTTCAATTTTTAAATTTTAAATTTGATTATAAATTTAACTTTTTTCATTTTAAATGAGATCTAATATACTTTTTTTTTCACTTTAGAGTAAAATATATAGACTAATGTTAAAAGTATCAAAATCTCACTAACACATGTTTAGTTTTCAATACTAGTTTAAAAATAAATTTCTAGAGTTACTCAGAATCAAATTTTTCTATTGCCTTCTACACATATTGTAGATCTTCTCCCTTCCTCTTGGCTTTACAGTTATATATAGTTCAAGGGTCTCTGAACTACGACCCGCAGGCCGGATGCGGCCCGCGAGGTCCTGTCATCCGGAGATCTTTTTGTCCAAAAAAAAAATGTTTGTTGAAGGTGGTTGAGGAAAAATTCAAAACAAACTGAAAATTTAGCATTGGTGCAAATACCATTGAAGTAAATGTGGCCTGTTGCCCAGCAAATGACCTCCTTAAAGACAACTTCAAATAAGGTTGGGTGGGTTTTATAAGTATTTGCCCAAGGAAGACTTTCCTAATATTAAAACTTTTGCATCAAGAATGAAGTAGGCCTACGTGAAGAACAATTTGAGAACAAACTTGGACTCGAGTATGCTGGCGGTCTCCGAAAGTGTTTCTTTTAGACTTTTTTCTCGGGTGGGGGGCACTTGAAATTTATATATATATATATATATATATATATATATATATATATATATATATATATATATATATATATATATATATAAAATTCCGTTTTGGGGGGGGGGGGGGGGACTCCGCCACCTCGAAGAGATGCCTGGAAGAAACTCTGGCCCGAACTTATATTTGATAGTTAATGCGTCCCTCTGGCTGAAAAGTTTGGAGACCTCTGATATAGTTGAACCCTTTGCTAATACAAAACATTCTATTGTTTTCATTTACACATAAAACAGTTTTACAACATTGCTCTGGAGAGCTATGACTTAATGGACCTTAAAGATATAATGGATCACTTCCCCAAGTTTAAAGCTGATGAGGATAGCACTAGTCAAGAAATTATTTGTCATCAGTATTTTGAAGGTACATACATCATACTAGCTTTATTTCACTTTAGGATTTTCTATTTAAAAAAAAAGTGTTCTTAAATACTAATTTTTAACTTTAACATTAAAGCTGCTTGTTAGGGTAAAGAAATAATATTCATAGGGACCATTAATTTTGTTGTGTTTACATGAAAGAGACTTTAAGCTGACATTTTATTCCTTATGAGATTTTTATTATGGGATAGAATAATACACTGTGTTATTAATATGGTATATCACATTAAAGAAGTGTTCAAGAGCAGAAGTTAAAATTAAAATAAAGTATTATATGCTATTATTGTGACACGAATATACTGGCGCAAGAGTTTGACTCCCATTAGCCAGGTAGGCCTCGACTTAGTGAACTCCCACTAACTGGCAAACTGTGGACTGAATCAGTCGCACAAAGATGTTGGTTTGAAACACTACATGTTGGTCACTTTTCATCCGTAGTCTTTCACCAGCCATGGAAAATCATCCTACCGTCTGGTACTCGGCTTGATATCGCGGGGGGGGGGGGGGGTGTTCGGTCGGGTCGTTTTAAAAACAGGCATGGGACACGTAACTGCTCTCACATACAGAGTCGACAGAGCCGCTACTATCTGTAATGAAATGCTTATTGATGCTTTAAGAAAAAACGTGTAAATTAAAACCTGTGACCTTTCTTTATGTGATGGAAGAGTCTGTATACATTTCTATTGAAACATTTTAATTTTTTTTATATTAATAGAGCTGGAAAAACTAGTTTTGGACAACAGAGGTGGGACAAATCAAAATTTGATCATTTTGGCTGAAACAATAAAAGAACACATGCAGGAGCAAAGACATCGATGTATCATCTTTGTTAAAACTAGGGCTCTGACAGAAGCTGTTTCTTCATGGCTTAACAGATCAGATTTGACACAGGGTAGTTTTAAAGCTGCCCCCTTCACAAGCTCCAATAATACTTTTGGGCAAGGTGAGATTTCTCATTTTTAAAAATTGTTAATGAACTTAATTGACTCTATTTACCACTTTATTTTGATTTAGTTTATTCAACTTTTAAAATACATTATTTGGATGTAGGCCTATACATTTTTATTTAGTTTGGATTTATTTCATTTTTTTTCCAACTAGGCATGTCTCAAGTTGACCAAGATAAAGCCTTAGAAGGGTTTAGAAATGGAGAAATAAGAATTCTTGTTGCAACTTCAGTAGCAGAAGAAGGTCTTGACATACCAGAATGCAATTTAGTTATTAAATACAATCAAGTTGGAAATGAAATTTCTACAGTGCAGACAAAAGGTATATCAAAGTTGATTTTTAAAAATAAAATTAAAGTATAGTGAAACAAAAGAAGATCATACCCATATTAGTATTAGAATTAGCCTATAAAATATAAAATTTTATATAAAAATGAGGAATAATTAAGTATTGCCCCAGATACAGGAGATTAAATACCATAGGCAATTATCTGGTTATAACTATCATTTTATCAAGAAGTCACATATGTGTGCTAGAATGGTCATGTTAGATGAGTACCTATCTTAAGCCAAGGAATGTAAAGTATTGTAAAGACAGCTACACTAGGTGCTGACTACTTGCATCATCTACCTATGTCACAATTTAACATGATCATTAGTTCACCTTAAATTATTGACTGTTAAGTCAGTAATTTCATGTCTTAATAAGTAAATTATATTCCTTATTTTCTTCTTAAATCAAGTCTTAAAGGATTGAAAGATTTTTGTGAAATTTGATGAATAAAATATATATTCTTTAAAAAATGTAATTTCAATACTTCATTGTAAAAATAAAAGAATTGCGGAAATTCAAAATTACATTTTTACAGGAAGGAGCAGAAGCAAAGAAGGTGTGTCAGTGTTGCTGGCAATGAACGATATTCTACAAAAGGAGATTCAAAATCGCCAGAGAGTCAAGTTGATGTATGAAGCTATTGAAAGCATTCAAGCCATGGATGAAGAGGAGAGAATGAAAACCATAGAGATGCATCAAGCAACTGTACTAAAAGAAGGACAAATGAAAGAAATGGAAGATGAGAATAGAAAAAAAATGTTGAAAAAAACTCCTTTTACCATGGTAAAGAACAGCAACTTTTTTGGCTTGGCGCTTAACATGTGTTCTTAAATATAAAATAGTTAAAAATAATCTTAATATAAATTTAAGATAAATTTGCAACCTTATCATAATCTTAACTGGACCAATTTTTTAAAAAGTCATTTGACTGAAATCAAAGATTCACAAAATACAGCACAATAATCTATTTTTCAAAAAGTGCAATTTATTTTATGGTCATTTCAAAACTGTAATTGGAATTTTTTAAAAATTTCAATTCAGATCTGTCACTTGTGTAGAAAGGTCAAAATTGACAGCTCAAAAGTTAGGCTAATTAATGGCACTTGTCGTGTTGCTTTAGACAGGTGAGAAGGTTTTGTTTTATTAATTTATTTTAAATATTATAACGTTTACAGATAACTTAATACAACTATATGGTTTCTAATAAGAAACTATTAGGCTACTTTACGATAACTTATAATTAACTATATGCTCACTAAATCTAAGTCAATCTAAGAGAATTACTAATAATACTTATATTAAAGAAGTGATATTCATTTCCTCCTTTTAGTTATAAGCCTATGTAAATGTATAGTGGGTTACGCTACTACATTTTAATGTCACAGTTTATATAGCTATATTACTGTATTTCTTAGATTATAGCTCATCTGGCTAAAGAGATTGTAGTTCTATTTTGTTATAGAGATTGTAGTTCATCATGCTAAAGAGATTGTAATTCATCTAGCTTAAGTGACTGTAGTTCACATTGCTCTACATATTATTGTTTATATTAAGATTTCTGTTGAAGAGTTTGACTTACTTAAATAAAGAAGCTAATGTAAAAGAACAATAAAACCATCATGTATTTGACCACTCCCCAGTTCTCTACTACACCAGGTCCAGCTAGAGCCTTACACTGATGGCCCTACGGAACATGATGAGATTGAGTATGTTGGTAATGTCAGGTGTAGAGGTATGCCCCAGGAAGGGAAACGATGCAAAGGGTTTTTGGGCAGCATGATTCGTTTCAACAACAATCCTGTGGTTGCCTTGGCGGCCATGAACTATACATTTGTTTCAAATAATGGTCAACCAGAAAACCCCAAGCAGTGGAAGAATGTAAAATATTTTGTACCAGATTTGACGATGGAAGATATATTCAGGTAAGAGTTTAAATTAGAGTTTTTGCACAACTCTTAAAAGATATAGCTATTGAAAATTTTGAAATGAATGCATTAGCAATTTGTATTAAAACAAATTTAAACATATATAAAATAAATTAATTTTTTGTACAGAATATTTTTTAACCAATACTCTACAATTTGTTCTCAAATAATTTTTAAAATGTGAAGAAAATATTCCAGTAAAATTTCCTGTCTCTGAGATTTAAAAAAAAAGACTACTGTACTGTGCTTTTAAATTTTTTTACGCAGGTACACATCAGAAGATAGCATGGATGAGGACATGATGGAACCTGACAATGAGGGTGATGGAAATTTGGGCGGAGGGGAACAAAACAGACCAGAACCCAAAATAGATCAGTCAGCAAAAAGACTCCATCCTACCGAAGGTAAATATGTTTTACCATATAAGTAATAATATTTGTGTTATATATGTTTGTCAAAAAAGTAACATCTATCATTTTTATGTTGATGGGTTACTTACACAAAAGCTATTTATAAAGTAATACTCTTTCAGATCTAATTATACAAATGAAACAGTGTATCTTTATTTCCCTTGGTTTATAAAGGAATTGTGAGGTCAGTGTAAGCTAGTTTTCTAAAATCATGTCGGTACCCATTTTGGCTGGGTGGACTCAGGAACATCTTACTAGCTTTAGCTGGAAAATAAACCCAAGATTTATGGGTTGATCAAAATTAATTTAACACTTTTTGTTTGTTTGTTAAATAGATGTGATAGATTGTTTGGTGTGTCGTATAGATGGTGATAGTTTTGCTAAAGTTGTTAAAATGAACATCGTAATACTGTGATATTTGGAGATGTGTGGATGTTACTCCTTAATGAAAAACCTATTCCTCTTGAAGTCCACTTATTCATTCTTATAAATCCTTCTATCATCAAGGCAAATTATTTTAGAAGTGGTAACATGGTATATCCTAAAATAAGTTCGGGTCAATAAGAATTACATATATTGAAATATATTCCAATATCTTGTATAAATGAAAGGGATACTTTAATTCTTGAGTGAAGTTTAGGAACAATGATTGGTTTTGGTATTGAAGTACTATAATCAGGAAAAAAAAGTATTATTATCAATTAACCATACTCCTTAAAAAATACTGTACCACAATACATAAAGTTATATCTTAAAGTTAAAAGCCTTCTTATAAGTTATATTATTAAAATAACTGAATGTATTTGAAGTAACACATTAATTTTTTTACAGATATTTCACACATTAAGAAACAGAAAGTGGAAAATGAGGTAGGACCAAATGACAACAATAATATTGATCAAGTTCTCCAGCAAATGGATGAATGCATAGAGATGATAAAAAATGATACAGCTACTAACTAGACTTAATTTATAGCTCAAACTATTTTACTTCAAATTATATTCATCAGTCACTTTTTAAATGTTACTCTTAAATGTTTTTTCCTTGCTTTTTACGGAGTTTGAACTTAGTTCTTTAATATTCCTAGCTTTGTAATTTATGTGAAAGTTCTTTAAATTCTTATACCACGTTTACACTTGCAATATGTATACTTACCTGCATTGAGGTTTTTTCTAGACATGTTGCAAGTGTAAATGCTGTGTCACACTATAATTGTATAAAACATTAGACTATATCTATATACCTTCTACCTTTATTGTGGATTTTTAAAAATGTTTTTGGTTATATTGACAGACATGGTTGACCAAAATGTGATATACTTAAAATATAATAAATAATAGGACAACAACTTGGAAAATTAGCTTTTTAAAATTCCTTTTGCAGTAGTCCTTGGCCAAGTCATCATGCTCTATTGTCATATTGATGTGTTTTGAACAACAAACCAGACAATCAGTATGCAATAAGAATGGATGGGTTGTATAAACTAGCTGGAAGATAATGCTGGTTTTTACTACTGTGCTCAATTATTTATTTGTCAATATTTTTTTTTAAAGCAAATCTATTTAATCATTGTATTTGAAAATGGGTATTGTTGCTAAGTCAGCTTGTGGCTAGTATCTTTGCATTCTGTGACTTTTGAGAAGAAAAACATTTTGCTGTAATATAGCACTGTGACAGCTCTTTAAAGTTTTGTTTCATTTCTTATCATTTCTATTTTTGTATAAACATACTCACTTCAAAAGCAAAGTGTATGATAGAAAATCATATAGCAAGATATTTTCATGTTAATGTTTCCCTCATCAATTTATACATTTATAGATATATTTGAATTTTTTGCACCTTATACACATTTAAGTTTTTTTAATGTATGATATGATGTTTATTTTTATATTTTAACTCGTGATATTTAATCTTTACATTATAAATTTTTCACTGTGTACTTGTAATTAAAGTTACCCTTTCAAGACTGGAGGTCCCTGGGGCAAATGAAATAGAGTCCACCCGTTTCTGTGACCTCAGCAGTGTGATCAGCGCTATGCCCAGCCGCCTTTACTTTCTCTAACGTGGGTCAGTTACCCATCAGAGCTGGGTGGACTCCGGGACATTCTACGATGTGGAGCCTGCGATCTGAACATGAGACATTCAGGTTAACAGTTGTACACTCATTGGATATTGCAATTTTTTATATTTAATCATTACATTTATAAATTCTTCACTCTGAGTGTTTATGATATTTTATATAAATGAACTCAAGACTTTTGGGTTACTAGTTTTAGGCCTACACTCATTTGATATTGCAACTTTTAATAATTAATTTTTACACCTATGAATTCTCCACTCTCTGTATTTCTATTATTCTATATAAATGTTAATTCAGGTTTATTTTATAATTTTTTTAATGGAAAATATATACTTAATACTTTAAAAGAACATTATAAATAAAATTATTAGCAAGGAAAAAACAACATCATATTAAATATTTTAATTTATTACGCAGCAAATAATTGCCCATGAATAAGCAAATTTTACAAATAATTTATCTTTTTACACTTCTTACAGTAGCATTCATTGATATTAAATACTTCCATTGCAAAGTACAGAGAAACTAAATAAGTATATTAAAAAAAAGACATAAATCATGCAATTTACTGTCAGTATTTTAAATTTGCTTTTTTTTTACCTAATCAAAACATAAATACTTCAACAATTTTTGTGCTCACTTTTAAGTATTATTATTATTATACTTATTAAGTATTATACACCACCAAATTATTTGATAAAATAAAGATTCTCTTTACATCTTTCATTATGTGTGTTCTTGATAATTTTTAAGCTCTTTTATTCATGCTTTCAAATTCTGTTAAAACAAACTTAACTGTATGTGGCTACACAGATAGTAGAATTTATCTGATTTATAAACAATCATAAGTTTTTCAGATTCTTCCCTATTAGAAATAACATTTTAGATGAAGAAGCATTTTTAAAGGTTTAAGTCAAGTTTAAAATGACTCACTGTAATAATTAAAAAATGTATATTTCCAGCAATAAAATATAATAAGAATGTAGTGTCATTATATCACTAGATAAAATAAGTAAATTAAAATTTGCAACTAAAACTTTTCATAAATAATATATATGCAACCTCATCTTGAAATTGAGAAACTAAAAACTCACATTTAATAGCTATTCTAGTTAAAGAATATTTTTCTTGCTTTTTCTATTAAACTTAACAATAATACAATTTTGTATCAGAACATTGTTTCACATGTCTGTGATGCAGTTAAAGCCAATTTCGGGAAGAGATAACAGCTGTTATATGACTGTTGCTATACACACACATTTGCCTAAATGGGGTTTTATAAATAAACTAAAAAAACTAAAAACACCAAGTATAAACTTCATTAAAGCATTCTTTTAATATAAAAACTTAAAAATAAATTTTATTTTTAAAAATGTACATATTTTGAGAGAAAAATACTTAAATAAATGTAGATAATAATTTAATGTACATAACACAGATTTCAAATCGGTCTACTGTATTGCTCAACCAGATGTTTACATTTCTTGTCTATTTATGCACTTGTTCTCTTAGTACTACCTTAATCTTTCAAATGTAATTATGCAAAATCTTTTAAATGTAATTATGCAAAATACTGATACACAATTTTTTAAATTTGTGAAGTAATCAGGAAATATATTTATTTTGTAGTACGTTTTTTTTTTGCATAAACAGAAGCCACTATACCCTTTATAACCTGGTGGTCTACGTGACAGATGAAGTAGAGTTCACCTGTTTATGTGACCTTGGCATATGAAGGGATAGTGTGGTCAGCACCAAGCTTATCAGACGTTACTATTCCTAAAGTTGGTACTCAATAGAGCTGAGCGGACACATGGATGTCCTGTGAAATTCAAACCCGGTACCCAAACCTGAGACTTTCGGATCAGCAATCATATGTTCTAACACCCAACCATGCCATCCCATAAACCAGGGGCATTACATTTTGCAAATGGCAATGATACAGGGAATATTGAAGCTGGTAACAATAAAATTAAAAACTCATTGATTGAGATAACTTAATATTTAACTTGACCCCTTTAAGAGTGTTTAAATTGTTTACAGTTTACTTAAAAAATATTTGAAAATAATTTAGAAATTCCATGAAAGTGAATTACATTTTTAAAAATATAACAGCTAGGTCACTACAATAAATTTGTCTTAGAAGTTGATAAAAACATTAAAATTAGAAAACTGTTTCAATAACAATGATAAAAAAACTTTCAATTTACATAACAGAAAAGAGGATTCAAAATTATTTCATGTAAAATTAGTTGTACTGGACTGTCAGTATAGAAATGTTAACTGCTTCAATCTGCCACTTCACTGCTCACCTCACTGTACTGTATTGAGGATAATACTGAACTACCTTCAATGCTTATTTCATCTCTCATGCTAGAGATCAGGCTTGGTGTCTGGTCAAGAATTTTCAGACAGTTGTCTAGCGTAACACTGGGTGTCGGCTTCACCCGAGCACCCTCTGACGCTGGAATCTCCCGTAATGCTACGGCATTGTTGTACGCTGGATTTTCAACATCATCCACTTTCATGTTCTCTTCTGTCCTTTTCAACTGCTCGTCACCTGGAGAAGATGGTGTGAAATTCTCGTGTGTGACATGCGGGCTACTCAAGATACTTTCCTGGGCCACATTCGTCTCACTTTTCATCTTTGTTTGAGCCTGTAGAGACTTGGCGTCCACAAGAGTATTAGCATCAGAGTCGTCGTCGTTATCTTTGTCTTGTACTGTTTTAGTTACAGTATCAGTGCTTTCATCATCATCATCCTCATCGCTGCTACTTTCATCTTCCAAAATCTTTTCAATTGCAGTCACATTATTGTACCTGTAGAATACACAACACAGTCGGTTATTATTTATGATTTACACACAGTATTAAAAATAGTTATGCTACTGATTTAGAGTTAGAAAAGAAACAAACCACACAACTTTATAGATTATTCATTAATTAGACCTGGTACAACTTTAACCATAATACATATGAGAATTGTATTACGGGTTATTTTAAAAACACATATAAGACAATAAAATATCTATAAAGAATTTTGTGTGTATCACATGTTGGGATGGGTTTAGGGTTAGAGTCGTGGATATAGTCATAGAAAAAATAGGGCCAGTCTATAATATCTATACTGGCATTTCATAGATACGACTTACTAACATTTTACAATCATCGCTGTTGTGATTTTCTTGTTATAATATGCTCAGAATACATACAATCTTTTACAATAAAAGTTTATTTAAAACTACATACTCAAGACGATCCTCATATGAAATGTCCTTAATGACGTACGGCACTTGAGCCCACTTGACGTAATGGTCCAGTTTCTCAGTGTTGTTTCTGTAGAAGCCAAACTTCTTGATCCCCATAGCGAAGTAGATGTCAGCGCTGAACTTGATCATGGTACCCAGCTTGTGGCCACAGACTTTACCTTTCTTGGGCTGACCCAGGCAGAAAACTGGCCCCAGCAACTGGAAGTCATCAACATAAGGCTGGCGCTTTCCAGGCACACACTTGATATGTTTTATCAGGTCTCTAAAATAGATTGTAATATGAAGTATAATGTAATCTAAATTGTGTTATGTTAGTAGCGGGATAAAAAGGAGGTTGACATATATATATATATATATATATATATATATATATATATATATATATATATATATATATATAAGTGTAAAGTGCCCAAGGCCAAAGGAAAGAGGTAGGTTCAGTAGCATACATTCTATACAAACAAACTGCTGCACACTCCGATGATCCATTGATTTCATTATAATTATAAAGAGATTTACAAGGTCTGTAAAAACAAGGTTTTACATACTGTTCCAAAATTGAGCTAATTATCTTAAAGAGAAACTATTACATTGTCTAATTTATCTGTCTTTAATAACGAGAATATGTTGTTTTTAGGTTTGCACTCAGAACTGTAAAACATAAAAAGACCACACTGATTATTTATTTTTTGTTTATAAATTGTATCATATCTTTTTAATCATAAATAAATACAAATTTTTTATTTAATTTTAAATATGACTTATTAAAGGTAAAAAATTATTGCATAACTAGCTAATGGTGTACCTGTCTATGGAAACTCTGAACTTGTCAAATATAGATCTGATGTTGGTGCTCTTGATACTAACTTTTCTGCACAGGGAGCACACCTGAAAGATCAAAGGGCCAGGTACAAAGATTTGCAAGGCAACAACTAAATTATCATCTATCAGAATCTTCATAAAAAATTAAAATAAATAACAATGTTAAAATGTTGAGAAGTTGAATATTTCAAAACATAGGGTTTTGTGACAATTGATGTAATTTTTTGTTATGCAACAAACAATGTGTCTTATATAATAAATGGATGGGGCTAGACCAGATAAGCTTTTTTGTTTATTAAACTTTTCAAAAGTTTAATTTAAAAGTCTGAGCACAAATTTCAAATACCACTAAACACTGAATGTGTCCAGTAAAACATTTGAATGAAAAGAGTTTTTTTTTAATTACACTCTCCATTACTTCACTTTGGTGATCTTACCATGGTGAATTCCTCATTCTTCAAAAGTGTTTTGCGTTTCGCCTCCATCGCCATGTCAATTTCCTTGTCTTCAATGATTCTCTTTTGGTAGTTGTCAAAAACAGCCCTGATCTCCTCTACTGGTTTTTCACTAATCAACTTAAAAGCCTTGTTCATCAATTTAGTCTTCTCCCGGTTGATGTACTCTCTCTTCAGAACATCTCCGGTTGCCAGGAGATAAGAGGTGCCACCCTTTTGTCTGGCTCTGCCTATGTTTGGAAAGTAGAAAGTGAAAATAAACAAAATCTTTTTTTTTTGAGTATACTGTTATTTAAAAGGTACTTCTTAAATACATTTTTCAAGCCATAATGAAATATATATTTAGGGCAATTCTTACAATTAAAAAAAACAAAAAAACTACATTAACACAAATATTAGATGTAAAAGTAAAAGCTTTTACACTCAAATCTTAGAATTATTTTATAATATTGAAACAAACTGATTATTTATTTAATTAAATAGCTGCACTCATAAAATGCCAATGTGACAGACTACTGGATTTGTTCTATAACATGTACATTTAAATCTTATGGATTCTTTATAGGAATTACATAATTAAACAACTTTAATGACCTTTAGTTTGCACATTGGAGATCTCATTGCCAACATGGTTATACTTGACCACCAGGTTGCAGTCTGGGATGTCGAGACCCTCTTCCGCAACAGATGTGGCCACCAAGACCTTAACATCCCCTGCCCTAAAGCCCCGGATGGTATCCTCTTGTTGAGTTTGTGACATACCTGAGAGAAATTCATTTCAACAGTTACAGTGTATTACATATATAATTTTAAAGCATCATATCAATCGCCTTCAATTCAATAGAATAGAATATCTCAATTTTTTAGAAGAAAAGTTTTTAGTTTTACACAAAATGGGTGAATAAACATCATTTTATCATAATTTATTATTGCTTTCTTTTTAAATAACACTAAACTTTTTAAATAAATTAAGGCCTTTAAATACGGCACTGAACAAATGCATGTAATAAAAAAAGAAAAAAACATGTTGAGCATATATTTTAAGCACTCACCCCCTTCCTCCTCTGAAGCATTAGTGCCAGTAAACACCTGAGCATTGAGGTCCTGCAGTGATTTGATGCCACACCTTGATAGCCACATCTTGAGGGCCTCAGCCAGGGCCCTGGTTCTAACAAAGATTATGCCCCTTGAGTCTTTGCCCTTCTCAACAATTTCAGTGGACAGAACACCAGCAAGGGCACTTAGATTTGGATTATCCTCCCCTTGTCGCCTAGACACAAGCTTAGCTAAATCTGGCAGTATAAAAGGGTATAAGATTTTAAACTGCATCATTGAGTACAATTTTTTAAAGTCTACTCCTTATAAAAATCAGTTATTTTTTTTAATGAGATGGCAAATATTTCTAAACTTTTAAAACTAAAAATAAATATGTACTGTATAATCACTTTATAAGACCAACACTGTTGTAAAGCATACACAATGTATAGATCTTACTCTTGAAAAACTGAAACATGCTGCTAAAAGTATCTATTAATAAAAGTCTGATCACCTTCAAAGTAGCAGTAGAAAGTTTCTTCCTCAGGTGTTCTTTCTTCCTTTTTGTTAAACTTTTCAAAACGCTTGTGTAGGTACAGCATGACATCCTTTAACTCCACGAGATCATGAGCCTCCATCCCAACATTGTAGCCCTAAAGTGTTTTAATTAAATAATTAATAAGTACATCATGATGTCCTTTATCTCCACCACATTATGGACCCCCGTCCCAAAATTGTAACCCTTAAATGTTTTAATTAAATAATTAGTAGGTACAGCATGACATCCTTTAGCTCCACCAGATTATGGACCCCCGTCCCAAAATTGTAACCCTAAAATGTTTTAATTAAATAATTAGTAGGTACAGCATGACATCCTTTAACTCCACCACTTTATGGACCCCCGTCCCAAAATTGTAACCCTTAAATGTTTTAATTAAATAATTAGTAGGTACAGCATGACATCCTTTAACTCCACCAGATGGGCCCCCGTCCCAACATTATAGCCCTCAAGTGTTTCATAAATAATTTAAAAGAAAAACGCAGGTATGTTAACCCATAAGTGAAATTTCAAAATATAAAACAGAAGTGTAAATCCAATAACAGATGACCATTATTAAAACAAAATCCAAAAAGAATATCAATAAATTAGTCATGCAGATATGATATATTATATAATTATAGGCAGAATAATATAAATAATAAGGAAGGCAATTGAAATTATGTATCTTTTTATGGCCTACATAAATACATAAGAAATGCAAGGGGTGAGTAGAAATATTAACATCTGCTTATTTATTATTTATTATGAGATTGCAGATTAGTTAAATACTCCTTGCAACATAGTGTCTGATCAGTGTTAATAAAGAAAATCACTAGGATTTAAGATGTTCTCAAAATTACTTCATTTTGACTCAACAATTTTGTAGCCATACAAGTTATATCCTTAAGTTAAAAACATTCAACAATTTCAACTTTGTTAACTTTTTGAATAAAAATATTCAGTTTTATCAAGATTGGTAATTTTGACCAAGCTTTTTCTACATTGTCAATGTCACCCCATGGCAGTGTCAAAACAACAATGAAAAATATAATGAACTCCTTCCTTACTGTTAGATAATCGGCTATGATCATCAGTGCCCTGGCAGCCAGATTGGTCTCCCTGTCAATGTCTTCAATGGGCACGGCTTTAGCAGTTTTTTTAAGCTTAACTGCCCACTGACCATAAGCTTGACTCTTTTTGTCCATAGGAATGTTTTTAGACAGCTTTTTAATTTCCTCATCCTTTAGGTCTGAAATTTTAATAATAAGTTTAAAATATGTACAGTTAAAAATATACAAACAAATAATACAACATTGCTAAATTTGGATGTGTGAATATGAGGCTTTCCTCCACCAATAAAAATGTGTGTGCGTATATATATATATATATATATAGGCCTATATATATATATATATATATATATATATATATATATATATATATATATATATATATATATATATATATATATATATATATATATATATGTATATATATATATATATGTATATATATATATATATGTATATATATATATATATATATATATATATATATATATATATATATATATATGTAACTAGGTGTAGTTACCAGAGACGATAACAACGCAATAGTGCAGGTGTTAGGCTGATAACGATCACAAAGCCGCTGCGCAGTTCACAGGCTGGCGTAACAGTGCAGATGGCTTATTAATCGGACTGTATGACAGAAGCGGCGTAATTAACATTCTGATGCAACGATTAGAATCGATTACGATTACGATTACGAATCCGATTACGAATACGAAGGGATATATAGGAAGGCGACGGCTGAGATCGGGGGATCAGTCAGTCAGTCAGTAGGAGGAGTATCAGAGACAGTGACAGGATCAGTATCAAGTTGGTTATTGAACGGGTTAGCCGTATTGTGTTAATAAGGACGATAGACATGTGCATTCAGTTATGTGAAGACTAGTGAGGACTGTTGGGGGTCAGTTGATTCAGACTATTATTGTGAAGCATTTCTTTTGATTCATTATATTATTGTGAAGCATTTCTTTGATTCATGTAATAAAAGGATCAATAGTGAACCTGCATCTTCGAGTATCTATACTGTGGTCGATGTTGTGTAGAATGAGTGGTTAGACTCGTTAACATTTGGCACTACAGGCAAATAGACTCGTTACATTTGGCGTTGTCGAGCAGAAGATGCAACTACGCTCGGTCACATTTGGCGCAGCGAGCAGGGTCACATTTGGCGCTGCGGACAGGATGATTCAATTAGACCAGCCGCTAGGGCACCCATAGTCAACCTAGATCCAGTTCATAACTGTGTTTCGTGTGTGTGTGAATTCGGACATTCAGGAACAGTGAAAATTGAGGAACGAGGAAAATTTTTCATACACACACGGTAAGAAAGGTCTTTTTTTTTTACTCAAGGAATAAAAATTATAATGTCTACTCTGGACGAGAAGCAGACCCATATTGTGGTCCTGCCCAGAGAGTCCCACATTAACAAATTTTACGGGGACGGTGATCCAGCTTTAACCAACAGGTTCAGTGAAGAGGTCAAAGCGGCCTGGGCCTCGAGATACATGTCACCAGAGGAAAGATTAAGACTGCTGATGGGCAGTATAGGAGAGACGGTTAGGGCAGAGGTCAAATGCCACGATAAAACCATCCAATCAGATCCAGATAAGGTGCTGGATCTAATTATGGAGACCTTTGGGGAGAGACGGTCGGGATCGCAACTGCTATCGGGGTTCGTAGGCTTAAAGCAGAGAATGGCGGAGAGTGTGATGGAGTATTCACACCGAATGAACAGGGCCTTTGATTCGGTAAAGGGCAAAACACCTGACATTGATGTGCGCCTACTGAGGGACCATTTCATCGAGGGGCTAGCAACCCCGATCTTAAGGAGAGAGTTGAAAGAAGAGGTCTACAAAGACCCGCAGTTGACCTTCCTTCAGGTCAGGAACTCAGCGATCCGCAGGTCCGAGGATGAGGACCAATCGAACTGTTCGGTAGACAAAGTCTCTGTGCCGGAACAGAAACAATCCCCACCCACAGGGACCGGCACGATGGAAACCATGATGGCTCAACTGTTGGCCCACCTGGATAAGGTTGACCAACGATTGGAGAGGTTAGAAAGCAGGTCAACAGCTGAGAATCAGGGCAAAAACGGGACAAAACAGGGACGGGTTGGACAGCCGCGACCTGCCGGTCCATCGCTCCGGTGGACGGCTGACGGTCGACCAATTTGCTTGTCCTGCTCACAACCCGGACATATGGCACGGTACTGTCCGGTGAAACGATCGCCCTCTGTAAGGCAGGTCAGGGCTACAGAGCGGCGAGGTTATGGCTTAAGAAACAAAATGGGACAAACAATGAAAGAGTCTCAAACAAGACTCGAAGAGAAATTATCAGATATTGAAAAAATGAACTGTGAAATGAACTTGAATGTTGAAAAGTTTCAAGTGAACAATTTGTTGGCTGAGAAAAATGATGATAAGGAAGAAATTGGTAGACTTAAGAATGAGATCTCAAAGTTAACCATGAAACTGGATAGGGAAAGTTCATGCAAATTAAAAGCACAGGAGAAATGTTCATCTTTAGAGTGCCTGTTATCTGAAGAAGAAAATAGAAAATTTGTACCTGGTTTTGCAAAAATTGCCGCACCGTTGCATGACTTGGTAAACAAAATGACAAAGAAACACAGTAAGGAGAAAAAGAAAGGTAAAACACAACTGATAGGTGAATTATGGACTGAGGAATGCCTGAACTCGTTTAAGCTACTGAAAAAGGCTTTGACAGAGGCGCCGATATTAGGATACGCAGACTTTGACAAGCCATTTCGGCTAGAAATTGACGCCAGCTCTAAAGGTCTGGGAGCTGTGCTATCACAACAACAAGAGCAAGGTTTCAGGGTTATTGCGTATGCCAGTCGAGCTCTGAAGGAATCAGAGAAGAACATGACAAATTACAGCGCCATGAAACTAGAACTTTTGACATTAAAATGGGCTGTGACTGAAAAATTCAGGGACTATCTATTAGGTGCTAAATGTGTGGTATACACTGACAATAACCCCCTCAGTCACCTAAAGACAGCAAAGTTGGGATCCATCGAACAGCGATGGGCAGCAGAATTGGCACTCTTTGACCTAGAGATAAAATATCGCCCGGGGCGGTCCAATGGCAATGCGGACGCCTTATCAAGGAATCCTTACGAGAGACCGGGCGATGAGGAAGAAACGCTGACAGGAATATGTGAGGTCAGAGCGTCAACAGATATCCCTCACGGGGTGCAAGTGATGCAAAAAGGGCAGACCGGGGTGGAGCACATTTCCACAGAGCCCGGACATTTGGACATCGGTGATTTTAATTGCCTTAATAATAAAGAGATAAGAGATGCCCAGAGAACGGATAGCGGGTTACAGCCGCTATTGAAATACGTCCAGGAACAAAAATTCCCAGGAAAAAGGGAAAGAGAACAGTTTGGTCGGGAAACAAAGAAACTACTGAGTCAGTGGGACCGTCTCAGTATAAAGGATGGTGTTCTCATGCGGAGAATTCATGACCAAATAGACGGGACAATACACCAGGTGGTGGTGCCTGGACAGTTACGAGAAGAAGTGCTAAGGTTGGCACATGACAGGGCAGGACACCAGGGTCAGGACAGGACGCACAAAATATTACGACGGAGGTGTTACTGGCCCAATATGGAGATGGAGGTCAAACGCCATTGTGAGGCTTGTGTGAGGTGTCAGCATGCGAAAATGCCAGTTGTTAAAATGAGACAGCCATCAGGACACTTACTGGCGACAAAACCACTAGAGATTGTGGCTATGGACTTTACGTCGTTGGAGCAATCATCGGATGGGACGGAACATGTGTTGGTAATGACTGATGTATTCACCAAATGGACTGTTGCGGTGCCTACACGAGATCAGACTGCCAAAACAGTGGCAAAGGTCTTAATAGAACATTGGTTCATCAAATATGGCATACCAAGACAATTACACTCTGACCAAGGAAGGGCCTTCGAGTCAGAAGTAATTAACCAACTGTGCAGCCACTACGGGATCAACAAATCTAGAACAACCACATTTAATCCGAAAGGAAACGGACAGTGCAAGCGGTTCAACCGCAGCATGCATGATTTGCTGCGTACTCTAGAACCTGAACAGAAAAAAACGTTGGCCTGATTTTCTCCCAGAGTTGGTATATCTATACAACTGCACCCCCCATGCCACAACCGGCTTTTCGCCACACATGTTACTGTTCGGACGGGAGGCTCGACTCCCTCTTGATTTGTTCCTAGGAAAAAAGGAAAGTATGACTGGCTCATACACCGCACTGGAATATGTGAATGAACATATGAGACGAATTAGAGAAATGTACAGGGTGGTACAGGAAAGACTAGAACATGAAGCACGGCGAAGGGAACCGCCGGTACAGACAAAGGACCCGCCACTCAAACTGAACGACAGGGTATTACTGCGTAGCCACCCGTTAGGCAGAAACAAAATCCACGACCTCTGGGGACAGGAGATATGGCAAGTCGTGGAGATGCCTAAAGTAGCAGGTGGCCCCTTTAAGATAAGACCCATCAATCACACCAAACCGGATCGGTGGGCGAATATTGCTCAATTAAAGAAATATTGTCATAGTCAAGAAGAGCATTTACATACAGAGAAAACTATGACAATTAGGGAACCGGAAACTACAACGGAAATTCTCATACCCATCCCGGAACCATGTCACCATCAACAGAACAACAGCGATACACAAGTGGAGGATAACGGCAACAAAGAGGATCCCGTTCCTCCCAGAAGCAGAGAGACAGTAGAACAGCAGATAAGTGGTCCGCGGAGAAGTTTGAGAAACAGAAAGAATACGAAATTTTTCGTCAGCAACCATCAATTCTTTCATGGTCGCGCTGGGATGAGAACAGACTGTTCAAAAAGTTAGAAAATTGAACTGGTGAATGCACCAAACGAAAAAAAGGTGGATGTGAATTCTAGAACTGCCTTGTGTCTGAGGAATATGATGTAGACACATTTGATATGTGAAATAGGGATAACTGTCAATCTTTTACGAATGTGACGACATTGACAGTGAATGGAACAATAAATTTTTTTTACGATGGTGCGATTGACATTTAAGAAGTGCACCTACCAAGCGTTGTTTGTGGTTGAAAACACACAAAAAAAAGGCGGCGGTGGATGTAACTAGGTGTAGTTACCAGAGACGATAACAACGCAATAGTGCAGGTGTTAGGCTGATAACGATCACAAAGCCGCTGCGCAGTTCACAGGCTGGCGTAACAGTGCAGATGGCTTATTAATCGGACTGTATGACAGAAGCGGCGTAATTAACATTCTGATGCAACGATTAGAATCGATTACGATTACGAATCCGATTACGAATACGAAGGGATATATAGGAAGGCGACGGCTGAGATCGGGGGATCAGTCAGTCAGTCAGTAGGAGGAGTATCAGAGACAGTGACAGGATCAGTATCAAGTTGGTTATTGAACGGGTTAGCCGTATTGTGTTAATAAGGACGATAGACATGTGCATTCAGTTATGTGAAGACTAGTGAGGACTGTTGGGGGTCAGTTGATTCAGACTATTATTGTGAAGCATTTCTTTTGATTCATTATATTATTGTGAAGCATTTCTTTGATTCATGTAATAAAAGGATCAATAGTGAACCTGCATCTTCGAGTATCTATTCTATACTGTGGTCGATGTTGTGTAGAATGAGTGGTTAGACTCGTTAACATTTGGCACTACAGGCAAATAGACTCGTTACATATATATATATATATATATATATATATATATATATATATATATATATATATTCAAGACCATATAGTTCTGGCTGAACTGATTTTTAAAGCAAGTAAAATATTTACAGAACAGAACGTGAATGTAAAATGTAAATTGTATACATTACCATTAGCATGTTGTTTAACATGGTCTTCCAGTTTTTTCATTATTTGTGTAATTTTCATTAAAGAATCATCTGTATCTCTTTCCTCTAATTGAATGTCCTCTTAAGGATTCAAAACAATAGAGCACTCATTTTATGAAAATATAATTGCCAAAAAAAAATTAAAATTATTAAAAATAATTAACTCTGAGATATAACTAATTTTATGAATCAAAATTTGATAATATAAGAATATAGAACTAGGCCTACATGTCTGAAAAATGATCATGCGGTATTATTAGGCACATTTTTATAGGTTCAACAAGCTGTATAGAGAATACATAAAATAAATGTAATGAAACTTAACTGAATCAGAACTGAGAATGTATTTTAAAAGTGGTAGCTTAGTAGAAAACTCATTTACTGACCCAAAAGTCTTGAGTTTAGTTTGATAAAGGCTAATAGGCATTGTGTAAATCACACAATCCTTTCATATACAGAATTCAAAGAGGCAGATGCACAGTACACCATCTGCCATATCGACCTTCAAAAATGAGAGGGTATTTTACTTAATACACAACAGAGAAAAAAAAACAAATATCTGTTATACTTTCAGATGGCAAGGGGACAAGTTTCTTCATTTCGTTTAAGTTGTCCTTGACTATTGAAAGATGAGGGGCATCCAGGTTGGCACAGATTTTTAAGATATTGTCGACTGCCTCTTTAACAGTGGTAGCCTTGTCTATTCCAATGGTGGCAGACAGTCCAACAATCTAAGGGCAGACAATTCAACAGTGTGAGGGCAGACAATTCAATTGTGAGAGGGCAGACAATTCAATTGTGAGAGGGCAGACAATACAACAATCAAAGGCAGACATTTGTGTAAGGTAGACAATCCAATAATCTAAGGGGCAATAATTCAGAAGGGCAGACATGGAAGGGCAGACAAAGAAACAATAAAAGAGGAATTAATGCAAAAATGTTAAACAAATTCAACTAGCAAAGAATACTACATATCATATTGGTATGCATTATTAAACAAACTTTCTAATGCAATATCTTAAACAGGACAAAAATGTTACAAATATACTTCTAAAGACTCATAAAAATCCTTATCCATAGAAGCCTATTATATATAAATGAGACTAGACAGCTAAGGGGTCATCCATAAATGACATCACGCTTTTTTGACGATTTTTACCTCCCCCCCCACCCCTCCGTCACATGTCGTCACAAAAAGCCAGACCCCCTCCCCCTAAAATGACATCACACCTCAACCTACAACCCCCCTCAAAATTGCAGTTGAATTTTTTTAAAACATCGATATTTTTCCAAAATCTTGTCTAAACTATTACAATTTATTAAAACAGTTATCTAAAACGCGAAATAACGTCTAAAATTCGTTTCCTAACATTGCTTTTTTATAATGCAAAAATGAGACGGCGCAACATCTGAACCCCCCCTCCCCCTCATCACACATCGTCACAAAATTACAGACCCCCTCTCCCCCCTAAGAGTGTGACGTCATTTATGGATGACCCCTAAAGCAAATAGCTACCTGAGGCAAATTGGCTCTCTGTTTCTCACTGCCTCGCACTTTGAACATCAAATAGATGTACATCAGCAAATTGTAAGGCTCTTCCTTCCGCGTATGGTGGCACTCATCAAACACCAACAGCGAGAAGTCACGCAGCTTGACGGATTTTTTTTTCAAGCTGTTCTCCAGGATCATGGGTGTCATCACCACAACGTCCAGTTTTTTTAACAGCAGACTTAACTGGGAGCCGTCCTCTGTTTGTCCAGTCACATATGCTATCTGAACGGAGTATCACATAGATGTTATGGTTAATAGGCCTATGTCATTTAATAAGTGTTTCCTAAAATAAAATATTCATTAGGCATGTTTTGCATTTTTTATTTATTTATAGATGTACTTAATGAAATTAATAATTTAAAAAATAGCTTTAAAAATAATTGAACTATTTATTTTTTGTATCACATAAAATAAGTTGATTTTTATATTTTAACATTAAATAAATTATAAATTATAGTATTTCAGTTTTTTTGTTAAATTGATATTTTATTTATTAACTATCAGAAAGGGAATAATTTAAAAGTTAAAAAGAGAAGTGATCGAATTCTATTTCCTTGTAAAATATTTAAAAAGATTAACCAGCCATCAAGATATAATTTTATAGACACAATTACCTTATATTCACCAGGAAGATACTTCTTAATAGCCTTGTACTGTTGTATGGTTAGTGGAACTGTTCGTGTTAAAAATGCAATCTTCTTTTTTTTCTTCTTCCCAGAAGCTTGCAAAAGAAATTAAACATATTTTTATTATAACACATGATTTGGTAGCCTACTTTATCAATTGTAATTTATTATTAGTACAGTATTTTAATCAATTGGTTCTGTTGTTGTATATGAATGTAGAAAAAGATATAATTTGACAACAAAATGTAAGAAAAACAATATACATAAAAATAGTAAATACATTTTAAACTGTTTTCATTGAATAAAAAATAGAATGTCTTCAAAAAATGTTTTCTAAACTTTGACTGCTAACGATTACCTTTTAAAGCTTCGAGTTTTTTAAGCAAAATAAAAATTGCAACTCTTGTTTTTCCCGAGCCTGTTGGTGCACAAATGACTGTATTCAAACCCTGAACTGCCTTCTCAGCCAGCTCTTTCTGGTAACTTCTTAAATGCAGATTATCAAAAACATCATTGTTTGTTGTCAATGCTGAAAAATTGAACACAAATCATTCATTAAATATATTTTAAAAAATTTTGGGCACCTGTTTGAAATAACATGTAACTTGAATTCCTTCGAAGAATTTTTATAACAAACAATACCATGTTATTTAATAATTTATCAATCAGAAACAAACATTCAGACATTTTGCAATTAGGTACTAAACAGAGATATTAGATTGTAATATTTGAAAATCATTTTTTTAAATTGTAAGTTAAATATTTTTTACCTTTGGCCTCAGTTAGATCCTCATCCACTTCATCATCATCAGAAAATTGGCCAGTGAGCAGGCTTGTTTCACTGTCATTTTTTACTACAATTTTCTTTTTGTCAAACACTTTATTTTTTATCATCAGTTGGGTATTGGGTTTTGCATATTCAGTTTGTGTCAAAGTTATTTCATTCAGTCCTAAAAAAAAAAAGAAATACAAAAACTGATACATGTATTTTTTTTTTTTAATGCAATACCTCACTTATATTAATCTTATTCATAAATGGAAAAAAGAAATTATGAACCACACATTTTAAAACAAACCTGTTTTTTCCTTAGCATAGTCTAAGTCTCTAGACAAATTATTGACTACTGGATAAACTGCTAAGCTAACCACAGCTTGTAAGTATGGTGTTGATTGGCCAGCTTGTAAGGATGGTGTTGATTGGCTGTTGCCCTCTTTGTGGGACCAACTAGCATGGCTGATCATAGGTTCGCTTATGGGTTCATCACTCTTCTCAGCTTTCACATCCACTTGTCTGTTATCCATAGGGAGTATAGGGGAAGCAGAGTTGATCTGATTAGCGGGAAGGTTTACATTCTCAGCTGTATTGTGCCTTGGCTCTCCTGTTTAAGAGAATATTTTTTTCTAAAATTGATAGTGTTTTACTGACAAAAGTTTTAAAAGATTAACTAGTTTAAGAAATATCTGTTGAAAACCCCTTGTAAGACAAATAAATATATATATGCTCAAGTCTAAGTTAGGCAAAGTGATAAAAAAGTTAACATTGTATTATTATTATAAGATATTCACATTTAATCAAATTAAAAGTTAATCAACTTTTTTTTTATTTTACGTATAGTCCAAATATAATGGAAGTAGATTACTCATTTTAGGTTTTTCTTTTTCAATAATAATTCAACTTTATACATGCCACTAATGCTGACATTATTCCTAATACTAGTCTTAAGTGTTAAAGTATCAGTGTTGTGGATACCAGCTATGCTAATATATAGCCTCCAATAGCAGTACTAGTTGCCATGGAAACCATGAAAAGGTGTGAAAACTAACACCTTTTTAAACCTCTATAACTTTGTTCCCAAAAGAGAATTAAAACATCTGATGACACATTTAGATTTCTCAAACCAAACTAAATATTTCTATGTTTATTCATTGCAATAGCTCATATTCAATTTTTAATACAAATTTTTACATAAACTATGTACAAAAATTAGGGGGTGGTGCTACATAAATATCAAAATTTCCTAAATAATTGCAGTAAGCTAAATATACAAACGTAGTATAGTAGATAGTATAATGCTGAATGTATGTGGAAAGTTTCTGTCTTATTTGACTAAAGAGTTCGAAAGCCTTAGCGATTGAGTAAAAATGCTAAGTTGAGAAAACGTGAAAAGAAGGATGGAAAAAGGCACTGTGTGTTTCCTCTTATAGAAAACAGAAAAAGACGTCTTGTTATGTGTGGAAGAGCCATTTGACTAATAAAATATGTGTTGACTTCTGTTGTAAGTTTTAGACAGATTTTTCTATGTAAGCAGAAAATATGTATACAACAGGTAATGAATTAATGACTATTAAGTATTACATATCCATTTAATTGAGTGTTATTATTATTGTTATTATTGTAGAAAACAACATTTATCCAACTTATTTGTAGAAGAAAGAAAAAAGTCACTACACCAGCGGATACATGAGTGCTTGGCCAATAGATTGACATATAGTTTAAGGTGCCTCGCGGGCAATAAAAGATGTAATACCCGCTCGAAGATAACAGCTGTCCCACTTAGTAGTGTGAACATTTGTCGGAGGTACCATGTTTCATATCGCAATAAAAGGATAACCATAGGCTGTAAGTAATGAAAGTAAAGTTTCCCTTTCAAACCTGACGGTCTAAGGGGGAGGTGAAGTAGAGTTCACTTGTTTCTGTGACCTTGGTATATGAAGAGATTGTGTGGTCAGCACTATACCCAGCCGCCTTTACTTTCCCTAATGTGAGTTAGGTACCCATCTGAGTTGGGTTGACTCAGGGACGGTCTACTGACTTGAACCCAGATTCGAAATCGAGACTTACGGGTTAGCAGTCCAGCTCTCTACCACTAGACCACTCCGTCCCCTTAGGCTGTAGAAGTCTGAAATGTTCGGGTTAGATAGCTAAAAGGTGTTAGTACTGAATTAGGAAATTAAAAATTTAATTTCTGACCTGGTAGATCAGTCTCAGAGTTCAAATATTCAGAGAAATCACTAACAATACTCTTTGGCTGTGGGTGTGAGATCAGCTTCATTTCATCCAGATAATTAGGTGGTTTGTTTTCATTAGAGTCAGTTTCCAGGTGTATCGAAATTGACTGAGAACCTATTCACATTATATATATATATATATATATATATATATATATATATATATATATATATATATATATATATATAGACATATATATATATATATATATATATAGACACATAATATTTTAATAAAATCTGTTTAAATACTAACTTATGTTTTAACCATTTTAAGTATCTACATCAGTTGCCAATATTTTTTATTTATAATGACTCTTAAATCAAATCATGTATTGTAAACAAAAATAAATAAAAGCAGTTTTTTTTACTCACAATCATTATCACTGGTTTGTGGCTCACTGATAAACAATTCTTTTTTCAAATAAGGATTTTTTTCAAATATTGCATTCATAAACACAAACACCCAATCCACTTTTCTTTTTCTGATGTGTTTATACATAGTTGAAGAGCATTCTTTTAGGTCTTTTATCATTTTACATTCATTGTAGCCACTCTAGAAAAATAACAATTTGTAATTCAAAAATTTTTTTTTGTTTAAATAAAAATGTTTTTCATCTCTTTTAAATAAAAAAAAACAGTAAATAAAAAGCGTACATCAAAAATACACTTATCCACTTTCAGCTTATCAAGAGCAGAATGTAAAATGTCAATGGAAAGCTGCTTCACCAAACTTCCATCAATCAAACTAATTATACTCCTCATGTAACTGTACACTGGCACATCATTTCCATCTGGACCTGGTACCAGTGCATCTGTAAATGCTGATTTTATACCTGCTAAAATTGGAAATTTTTTATAAAAGAAAAAAATTAACTTCTTAGACCATAAATTTTGAAACAGCATTTTAACATACACAGAAAAGGTATTTATTAGATAGCATAATTGGTTAATGTTTGTAATTTATTTACTTTAATTAGAAAAGACTCGTCATTAAAACAACACACGTTAAGACAAATAAAAAAAATGTTTTTTTATTGTTATGTCTGTTAGCTTGATTGAAAATGGCAGATTTCCTACCTAAATCTTTAGTAAGATCCTTTAAAGCTTCTAGAAAAGCGACAACAGCATCGCTACTTGTTGAAATCCAATCGAGCAATTCCTCTACAGCAGTACTTCTATCACTTGTATCAGCAGAAAAAATTTCTGCTTCAGAAGATTCTGAGGAAATACACATGTGGTCAAAACACACATCCATGTTAAATAAGGGTTTAGGACAATACCCCCCTCCCCCGTCTCCGGGCATTTACCCCATGAGTCATTACCCCTACCCCCCATTCTGCAGAACCCTAATCCAGACACTAACTCTAACCTTAACCCTAAACCTAACCAAACTGAACCTAACCCTAAGTGGGTGAGGGTAACTGACAGGGGGAGTAATTGCTGAGGATAAGGAGTAATGTTGGGGGGGAGGGTAAATTGGGGGGGGGGGGGGGTAATGTCCCTTCTCCAGTTAAATAAATAAGTACAAAAATATAAATAGCTTTACCTCTGCTACTCAGTCTACAGTCTACACTTTATTATACATTTATTACCATACATGACTCACTGATAAAATTGCTCTTTTTCAGAATAGCATCATGATTTAAATATTCTGTGAAGGGAGAATGAAGAGCTTGAAGAACATCTTCCATAGAATTTATTTCAGACAAATCCATTTTTATATTATTTTTTTCATCTGTAAAAGTAAAAATAACAATTTTTTAATATTATATTTTTTATAATAATTTTACATGATTTTACCTAATTTTATAGGCTTAATGTATTAATATTATTAATTTACTATTTATTTAGACTACTACTAATTGTACTAATATGACTAACGAGAAAAATGGCCCGTTGAGGAAGGATACAACAGGCGCTAGGTTGATAGTGCTGTCTATTTTCTCTAAACTAAAACCAAAACCAAAATCACCACCTTAATTCAATTTAACCGGAAACGAAAAATCACATTGAAAACAGATTTGTATCCAGAATCGGTTCTTTAATTTATACAAAATATAGTCATAGGCATATCCCTAAACCATGCACCTAATCTTATTCATGACAAAAGTCGCATTTAGAGTTTCTTTCATGCAACTCTACTTGGAAGGAGGGGGCTCTGCCCCCCCCCTCCCCACACACACACCCCAAAACATGTCTACCGTCCCATTCAACGAAATATAATTAAATACATTTTCCAGTGTCCGCCCCTCCCAAAAATTTCAAGTACCCCCACCCCTCTCCGGGGAGGAAAAAGTCTGAAAGAAACACTGGTCGCATTTGTAGATCATACAAACTAAAGGAAGAACCTGGGCGGGGAAGAGATGCATGAAAAAAACTGTGCACGCTAAACACTTTTTAGATTAGAAAAAGTTCCCCCCTCCGGGGAGGAAAAAAGTCTGAAAGAAACACTGGTGTCGCGCTTAGACACTACCTGAAGAATTGCATGAAAGAAACTGCAAGCAAACCACTTTTTAGCATAGACACATTAATTAGGCGGTAATTTTACTATAGAGTATCGATGAAAAAATTTCTTTTGAGTTGGGGGGGGGGGGGGCGGCTTAGACGTTGCTGTGGGGGTGCAAATCGAAAAGTTTGTCTCCGGTCGCAGGGAAGGGTCGCTATGCCTCTGCACTCACAACTAGTCTTACTTAATAATAATTACTTAGTCACTATGCTGCCTACTACTACTACCACCACGGCCTACATTACTACAACAAGATCTACTACTAGTACTATCAGTGTTTTTTCCAGACTTTTTTCTCTGTTGGGGGGGGGGGGGGGCACTTGAAATTTGGGGGGGGGGGGGAAGTGACGATGACACTGTTAAAAGTATATATTTTCTATATATAAATATATATATTCCATTTCGTACGAGTGGGGGGGGGGGGGGTAAACTTTCTTCGCCCCCCCCCCCCCCCAAAGAGATGCCTGGAAGAAACTCTGACTTCTAATATAATTAATAAATTATTATAAACTATTAGGCCCTAATTTTAATTTATTATTTAATTTATTACTAAACTAACTTAAACTTACTAACACTAGCAACAATAACAACAAACAGTGAGTAACACTAATATTAATAATTTAATAAACGTCCTAACGACAACGGAACAGTCTAGCCTAACACTCTTTCTTTTCTTTACGAATTTTTTTATGATAGTGATTGATAGTCTTAAGTCTTCTTAAGTCTTAAGACTTAATCTAGGCTACGCTAAAACGAAAGATTACCTTACTCTTTAACTAATAAACTTCATTCTGATGATTTTTCATAGTAATAATAATAACAACGAGATAGTTTATCAAACGTACAGTTGCAGTGGCAACTGAGCTAAGGCCGAAAGCTGATTACTCATGATTACATTTTGATATCCTATTCTTAGCGAAACTGAAACCGAAACGAAAATGAAAACACGTCAACGGGATTTTCCGCATTGTAGGTAGAATCTAAAAATAAATCTAGATTAGATCCATTTGCCAAATAAAAAAGTCGAGATTTAGGCCTATATTATTTATCTGTTTCTTTAAATTTTTAGAAGCACAAACATTCTTATGACATAGGCCCTAGATCTCTATATGCTTTTAAATAATAAAATAACATGTAACTTAAATAGTCCGCTAATCCAAACATAATTTTATATTTTAAATCTAGAATATAGATCTAGATTCTAGATCTAGATTATAATCATTATAATGATCCATATCGGGTGTGGGGAAATTGCGAGACGCGAAAAGCGAAATGGCGAGGCGGGAAAATGCGAGAAGGTAATGCGAGACATACCTGCGGAATAAAGGGTAAATAGCGAGACACTTTTTGCGAAAAAAAAAATTTCTTTTTTTTTCCATCTTTATTTATTTAAATTATTTTTTTGTTTTAAAATAAACAAGCATTTTGCCATACCCTTTAACACGAGTGTTGTATGTTGTTATTTTTTATCTAGATACTAAGAAGATAGATAGATCTATATCTAGATCTATCTATTTAAAAATCCTAACATCGTTGCTGTGCTACTGTCATCGCCCGCTCTTGTTAGCGAGAGGAAAATCCCATCTCAGTCGGCATTAATTTAAAAATCTAGCCCGCTCATGTTTATACAAACGTGAGCTGTGTCATTGTGAATTGGTATAATCTTGTCAGCAGGAGAGATATTTTGCAACATCTATTTATGGATTTTTGCACTTGCAAAAAGTGTAAAAGTATAAACAATTCTAAAAAGTGCAATTTATTTTTTTATTAGGTAATTTTAATTAAAAAAAAAATTTACAAACAAAATCTTCTGAAACAGTCCTCAAACACACCTCGTGACACCATCTTTCACACATAGTACACCCAACCCAGTTCATTAGACTCCCATTTATACATTTTTCTTTTGCTACTTCTTCCAATCCACATTCACAACATTTCACATTCTCATCACAGTTGACCTCTTCGTTCATCCCACAAACAACACTGGCACCCATGTTCTCATCATCATCATCCGCACGCTCAACATCTGTTTTCCGTTTTTTATAATTTGTATTTTTTTATGTTGTCACCAGAAGTTGAGTTTTTTTTTTAAAACATCGATATTTTCCCAAAATCTTGTCTAATTTCGGTCAAAATAGAGTATTTTAATCAATTCCTATTACAATGTATTAAAACAGTTTTCTAAAACGCGAAAAAACATCTAAAATTCTTTTTCTAACATTGCTTTTTTATAGTGTGACTTCACATCTAACCCCCCCCCTCCCCCCCCCCCCCCTCATCATACATCGTCATAAAATTACAGAAACCCCTCCCCCCTACGAGTGTGACGTCATTTATGGAAAACTCCAAATAACACCACCACAAAAACCAAAAAAAAATCAGATAAGTTCAACTTGGTTTTAAAAATATTTGAAGTAGGCCCATAGCTTACGATATAGCACGAGCAACTGATAATATGGATGACGTCACTTTATTTTGTTGTATCCAAATGATGTAGGCATTTCCTTGTGTTTAGATTTATATGGTAAAAAACGCTAGAAAAAAAATCGTAGGCGGCGGCTATAATACACAATTTCTATGCAACAATAGAAAATATGTTTGCGGCGGCAGCGGATCCGGGCACGGCGATCTTCAAAGACGGTAAATCAGGCGGCCTCGGCGTTCCACACAAAAGACAGAAGTTGATCTATCGTCGGCGGTATTTCCGTCGGTTTCGAACAAGGTGGTATTCTAAGTCGACACAAAAGATGGGGGGGAGTTGACAAATTCAGTATGTCTAGCGACGGAAAAATCGGAAGTTTTAACAATGTAAACGAAACGTCTTTGAAGTCTGGACCAAATACCACTGAAAATCGGGTGCGGTAAATTTTTCGCAGAAATCTTCGCATTTCAACACCACCCAGCGTAAGGATCGGCTTGTGGTAAAATGCGAGACAAAAAAGTCACGTGACCGACCGTTTTCGCGCCCTTCTCGCATTTTCCCGCCTCGCCATTTCGCTTTTCGCGTCTCGCAATTTCCCCACACCCATCCATATCTATAGACTTAGTTTCTATTGCCTGAATCATTGGCCTACACTAATGTCAATGTTCCTGGTTTCATGATGTTTCATTTTCTTTAGTTTAATGTTTAATACTAAGTTAATAGGCCTACGTCTTTTTTTTTTGTGTGTGTGCTGGAATCTAGAACTAGAATCTAGATCTAGATTCTAGAGTAGAGCGACACTTTTTAGTTTAGGACATGTACAGTTTTAAAGATTTTTACTACTAGATCTAGATCTAGTCTAATACAAATCCCTGAATATTCTAACTAAAGTCTAATAATCATAATCGGTAATCTATCGTTTTAGGTACGTAAAATCGGCCGCGACTAGTAATGTGAAAAACAGGTGACTCCTTACATTTTAATAATTATTTCACATTTTGAGGAGGACTTATGTTTTGAAAAATACAAAAATGTTTCCTTGTTTCATTTATGTACCTGTTTTTAAACAATTGAATTAAAACTTTTCAGTAATAAATGAACACCAGCGATGTTTCCAACAGATGCAACCACGCTCATTTACTATAGCAGCCATCTTGTTAAAGTTTTATTTTTATAGACTTATAGCGCGAGATTCAGGCGGAAGTCACTCTATTTTACAAAATATTACAAATGGCTGCTGTAAATATATAGCAAATCTTGCTTGCAGACACAGCTGTTTAAAGTTAATTTCTGGCCTATATTGATATATTTAGCCATTGATTTAGGTTTATTATTCATTTATCTATAATATTTGACACAAACATATCACAATATACTTCTATTACAGCCTTGACAATGAGGTAACGTTTTCGTACATTAATAGCCGCGGGCGATTTTACGTACCCAAAACGATAGATTACCTCATAATCTAATATTGAAAATTATTCAAGCACATCTCTTAAAATTTTATTTGGCCTAATATTAAATTATTAAATATTGCCTATATAAGACTAATAATTTTATATTCTATTTTATTAGTAGGCCCTAAGGCTAAGCCCTAATGACTATGACTAATGGCTAATATTATTATTTATTACTATTAGGCATTTACTATTTACACTATTTAGGCCTAATATTTATTATTTTTATTTTAGGCCTACTGTAGATCTAAATATAAATAAATTGGTATAGGCCTAATTGAATTGTAATTGGTTATTAATACACCTGGATAATGATAATGAATGCATTATTTCTATTATTAATATTTATAGCAGGTTTGTGTCATGGTGTCACCCCCCCCCCCCCCCCCCCCACCTCCTTACACACACACTTGTCGGGATTGTCTCGTCTATTTGTACTTAAATTAAAATACTTTTAAACTCTAATTAATCATTCATTAAACTGGCAAAATGCATATTTATTCTAAATATATTGCATTGGTGTCACCCCCCCCCCCCCAAATGATGTCACCTGGTGCACATGAATCACTCATCATCATTTTTCCACTCCCCACACCTTCCTGCCATTCCTTTTAGCTGTTCCCAATTTCTTCTATCCTTTCAGCCTCCACCAGCATGCTACCTTACCATGTCTTCCTGGGTCACCCCCTGCATCGCTTGCCCTGGCCTTTCTGGCTATATTGCTTGCGTCCTTTTTAAGTGTACGCCCAATCCATGGCAATTCCTCTCCATGGTTTGCCTTTGTATTGTTTCCTGTCCACATATCTCCCATAGTTTTGCGTTTTCTACTTTGTCTTGCCATTTTATTTGTAATATACTCCCTAAGCACCTATTAATAAAAGCCTAGATTCTTTATGTTGTTGTCGCTGATGTTTTATTGTATTGTTTTTAGATGTTTGATGATCTCCAACGTATCCTGCATATCCTGTATTTCAAAGTTTTAGATTTGCAGCATTTAATAATCAGCATTTAAAAAGTATTTTTTTGTTTTTCAGATTCAGCTGCTTGTTTTAACCCTGCTTCTTAGTCACTTTTAAGCATGAGGATGCTAAAAAAATGGATAGTCAGAAACACTTTTCTCCAGTTGTTACTGAAGAGCCAGAAGTAAAAGGATTCTCAACTAATGTTAAAGTCAATGAGTCTGGAGATGACAACATCCAAGATCTTTCATCCATACTGGATCCTCTGGATGAAATTAGAATATTACAACACCTCGATTTTATAGAAGGTAACATGTTTAAGTTTTTTAACAAATCACTTTTGTTTTTGTACACATAGCATTTAAATTATATTTTAGTATGTTTTAAAGGCATAATTTTTTTTATAGTAAAAAGTTGGTAGTAGATCTATGTGATTTTTTTTCGACAGTGTGCCTTGGATGGGAACGTAACAATCGATACAGTATCTACAACAAGCAAGGAGAACAGATACTGTATGTGTATGAAGGTAATGAGAAAAGCATGATTCTCTCATTGCTAAAGAAGTGAAAAATATTTATATATAAGTTACGGTGTTAAAAATTACATTCCCCCCCTCCCCTCCAAACTTAGTGTGGGTTGTGTTATGATTTATAAATATATTTAAATTTTGATTCACTTTTAAAGTATAATGAGCTTACATTAGAATACATTTTGGATCATCCATAAATGACACCACACACTTAAGGTAAAGGGTGAGGGGGTGAGGGGTTGGACTTTAGTGGCGATATGTAACTTTGGTGAGGTGGGGGGGAGGGTCAATAATTGATCATTATACTCATTGTTGGCAGAACTAAGTAAGTATTATAGAAATAATCAGCTGTTTTAATATAGAAAGATCTTAATTTGAGGTGGAGGGATGGAATGGTAGACTAAAGTGTGGTTCATTTGGGTGGGGAGGGGGGGGGGTCTGGCTTTTTGTGCCAGTGGAGGGGTAAAAATTGTTTTAAAAAAGCATGACATCGTTTATGTATAACCCTTTAGAAAGTATGTATTTAAATCTATTATTACGAGTAGACCTTTATAACTTAAAATGGTTTGTTTTCTAGCTGCTCCGTGTGTATCTCGTCAGTGCTACGGTTCCTTAAGAGCGTTGTCTCTTATTATCACTGACAACGATGACCGCCGGTTACTGTATTTACAACGACCATTGCGATGCTCTACCAGGTGCTTCTATGCATGTTGTTGCCTTCAGGAGTTGGATATTTACAGAAGTCGTGAAAACAAAGTTGGTGCTGTGTTAGAAAGGTACGAAGAACAGCAAATGAAGGTTTAATTAAATTTTAAGGATAAATTTTTTTTTTTAAAATGATTATTCAAGCTTGTAATGTATAGTAAGAAAAGTACCCTTTTAGACCTGAATTCACTGAGCAGATGAAGTAAAGTTTCTGTGATCTCATCACATGAATTAAAAGTATTTTCACTATACTTAAATAAATATTATTGTTTCTAAAATTCTTTAGTTTTTTTCCAGTTGGAATTGCTGTATACCTGAGTACCAGCTAAGTGATTCTTCAGATAGCCTAAAATTTTACTTGACCGGAACTTGCACCCATTTTCGATGTTGCTGCAGCATTAATTTTACAGTATGTTTTTTCTTTTATCCCCCGACTATGGAACTTTACTGTAAACTACTTTGTGTTGAATGTAGCAAAATGTTCAAAAGACTCTCTTCTATGATGCCCTGGTTAACAAAGTAAAGTACTCTTTTAGACCTGACTATCAATAAGGCAGATGGAGTAGAGTTTGTCTATAGTTTTGATCTCGGCATATGAAATGTGGTAAATTCTATGCTCAACTGGACTCATTTTCCCTGATACAATTTATGAACGCATTCGAGCTGGGTGGATTCAGAGCCTCCCTTCGGAGCTGAATCCATAATTAAAGTAGATTCTTATGTAAACAACTGATGTCTCACCACTCAGTCAATTTGCACTGGTACTTCTCAGATTTGATAATTACAAATATGAGAAAGATCCAATCAAGATCACAAGTCATTCACACCACCTGTGTGTTGATATGCACAATTAGAACCTTAATTTTCAATATAGAACCAATTCTTATCTTTACAAGATTACAAATTTTTTGCTGAAAGTAAAATCCATATTTGGTGTAATAATCAGACATCCTTTTTTCAGGTAAAAAGTACCTCCGGTTATGAAGTAGCATCTATATGTAAGAAATGGAGTGGTTTGAAGGAAATTATTGGAGCCTGCAACGAATTTAAGATTACCTGTAAGTAACAGTAAATTTTCTATTATTTTTCAACACTTCAATTTTCTGTTAAGGGCATTGTAAAATAGATGATGCTGTCATATGAAGTTAGATCCCAATTATGTAGAAGTTGTTGTATAAAATAAGAAATATCTATCAAACACATCTTTGATAAGCCAGTAATATAAGTAAAAAAAACTTGTCAAAAGTTTGATACAAATTAAATCATCGCCTCCTCTTATGTTTAGTTTCTTTGAAAACAAACATAGTGTAGACTCATGAGTGGATGTAAAAAAAAAAAAGTGCACATTTTTATAAGTATTTTTGTTTTCTCTTATTAGATTTTGATGGTCTCACCAAGGAAGATAAAATACTAATCCTGGGTGCTGCCTTTCTTCTTGACTTCAATTATTTTGAAAGACATGGTAAATGTTTTTAGCAAATGTGATAATTATTATTTATTTTAAAATGTTAATGTCACTTAATCACTTGAATTAATATATGCATTTAAGATATTTATTGCCTTTCACTTATGCATTTTCTAAAAGTGTTTACATTATTTTGTGAATTTATGTATAAAAGTATAGTGTTAAATATATAAGCCAAGTGCTGTTCTTTTTTGTACTTTACTTATTAGCTCTATATTGAGGAGTAACTCTGTAATGTGCTCCAGAACTGTAGGTAAAACAACATGATATTTTCTAGTATTTAATAACCTATCGTTCACTTCTGTGCTACTTCCGCAATAAATATTTGGATTAAATAATTGTACTTAAATATCATTATGTGTTGTGAGTCCACCCAGCTCAGCTCTGATGGGTACCTGACACTAGTTGGGGCATAGTGTTTGAACGCACATATGCATGGTTAATAAAGTAGAAAAGGTTTTCTTGTATTAGTACTGGTGTCACCTTTCACCGCAATGCTCCCACTAAGATGTGTGGCTGCTTGACCTCACAATAGGTGTGAACCAACGAAATGAGACATTTTCTAAAATACAAATAAGTTCCCTTTTAAGTACGGAACACATAAAATATATCATGCACTGAAGATTTTGTTCATTAGAGAGAATATTGATTATTAATCTTTTTGAGTTTAAAGAAAGATAATGAATGATTTTAAAAAGTTATTTGTGTACACCCAGTTCCAATTAAAACTGTCTAATTAAGTTAACTAATGAGAGAATATTTTGATGTTTGGATAATTATTTTACGATAATTTTTTCTCATAAAACTCATACACTTGGCATTAATCATTTATTTTATTTGTTGGTGTTTTTTTGTTGTTGCTTGAAGCAGATGTATGAATTACAGAAATTAAGTATCCTGTAGAATAGTATAGAGTGTAGAGACTCACATTTATGTTTTTTTAAACGTTATTTATCAAAGAGTTGTAAATTTGTACTGTTTTTAGTACCCTGCACCTGAAATTAGATATAATTATGAGATTTATTCGCTTTTAATGTCTAAGTTGATGAGAAATTATTTTGATTATGTTTCTTTAATCATATTTTATTTTAATAAAGATCAATAGGCCTAATATAAATAATTGTAGAGTTCAAGATTTTAAAAATTTCAGTTGTGTAATATGATGACAGTGATATTGCTGAAAAGATAATTTAAAATTACGAATGTTATGCGATGTCAACATTAGATGGAGTCATGGAATTCTTACTACAAAGTTCTTTTTAAGTTACGTGTTAACTCTTGATCAGAGTACTTGTACATGCATTTCACATGATATATCTCGGAGTGACTTCCCCTTGGCTTTAATTCTAAAACAAATGTTACAGTTGCGTAAGTTCTGAATGGTTGATAGGCTACAACTTCACAGCTTATGGGCAGATAAAATCATTCAAACTATTGAAACATTTGTCAGTTTCTTCCTACAATCTGTGTTTTTATTACCTCAACAAAACTCAACTTCCTACACCATAGAAATTTTTAACAATGTTCTGTTGAAAATGAATGTTCGAAAGTATTGAATAATTCTTCAATTTTTTTATAAGAAGAGTCTAATCGACTTTTTACTTTCTTGTATATACGAAGTATAGAGAAAGTCTTGTTTCTTTTGATTTTGTTTTCTGACTTAACTCGTTTGAAAAATGGACACACGCGACGTTTGTGGATGATTTTGTTTTTGTACAATGATGTCGAAATGTAAAACGGCGGGCGTACCGTTGAAAGTTAAAAAAAAATTCCTGCAGTGTCATATTCTTAGGGTTCGTCTGCTGTGAGAAGGTAGGTTTGCTGGGAGATGTAGGTCCATGGGGATTGAGATATGGTTGATCCGTGGGTATTGGTAAATTGTAGGTCCATGGGTATTGGTAAATTGTAGGTCTATGTGTATTGGGAGATGGTAGGTCCATGGGAATCGGGAGATGGTAGGTCCATGGGAATCGGGAGATGGTAGGTCCATGGGATTGGGAGATGGTAGGTCCATGGGTATTGGTAAATTGTAGGTCCATGGGTATTGGTAAATTGTAGGTCTATGTGTATTGGGAGATGGTAGGTCCATGGGAATCGGGAGATGGTAGGTCCATGGGGATTGGTAAATTGTAGGTCCATGGGGATTGGGAGATGTAGGTCCATGGGAATCGGGAGATGATAGGTTCATGGGGATTGGGAGATGGTAGGTCCATGGGGATTGGGAGATGGTAGGTTCATGGGGATTGGGAGATGGTAGGTTCATGGGGATTGGGAGATGGTAGCTCCATGGGTATTGGATGTAGGTCCATGGGGTTGGGAGATGGTGAGTTCATGGGGAATAATAGGTTTGCTGGAAGATGGAAGGTTCAATGGAAGGTGTAAAGTCGGATCTTGTCCAGATAAGCCCCTTCACTAATGCAACTTAGTGCACGGGCGAAAAGTCCACGCCACTTGTGGCCTATTTCTGATGTCGAGACATTTGAATATTTTAACGCACGTCATACAAATTTATTATCCGACCCTGGGTTTGGGGATAGGGTTAAAGGTACCAAAATACATACCTTTTCATGCAAATTATTAATAAAAAGTCCCAATTTCATTATTTTCAACAAGATATATTTTTATAACCTTGTTTGGTGGTGGGGCTTAACTTTTTGACAGGGCTAATCTAGACAAGATCCGGTAAGTCCATGGTAGATGATAGGCTCATGGCTAATGGTAGGTTCATGTGAGTTTGTAGGCCCGTGGAAGGTTCATGGAGGTGTTGGAGATGGTAGATCTGCTGACTCGATGATGTGAGGCGTGTAAATAAGAGAGAAAAAAAGGGTTAGGTTAGCTGTTGTAGCTGTACTGACCACACAACCTTGTCCACTATAACTGACCAGCACAGATCGTTTTCGGTTTCCTCTTTGGCTGCATCAGATCTGAACGTGTATATCCCCTATACATTTATGTTCTATGTAGTAGTAGATCAGATGAAGACGGGGTGGTCAAACGTGTTAAGATTTAAACAATACTGAGAGGGGGGGGTGTAAACCTGAGATTTATTAAAGTTGTGGGAGGGGGGTGTGCGTAAGCAAAAATAAATAAATTATAAAATGAAGCGAGGAGTGGGTGAGGTCACAAATGAGTTGGAGATTGACAAAACTATATTTAGTTGTTGGATAGGGAAGAGTTGAGTTCAAAAACACAACCTTTGTCCCGTAATGAAAGTTTGGTATCCTTTTAATGAAATTGAGGGGGGGGGGTTGATAAACCTGAATCAGGAATGTAAAATGAAATATTAAATATAATTTTTTTAGAAAACCAGTACAAAATTGGCACTTTTCTTTATCTGGAACGTTCTATCTCTTAGAAGAAGAGAAATGCTTTTCTCTCTTTAAACAAAGTAAAAGAAAAGAAAATTACGAATTGAAAGTGTTTTAAAATAAATGCAATTTCCTGTTCGCTATTTTTAGAATTGGGAAGATCAGAAGTTGAATTTTCCAGTTTTGACAGACCAATTTACCTAGTCTTGAGGTTGTTAAATTATTTCTAGACAGAAGAGTCTAAGTGTTTCTTAAAAAAAAAAAAACAGTTGCCGAGCGCGCTCGCGTACACAAATATACACACACACACACACATACACGCTTGCACACACACATACACGCAGACAATTTCTTATCCGCCCTTGGGTTTGGGGATAGGGTTAAAGGTACTAAAATACAGACTTTTTCATATATATATATATATATATATATATATATATATATATATATATATATATATATATATATATATATATATATATATATATATATATATATATATATATATGTTACCTAGGCTACTCGCAGCGCCAAATGTGACCCTGCTCGCAGCGCCAATTGTAACCTTCCCCGAGTCTATCCTGCCCGACAACGCCAATTGTAACGAGTTGAACCACTCATGCTACACAACATCGACTACAGTAGAAAGACTCGAAGATGCAGGTTCGCTATTGATCCTTTTATTACATGAATCAAGAAATGCTTCAATATAACACAATGAATCAACAGGAATGTTTCACAATAATAGTCTGAATCAACTGACCCCTAACAGTCCTCACTAGGCTTCATATAACTGAATCCACATGTCTATTGTCCTTCTTAACACAATATAACCAACTTGATATGTCACACAGACTGACTGATCTAAAGCGAGCGATGAAGAGGGAAGAGCGAAGTGTTCAGCCGTCCCCTCCTATTTATCCCTTGTATTCGTACTCATCTTCGTACTTGTATTCCTCCGTAATCGATACTTGTACTCGATGTCTCCGACCACTAGTTGCGCAGTTCTAACGTACAGTCCGTGTCATAAACATCTGCATCCTATCAATCAAAGTTGACAGGCCGTCTGAATCCCCTCGTACCGTTTCCCAAAATAGCACGCGTTGGCTTTGAGATTGTTATCAGTCCGATCCAATAAGCCACCTGCTATCGGTTGCGTCAGACTGTAATATTGCGTCTCGGCTTAACGTTCGTTATCAGATTTGTGACTAGTAGCTAGGCCCACCCTAGCTACATATATATATATATAACATTTAAATAGAAAATGTATACTTTAACCATTGTCCGTCCACCACCCTAGAAAAATATAGAGTGCCGCCCCATTGAAATTTTGAGTCTCTCTTTTGCGCCCCCCCCCCCAGAGAAAGATCTGAGAGCAAACTTTTTCATTATATAAACGTGTGCCATTATAACATTTGAATGGTGGTAAAGATGTTTATGGTTGTGCTTTATTGTGCTCTATGGAACTTCATGGAAGTATTCTTTTGATAGTATAAATCTAACTTTAAAATATAAATAAGCCGGTGTTAAAAGCTTAAGACACGTAATTAAGTATTAACTAATTAAGTATTTAAAAAAAAAATAGCTAACCTTATTAAATATGCTAACAATCTCATAAGCTCACAAGCGTGAATCAACCACTAATTACCCCCACCCCTCCCCACAATGATGCTTCCACGCCAATTTTCCTCTGCAAAAGTTGCATTCTCGTTATATATAAGGGGCACTTCGTGAAAAGAAAAACTCCTATCCCAAAAATAGGTTAATTTCCATAGAAAAAAACTAGCATCCCATTTCTTTAAGCATTTCCATTCTGAGCGGCGGCTTTTAAATGACGTCATGTTTTTTTTTGTTTCTTTTTTCCCCTTCAATTGTTGTAAAAAGTCACCCCACCCCGCCAAATTGACGTCACACTTCTGCATATCAAGTCCAAGTTGCAAATTTTTGGTTTTTGGAAAAGCGGTTGTAAATTAGATACAGCCCCTTAATTAGTTTTTATTACAAGTTATTTTTAAAAAGACTTCACAACAGCGAAACTGATACCTTTTAGTTATCAACAAATACATTTAAATACAACAATGTGACGAGACCATTACTGGACTTAACATGGTCACACTTTTTAATTAAAAACCTAATTCCCTTCCTCCCAGAAGTTTGACTACATTTATAAAACGTCCCTCTAATATTATTTTTTTTACTGCAAGCTTGTTTGTCAACAAACAACAATCCAGCAGTTCAAGCAGTTTCCTAATTAGAAAACTTGACCCACTTCTGCGACACAACCCTGTAACCTCCCCCCCCCCCCCCCCCCCCCATTATTTTCACTTTATCTGCTGCACGTAGTTCTTATCAATATCATTACATGTTAAAATATCCCCGCTTGACTATGACCTCTGACCCCACCCCCACCCCTTTTCCACACACATTTCGTTCACAACTGCTACCAAAAAAAAAAAAAAATAAAAAAAAAAAATCACAAAAAGCCAATAATCGACCAGCCTGCCTCGCCCACGCTCACAAG